AGGCCTGGGCCAATAAGGAGGCTCGAATGACAGCTTTACGCACCAATCGGGAGTGAAGAACGTTCGTGTCCGCCCGCCCTTCCGGCCGGAGCTCTATTTACCAGGGGCGTGCAGCCCGCTTGCCAATCAGAGCGCAGCTGAGCTGCCGGGCAGCCAACCCCCGAGGAGCGGCCGGCTGGCGTTCGCCGCACCCAGGAGTTGGGGATGTCCTACAAACCCATCGCACCCGCCCCCAGCAGCACCCCCGGCTCCAGCACCCCTGGGCCAGGCACCCCTATCCCTACAGGTGAGAATCTAACTCCACTCCTACTGTCCTGTCTCGGCGATCAAGGTTTTGATGAGAAGACGGCCTGAGTTGTGCAATACTAGGCCTGCCACCTAGCCTCACTCAGCCTCAGTTTGCTGGCCTGTGAAGTGGGCGTGGTCACGTAAGGGCCTGTAGGTGCAGGGGGAGGAGTGTGTTTTTCAAGTCGATCGGCTTTGAAGCAAGCATCCTTTTAAAGGGAATTGGGCGAACCGGGCGAAAGCGGTCGGGGGCTTTGGAAAGCTGGGAGGAGGCGTCTTTGCACGAGCTGACCTCTTATTCGCGCCTGTTGCAGCCGGTAGTGTTCCATCGCCGTCGGGCTCAGTGCCAGGAGCCGCTGCCCCTTTCAGACCACTGTTTAACGACTTTGGTCCCCCATCTATGGGCTATGTGCAGGTGAGTGTGACCAAGAGCTTGCTTGTGGATGGAGACAGCAGGCCCCCCTGGAGCTTAAGCTCACTTTCCTATTCTCTTTTGACACAGGCGATGAAGCCACCAGGTTCTCAGGGCTCACAGAGCACCTACACGGACCTGCTGTCAGTCATAGAGGAGATGGGCAAAGAGATCCGGCCCACCTATGCTGGTAGCAAGAGTGCCATGGAGCGCCTGAAGAGAGGTAAGGGAAGCCAGGCCCACCCTCCCCTGCCCAGGAGACAGACACTAGACAACCCTTATTCATTAGAGAAGAAACGACATCTGAAGTCAGTGCAGGACACCTGAGCCAGCCTAGAATAGGGCCCATATCACTACTGAGAGGTACTTCTAATTGAATTGAAATTGAGTCCGTTTCCAGAAAAATGCCCGGGAATTTATGTTTCAGCATGGTGGAATTGAAGACTAACCAAACCCCTAATTTCATCCAGCCCCTCGTTAGATGTGAGCTTCTATTGCTGAAACAAAGGGGATGAGGAGGGAGGTGTCTCCTTTGGAGGGTGGGAGTGGGCTGGTGAAGGGTTGCCGAGACCCTGTATCTTACTTCCCTGTCCTCAACCTGCTCCCACCCCAGGCATCATCCATGCCCGGGCACTAGTCAGAGAGTGCCTGGCAGAGACAGAGCGAAACGCCCGCACGTAACAGGAAGCACCTTGGCCTCAACGTCTGGACCTTTCCGGCCACTGCAGAGCACCTGCTTCTCCCTGGCCTTCGCCCCGAGTTGCACTTCCTATTCTGGGCTTCCTGTCCTGTGTCCCTTGGTGGGTGCCCTCCAGGAACCAGGGAGTGGCTCTCACTCCAGTTGGCAACAGAAACTGGGCCCCTCCCTTTGCAAGAGTTAGCAGAGGGACCACCGTGAGTCCCACCCATGACCTGCCAACAGAGTTAATCCACTGGAGTGTTCTCCTTTCTATGGCCCCACACTTGGCACTTCACACCACTTTGTCCCAGGCCTCCTCTTCCCCCATCAGAGGTTCAGAAGGCCTGTCACCTCCCTGTCTCCAGGGCCATAGTGACTCTTTTCTCAGTATGTCTTTTGCTAAATCTGCCCTTTTTATATAAATAAATGATGATTTGGAATTGTTCTTCTGGGTCTGGTTCCTCTGGTAAACCTGAGTGGGCCAGGCGAGAGGGGGCAAAGGGGCCGTGAAGGGAGGGAAAGTCTCCTTTGCCTTGTTGCTGCTGTCCGTTGACCTTGGGAGGGATCCTGCGCCTTTCAGGCCCTCCGCCTTCCCAGCTGTGAATAGCGGGAAAGTCAGAGCTCCGGTAGCAGAGGCCTGTGTGCCTTCGCATGGGGCCACCAGGGGGCAGCGCAGACCCTTGCTGCCTGCACAGCTAGAGGCACTGTTGGCTAGCCTGGGCCTGGAGGGCCCTTCCTCTGGGTTGGCGGTGATGCCTGGCAGAGTGCAAATGCCAGTTAACTTAAGCAACTCCCTCGAAAGCCTTAATGCTCTGCAAGCACCCTCCACGCTGAACTGGCTCCTGGAGAGGCAGCATGACACCCCTCCTCCAGCTCCTTGCCTAGGTGCTGCCATCACTGTCACAGCGCCTTCTACCTGGTGGGGTGTAGTTCCATGAGCCACCCTCTGTCTTGGCCTTCACCTAGGGTCTGGGCACCTGGGTGGCCGAACGTGGACCCAGCAGGCATAGAAGGCGAAGGCCCTGGGTGCCATCAAGGGTCTGGCCCAACCGTTCAGAGTGTCAGGGCCTCTGCCTGAGTGTGCATCTGAATGACCCAGGGGGCCTGGAGCCCAGGAACCCCAGCCCCAGGTGGAGACAACCAAAGCTACCAGCTTCTGGCCAGACATCGTGGGAGGAGCGGGAGAAACATTTCCTCTGCCGTGTCCCAGACTCCAGGGGTACAGAGGGTGAGGAGCTGGGGAGGATGGCCTTGGACCCAGCCATATCAAACTCCACCCTTTCCTTGCACATAGGAGGGCTGGGTCAGGGTGGAAACAGCAACCAAGAGTCTTTGGGTTACCAGACACCAGAGCTGGAGAAAAAGCGCCAGCATTTAGGGAACGGCCTCTGCCCCAGCTGCCTTGGGGAAGGAAGGTGGGGGCCTGCCCTCCGCCGCCGCGGGCGGGGCCGTTGGACCCTGCAGAGGTGGGGAGGGCCCGCCGGGCCCAGGAAGGGGGCGGGGCGGCCGCAGTGACGCGGCGGGGAGGGACCGCAGGGGCGCCCGCGGGCTGACCGGGAAAAAGGTCGGGGCCATGGGCCGACGCTTCGCCTCCAGAAGGTCCGGCCCCTGCCGGAATCCGAGGCCGGGGCTGGGGGCACTCCAGGCTCCTATCCTACCCTCGTGCCGGCCGCTCCTGCCCGGGCCGGGGGAGGGGCGCCCGCTGTAGAGGTGAGCGAGGACGTCGGCGGGCGGGCGGGCGGGCGCAGCAGAGGACTGGGACGCTGGGGAGCAGAGGGAAGTGAGGACAACGGGGCCTTGCCCGCGCGTTGGGTGCGAAGTGGGGGGTGGGAGGGGTATCCGCAACGGAACTGTGGCGCCGGGCTGGGGCGCTGGTGGGCGGAGCGGATCTCCCGGGGCGGGGTCCCGTGGGATACCAATGGACCACTCTTACCCCAGCGCCAGCAAGGGGTCAGCCTCGGGGGACGTGGCGGGGTGGCTGCAAAGAGCAGAGGAGAGTTGGCGGGGACCCCAGGGTTCAAGAAGGATGCCGTGTAGGGCAAGTTGAGGACCCTGCTGACTGCTAGGGTGGTAAAGGCAGGTTTGGGGGGCAGAAGGGTTATCTGGCCCTGAAATGTAAGTTCAGGTGCGGGGGTTGGGGAGGAGCACGGGCAAGGATGCTGGGGCGCACGGGGCTTCCCCGCGGAGAGATAGTCTGAGAGACAAGGTCCTAGCTGGACTGCGGTGGTGGGGAACGTGCGACCCCGCTGACTCCGGGAAAGGGATGAAGGGGGCGGGTCCCCAAGGGGCGGGCCCGGAAGGGAGGGCCGGGGGCTCCTAGGGGTGCGGCCCGGTGGGATGCTGTTTCCAGGGGGCTCAGGACGTGACCGCCGTGGAAACACAAGGCTGGCCCTGCCGCGCGTCCACCGGCGCCCGCCACTTCGGGGGGCCCGCGTCAGCGCGCGGTTGTCATGGCGACTGGCGGGCGGGGGGCGGGGGCTGCGAGGAAAAGAGGTCAGCGCTCAGCCTCGCTGCGACTCCGGGCCCGGGCGGCGCGGGCGAGAGCGCTGGGCTCGCCTCTGCCTCCCCGGTGGGGGGGCCCGGGCATGGGGTCCCGCAGCCCGAGCCCCTCGGCGGGCGCACAGGGCTCGGGGCCGCGCACCGCAGCCCCGCACTGACGGCCGCGGCGTGCCCTGCGCTAGGCGGAGCGGAGGCCGCGCGCGGCCCGCGGAGCACCTTCAGGATGCTCATCAAGGAATACCACATCCTGCTGCCCATGAGTCTGGACGAGTACCAGGTGGCCCAGCTCTACATGATCCAGGTGAGCACGGTGGGGAGGACGATACGGGGGGCCATACTTCATGATGTGGTAACGGCAGGAGTACGCAGGCCGCACCGCACCGCACCCTGGACAAGGGTCTAGCCCAGCTGGATCCCTGCCAGTCCTGCTCCAGGATTCTGGAGCCCAGAGGATGTACAAGCGGGAGGGGGCAACCAGAGGGGCACAAGGGCTGTGGGAAAGGGGCAGAAGGGTCAAGTGGTGCCTCCCACCCCTAAGTGCCCAGCCTGCTCAGCCCATGATCTCCTTTAATCCCTCCTCAGAATCTGTAATCCATGGGGGAAGGGAAAGGAGCATATGAGGAGGCAAGGGGTTGGAAGGAGCTAGGTAGAAGAGGCAGGAAGGGGGTCTGGAAAAGGTGCTCCCCAGTCCTGACAACCCCAGGATGTCAGGGAGGTGGGATGAGGTCAAGCCCCAAAACTGACAGGGACCTGAAGGCAGGGATCTGAGGGTGAGAGATAGTGTCTGGGCTCGGGCTGTGAGAGGGGTGGACCAGGACAAGCTCTCAGAGCCTCAGGGGACCTGTCCCAGATCTGCTCCTCAGTACTGTAGGGTCAGTCTAAGGAAGGAGGACCAGGATTTCAACCTCAGGTGGTCGAGTGGGTAGTTTGGGCTCCAGATCTACAAAAGGGTCGCTGGGGGCTCTCAAACAATGAAAGGTGTGATGGAGTTGGGATGGGGGGGTCCCAGAGAGGTAATGGACGAGAGTCAGGTCCTCTGAGAGGTAGAAGCCCCTTTTCAGCCCCTCTGGCCTTGTTGCCATACCTTGAACCCATTTAGCATGCTCCTACCTCAAGGGGCTCGCCCTGGAATCTTCCTCCCACCCCACATCTGTTGGGGTCCCTCCCTTACCTGAAGTCATGTTCAAGTCAGGATCATGCTGTCTTCTCAGTGAGGCCTTCCTTGATCAACACTGCAGCCCCAAACTCATGATCCTTTGCGCTTCCTTTTTCCCATTACACTTACCGCCTTCAGACCTACCATATAGTTCCTTTTTCCTGTTTCCTGTCTTTCTTCACTGCAACAGAAGTTCCATACTGGCAGGATCTCTGTTCTGTTCATCAGTAGACCCTAATTAATATATTGCAAAAAATGAATGGCTAAATTGAGTGATAGGTTGCAGAGCCCCATGGGGAACAGGGTAGTGCCTGTGATCCTGATCCCAGGGACCTGCAGGGGGCCAAGGTCAGGCTGCCAGGACCTGAAAAGGCTATGCAGGGGACCCAGATCAAGCTTTGGACCCCAGGAGCTGAGCTGTGGCTGAACTCTCTGTTCTGCTCTACCCTGGGCTGCAGAAAAAAAGCCGGGAGGAGTCTAGTGGTGAGGGCAGCGGCGTGGAGATCCTGGCCAACCGGCCCTACACGGATGGGCCTGGAGGCAGTGGGCAGTACACACACAAGGTGTACCACGTGGGCTCCCACATTCCAGGCTGGTTCCGGGCACTGCTGCCCAAGGCTGCTCTGCAGGTAGAGGAGGAATCATGGAATGCTTACCCCTACACCCGAACCCGGTGAGTGTGTGAGGTGGGCACGGGCTTGGGGCCATCAGGGAAGCAGCCTGGTAGACACAATGGTGACTCTCACTTGATCCTCTGCCCAGGTACACCTGCCCCTTTGTGGAGAAATTCTCCATTGAAATAGAGACCTATTATCTGCCTGATGGGGGGCAGCAGCCCAATGTCTTCAACCTGAGCGGGGCAGAGAGGAGACAGCGTATCCTAGGTGAGGCCTGGAGCTGCTAGGAGAACCCTGGAGCACCTCTTGGGCCCCCTGCCGCCTCAGTCTGCAGGCTCTGGCGAGCCCTAGCTCTCTCAGGCCTTGACTTTCTATCTATAAAAAGCTGTCCTCTTAATCCCTGGAGAGGGCTAGGGAGGGGCAGCTTGAAGGGGCTGCCATTGCTCAGTGCTTGCTCAAACTCCCTCAGACACCATCGACATCGTGCGGGATGCAGTGGCTCCAGGCGAGTACAAAGCAGAAGAGGACCCCCGGCTGTACCGCTCAGTCAAGACTGGCCGAGGGCCACTGGCTGATGACTGGGCTCGGACAGCGGCCCAGACGGGACCCCTCATGTGTGCATATAAGCTATGCAAGGTTGAGTTCCGCTACTGGGGCATGCAGGCCAAGATTGAGCAATTCATCCATGATGTCGGTGAGCACCCAGCTGGGGGACGTTTCACATACCCAGCATGCACCAGGCCTCATGTTTGGTCACAGGAAGCTCTTATCTACTGGGGGCACAGAAGCATGAAACCATCATTTGCAATTGGAGTGGAACACGGAGGTAGAGGGGACGGTGCAGCCCGGCTGGGGATCAAGAGAGGCTTGCCTTGAGGTATCAGAAAGAGTCAGTGGGGAAGAAGCTTAGAACATGATCTCTGAAACCCAGGCCGGAACGGATATTCAGAGATGTGGCTTCTTTCAGGAAGATTCCAAGATTTTTCCATCATCTAAGTTGAGCAAGACTTAAAGGATTGCAGGAGGGTCACTGCAGCAGGCCAAGCAGTAGAGGCTAAGAAGCTGTCATTCCTTCCAAGGTGCCCTCCCACCTACAGAGCCAAGAGTCCCACCCCTGGCCTTTGTGTCCAGGGGACACCCTGTTCTATACCTTCCCAAACCTATCCCCCAACTCGTGCAACTCAGCCCTACCTCGCCTTCCAGGTCTGGGGGGTGGGCCACCTGCACATAGGAGGACCACCCCTTGGGGGGAGTGTTCAGCGGCCTGGGTTCTGCTCCACTGTTGACCCCCCCACTACCAACCAAGGCCCCCCAGCAAGCAAAGGGCCATCTCAGCACCTTGACTCTCCCTTCTGTAAGTGAGGAAGAGGTTGGGCCAACTGATCACACCATAGAACCTTTTGAGTCACTTCTCTTTTTGTTGTTGTTGTACTGGGATTTGAACGCAGGGCCTTACACTTGCTAGGCAAGCGCTCTACCAGTTGAGGCACTCCACCAGCCCTGCAAATCGCTTTTCTTGCAGGGTCTTCTTTAATACCCAGAACTCCCCTACTTGGGGAGGGCTATTGTTAGTCCCATTTTACAGATAAGGAAATTTAGCTTAGAGAGACTATTTGTGGTGCATTTGGGAAAACACCAAAAGCACAAATAAGAAAATTCAAATCATCCACATGCACATGTAACCTGTTACGATTCTGATGTATTTCCTTCCAAAAATTTATAGTTCAGCCATTATTTTATTTCCTAGACATTTAAGAGTTTCTAACTTTATTCCTCTGCTCATGATGAAAAAATCCCAGAATGGGTAGCATCTTTTGCTACAGCCTTTATAGAGTGCCAACACTTCAATTAACTATTAACACCTTCATTAACCATCAACAATTTCTTTAACTGTTAACACCTTAATTAACTGTTAACTTCTCAAAAGAAGTTAGCAGGAAGCTAGCTAAACACAAACAAAAGGATTGGTCCCAACTGTTGGAGCCTTGGGGTGATGTCAGTACTCAGAGTTAGGTTGTCCAGAGACAGAGACAGACACACCAGTTCCCACTCCTATTGCCTGGATAGCACTGCCCTGCCCTACTTTGTGGTTGTTGGTGGTGTCCCCAGGGGAGCCATTACCCAACCTCAAGGGCTGGGTGTTTGGTTGTAATGGCAGGGAAATGGGGGAGGAGGCATGGTTCTGATGTCTGGGGCACCTACAGGTCTGCGTCGGGTGATGCTTCGGGCCCACCGCCAGGCCTGGTGCTGGCAGGACGAGTGGACAGAGTTGAGCATGGCTGACATCCGGACACTGGAGGAGGAGACTGCCCGCATGTTGGCCCAGCGCATGGCCAAGTGTAACACAGGCAATGAGGGACCCGAGGCCCAGACCCCTGGGAAACCCAGCACTGAGGCCCGACCTGGGGCCAGCAATGCTGGCACCCCTGATGGGCCTGAGGTCCCCCCTGGTCCTGATGCCTCGCCCGATGCCAGCTTTGGGAAGCAGTGGTCCTCATCCTCCCGTTCCTCCTACTCATCCCAGCATGGAGGTGAGGCAGGGGCTCCTGGACCAGGGATGGGAGGGTACCACTGCCTCCTGCTGGGCTCCCAGGCTGAGATGCTGGTGGCCCTGCAGGCGGTGTGTCTCCACAGAGCTTGTCTGAGTGGCGCATGCAGAACATCGCGAGAGACTCTGAGAACAGCTCGGAGGAGGAGTTCTTTGATGCCCATGGTCAGCATGGGGAGTCCTGTTGGGGGCAGGGGAGCTAAGCACCTCCTCCCACCCCATGATACAGCCTTCTGTCTCCTCAGAAGGCTTCTCAGACAGTGACGAGGTCTTCCCCAAGGAGATGACCAAGTGGAATTCCAATGACTTTATTGATGCCTTTGCCTCCCCAACTGAGGCAGAGGGGGTGCCAGGTAAAGACCCTGCCAGCCACCAGAACCCCATATGCAACAAGGACTTTGAACAGATCAGGCCTAAGTTTAATGGCGAGGTCCCCACAACACAGAGTGGGGATTTCCCTGGAAGTTCCAAGAGCCTCCCTATGGGGGCCAATGTCTATGGTAGGTTCTGAAGGATTGGACCAGACTATCCAACAGAAATGTCTGTGACAGTGGAATAGTCTAGATCAGTACTGCCTCGTGAGACAGCCACTAGGCATACCAGGCTATCAAGCATTTAAAACACGGCCAGCGTGACTGAGGGACTGAGTTTCTTGTACTACATGTTAATACCCCTGTGGCTGGCAGCCACCATGTTGGACAGAGCAGGATTAGAAGTTTTCTAGAGCTGCAGACATTGTGTGGAAAGTCATCTCTGAACGCAACAGGACTGGCACGAGGAAAAGTCTAGAAAACAGAATGGCCTAGGCGAGTGGGATGAGAGGAAGACGGAGGTTGGGGGAGCCTCAGGCAGTTGCCAGAACTAAGGTACCCAAAGTGCAGACGAGCGAACCTCAGTGGTCCCCTTGTCCCCTTCATTGGCTTTCCCCTTTCCCTGTAGACCCGGGACCCGAAGCTACTAAAGGCATCGAAGATGGGTCCCGCGGCCCCAGGGACTCAGAGGTAAGAATGGTCAGCCAGCCCACGCCAGCGCTCTTTCCATTTGCCGCCTTGCCACTGTTCTGACGGCCTGCACCCCCTTGTGCCCCTCAGGGGCCTGATGGAGCAGGAGAGCTCGGGGCCGACCCGTGTGCAGTGCACGCCCTGTTCCTCATCCTGCACAGCGGTAGCATCCTGGACTCAGGCCCTGGAGATGCCAACTCCAAGCAGGCAGATGTGCAGACTCTGAGCTCGGCCTTCGAAGCCGTCACCCGCATCCACTTCCCTGAGGCCCTGGGCCACGTGGCGCTGCGACTGGTGCCCTGCCCACCCATCTGTGCTGCTGCCTATGCTCTTGTCTCCAAGTACTGGCCAGGGGTGAAAGGGTGGGGCACACACAGAGTGCTGATGGCTATTTGGGGGCTCCTAGATTAGGGAGGTCCCACTGGGGGAAGGGAGCCGCACACCTGGTTCAATCCTGGTCGTGGAGGCAACTATTTCTACCAGCAGTTCTATCTCAGATACCTCTTGGGTCTGACACTCACAGAAAACAAGGGTGCCAGGGCTAGTCAACAGGCCCAGAGGACTTGGGTGGCAGTGGTAGAGTTGGAGCCCCCTACCCACCTGCCACACCCCCTGCAGCCTGAGCCCCTACAGCCATGACGGCGACAGCCTGTCCCGCTCCCAGGACCACATTCCACTGGCTGCCCTGCCGCTCTTGGCCACCTCATCCTCCCGCTACCAGGGCGCCGTGGCCACCGTCATCGCTCGCACCAACCAAGCCTATGCAGCTTTCCTGCGCTCATCAGAGGGCACCGGCTTCTGTGGGCAGGTCAGGGAAGCGCTCCACTGCGGCCCTGGTTGTGGCCCTGCCTGGGTGGTGACAAGCCTCTCAATGGTATCTGCCCTCACTCAGGTGGTGCTGATTGGAGACGGCGTCGGTGGTATCCTGGGCTTCGATGCGCTCTGTCACAGTGCCAGTACGGGCACAGGGAGCCGGGGCAGCAGCCGCCGTGGGAGCATGGTCAGTGTGGCCAAACCCAGCCTCCTCAGGAGGGGGGTTGTGTCTCCATCTCTAGGTCTCTGCCCTTGGAATATGGCCTCTCTGCATGCAGGCAGGTCCCAGGCCTCCTCTGGGACTCTGCCCCACTAGACTGTTTCTTCACTTCCAAATTAAGTAGAAATTGGATGACCTCAGACCTAAGAATATTTCTGTCCTGTGTTCCGTCTAGAACAACGAGCTGCTCTCCCCGGAGGTGGGCCCAGTTCGGGACCCACTGGCAGATGGGGCAGAGGCACTGGGTCGGGCTAGCCCAGAACCCTCAGCCCTGCCTGCCCAGCGCACCCCCAGTGACATGGCCAGTCCTGAGCCTGAAGGCTGTCAGAACAGGTGACATCCCTGACCCATCACCAAAGCTGTGGGCACAGGCTGGACTTGAAAGGCAGCAGCACTGAGATCCCCCTCCCATGTAGCCTGCAGGCAGCCCCCACAACCACATCCTCTGGGGAGCCCCGGCGGGCAAGCACGGCCTCCTGCCCACCTGCTGCCAGTTCTGAGGTTCCTGATGGCCCTACCAACGCTGCCCCTGCCCGCCTAGACTTCAAGGTCTCTGGCTTCTTCCTCTTTGGCTCCCCACTGGGTTTGGTGCTGGCTCTGCGCAAAACTGTGATGCCCACCTTGGAGGGTAAGCCCTCACACTCGTCTTTTGTCTGCTCCTTGCCCACCTCCTCTAGCCTTTTGTCTCATCTGAGACAGTGGCATTATTATTTTCATTCTGTAGATTTAATGGCCTGGCTAGAAAAGGGAAAGCAGGTGCCCAGAAAGAAGGGACTTGCCAAGGCTCTTTCCCGAGTGCCCTTGACCAGGGAAGGCTCTGCATAAGAAAGGGTTCCACAAGGCAGGGTTCATCCAAGAGACCTGTGTCACTTTACACTGGACCCTAGTGACTTCCCAGAGAGTGTAGTTTGGGAAGTGCCTGGCTCAGTCAGGGTCACATAGCATGGTAGGACACTGGTTCACACCCCCTGCCTCCTAGCATACCAGCTGAACTCCCTCCCCGCCTTCTCTGTCTTCTGGGTTCCCAGTGGCCCAGATGCGCCCAGCCTGTGAGCAGATCTATAACCTCTTCCATGCGGCTGACCCCTGCGCCTCCCGCCTGGAGCCCCTGCTGGCCCCTAAGTTCCAGGCCATCGCCCCACTTGCTGTGCCCCGCTACCAGAAATTCCCTCTGGGAGACGGCTCATCCCTGCTGCTGGGTATGTCCCCAACCAAAATAAAGGAGAGAAAGGGACAACAACAACAAAAAGACAAATTAGTACTCGCATCATGGGTAACCTCCCCAGACACTGCATCTAGGACCAGGGAATCTTCCCCTGGCCCCCAGGACCTTCTGGCCTGTGCTGAGTAGGTGTCAATGACCAACCTAGAGAGAGGAGGCCGAGGGTCACTGGCTTGTCAGTGTCTGCCAGCAGCCTGTGTATATGTGATTGCTGTGTCCGCATGTAGGGCATTGTGGCTCTTGTGCACGTGGGGGCATGTACAAGTCTGCATGCACTTGGGTACCCATTGGTCCCATGAGACAGGGTCATGGGCACAGGTAGGTGTGCACGTGTTTGGTGTGGGGGGGTGACAGGCATGCTGGCAGGAATGTAGCTGGCTGCTAGGGACAGCTAGAGACGATGCTCCTGCCCCTGCATTTCCCTTCCACCCTGAAACGGGACAGTGCAGCCTCAGTCAATACCTCAGCAGGTAGGCTGGCAGGAAAGACCATGGAGGGGCAGGGATTTCACTGTCCTGAGACCCCTAAGTGAGGAGACTGGAGGGCAGCTCCCGCCCCGCCTACTGCTGAGAACGGCCTTCCTCCCTAGCCGACACTCTGCAGACCCACTCCGGCCTCTTTTTGGAGGAGCTGGAGATGATGGTGCCCTCAACACCCACCTCGGCTAGCGGTGCCTTCTGGAAGGGCAGTGAGTTAGGCACTGAACCAACGGCTCCCAGCACCACCAGCGAGGTGGTTAAGAGTAAGTCAGCCAGCCACTGGCCTGAGCAGTTCCGACTGCTGCACCTCCTCCCCCAGCACCCAGACCTGATTTGGAAAAGAGCAGGCTTAGCGGAGAGGAGGGGAGGGAGGGAAGAGCACCCCAGGGTCAGGCAGATGGGCACTGGGCAGCAGGCCACCCTGACTCACTGCCCGCCGTGGCCGTGCAGTCCTGGAGCGCTGGTGGGGAACCAAGCGGATCGACTACTCGCTGTACTGCCCCGAGGCGCTCACCGCCTTTCCCACAGTCACGCTGCCCCACCTCTTCCACGCCAGCTACTGGGAGTCAGCAGACGTGGTGGCCTTCATTCTGCGCCAGGTGAGGGGATGCAGAGATGTAGGATGGGAAATGGGAACAGGGAGGGGAGGGAGGATAGGGAGCCTTGCCTAGGAGAGGGCTAGCCCTTCCCTGCTCCATTCACATGGCTTTGCTCTCGTGTGCTGCACAGGTGATTGAGAAAGAGCGGCCACAGCTGGCAGAGTGCGAGGAACCCTCCATCTACAGCCCTGCCTTCCCCAGGGAGAAATGGCAGCGAAAACGCACTCAGGTCAAGATCCGGGTATGTTCCCTCCCCTACGCAGCCCCACCCCCTCCTTGCCAAGCTCCGCCCCCTATGGTCCGGGCCACACCTCCTCTTTGCCTCATCCTGGCCCTGGGAACCAGTGCTCTGGCTAGCTCTCCCACTCCCTCACTAAGTTGGTCTGGATCTACACTCATTCCCCCCCCCCCTTCTTCTGCATCCCGTCCTGTCACAGCTCTGCCCTTCGGAACTACAGTCCACACACAGGCACTCACTACCTCTTGTCGGGGTTCACAGACGTGCACGCCCTCCTGGTCTGTGTGTCTCCCACAGTGGCTCCCCTTCCGCCGGGCCCCATCCCCCGTGTGAATACGCACCCCCACACTACCTCCCCCGTCCCATATTCCCTTCCTTCCCTTGCAATGGCTTACACCATCTCCTCCCCCTAGAACGTCACTTCCAACCATCGGGCAAACGACACGGTGGTGTGTGAGGGTCGTCCCCAGGTGCTGAACGGGCGCTTCATGTATGGGCCCTTGGATGTGGTCACACTTACGGGAGAGAAGGTCAGGACCCAGAGGCCCAGGCCCGTGGTATTTCCACCCCCTCCTCCTATTCCTCAGTAGTTCTAACAGGCGTAGGTTGAGCCTCCCCCACCGTGTCCCACCCACCCATAAGGCCAAGCCAGCCTCTGCTCTCCTCCCCTCTGGATCAGGGAGTGCCCGGGAGCTTTGCTCCCATGGTCCTCCCTACCCCGTTTCCCCACCAGGTGGACATCTATATCATGACACAGCCGCTATCAGGCAAGTGGATCCACTTTGGCACCGAGGTCACCAACAGCTCGGGCCGCCTCACCTTCCCAGTGTCTTCTGAGCGCGTGCTAGGCATCGGTGTCTACCCAGTGCGTATGGTGGTTAGGTGAGCAGCAGGCAGTGGGGCCTCTGTGGGGTGGGGCTCCACCATGTCTCGACCCACTCTGCTCACACCTCCCTGGGCTGCAGGGGTGACCACACCTATGCCGAGTGCTGTCTGACTGTGGTGGCCCGTGGCACGGAGGCTGTGGTCTTCAGCATCGATGGCTCTTTCACTGCCAGTGTCTCAATCATGGGGAGTGACCCTAAGGTGCGCGCTGGTGCTGTGGATGTGGTCAGGTAGGAGCCACCGTCCTGTTCAACAGTGACTAGACCCCACCTTGGCCTGTGCAGCTGACTGGCCCCCATCCCACAGGCACTGGCAGGACGCTGGCTACCTGATCGTGTATGTAACAGGCCGGCCTGATATGCAGAAGCACCGCGTGGTGGCCTGGCTGTCACAGCACAACTTTCCCCACGGTGTCGTCTCCTTCTGCGATGGCCTCACCCACGACCCCCTGCGCCAGAAGGCGATGTTTCTGCAGAGCCTGGTGCAAGAGGTGCAGCAGCTGGGGAAGGTTCCAACCACACCCTCACCCCGTACCTTAGGACAGCAGAGGCCTATCTGATCTCACCTCATTTGGCCCAGGGCAGAGTGACTGGAAGCCCCTGTAGTCCTATGTTCCTGATCCTAGGGGTCCTTTGTCCTTAGGGCCAACCCCCCCATCCCTCCTGTGATTAGGAGTGTGCCCCCGCCTCTGCCCATATAGCCCCGCCCCCGAGACATCCTGATTGGGGTATGCCCACAAGCCTTGTCCTAAGGCTCCGCCCCCTTGGCTGTTGACTGGCCTCTCCTGACACAGGTGGAACTGAACATCGTGGCTGGCTATGGGTCCCCCAAAGATGTTGCTGTGTATGCAGCACTGGGCTTGTCCCCGACCCAGACTTACATCGTGGGCCGTGCTGTGCGGAAGCTGCAGGCGCAGTGCCAGGTGAGGGCTAAGGGAAGGCAGGGAACAGGAACCTGCCAGGGAACAGGAGCCAGGGACGACCACCCACTGTGTTAAGACTCACAGATGCCTGGCCGCTGTGAGAGGGCTTCAGCGGCCTTAGGGAACCTGAGTTCCTCCTAGGACAGGGGTCATGAGCAGCCTGAAACTACCTACCTAGATGCAAGACAGACCAGAGATGATAACCCAGGCTCGTGTATGCTCAAGACCTCAGATGCTGGCTCCTCTCATCATGGCCTTGACCTTTCTGAGCCTCCATTTCCTGTCTGAGGTTGGAAATGTGGCACTGGCCTCATCAGCTCATCACGAAGATCACATCACTTACTGTACATCAAAGGCCCCGGGCTGAGCACTGAGCAAGGGGTTGCTAAATGTTAGCCATTTTTTTCCCTTGCAGATGAGATAGACCCAGAGAGGGGAAGAAGAGGGAGTAAGTCAGGGGGCCCTGGCTCACAGCCTGGGGATCCTATCTATTGGAAGGTTCCAGGTCAGGCTGAGCCTGGCCTGTCATCTGTAGCACTGCCCAGTTCCCCCGCACCCTGCCGCAGGGTCCTGTGGACAAGAGAGGGTGGGGAGGGGGGCCAAGACTGGTTGTCTCCTCATCCCTACCCACTTCTGTCTACAGTTCCTGTCAGATGGCTACGTGGCCCACTTGGGCCAGCTGGAGGCGGGCTCCCACGCTCATGCCTCCTCAGGACCCCCAAGGGCTGCCCTAGCCAAGAGCAGCTACGGTGTGGCTGCCCCTGTGGACTTCCTCCGCAAGCAGAGCCAGTTGCTTCGCTCCAGGGGCCCCAGCCAGGCAGAGCGTGAGGGCCCAGGAACACCCCCCACCACACTGGCTCGGGGCAAGGCCCGAAGCATCAGCCTCAAGTTGGACAGCGAAGAGTGAGCCTGGCTTTGGCTGGACCTGTGTTATTTATTGACACTGGAGGGACCCCAGTGGCTGTGTGTGGGAGACTGGGGGGCCTAGACCTTTGGCCCCAGCCCTGGCTCCCCCAGCCCCACACCCTGCATCTGTCTGTCCCTCAGTGTTCCTTCCCTTTCGTGGAGGGACCCAGCCCCAGGGGGAGGGAGGGAGTAAGCTAGGGTCCAGTGGCATTTCCAGTGTGTGTGAACCCATGAAAATAAACTCCTGCATCTACTTGGTTGCCTACCGGCCTGGCAGTGCAAGGCAGTGAGCTCAGCCTTCAGTTCAGTGAGACACTGAAATGTAGAGAAGGGCCAGGACCTGACCAGGGTCATGAGGCAAGGCCAGGCTGGGGCTAGGCCTCAACAGCTTCACAAAGGGCCTTGGCCACTCCTCTTACCAAAGCCATTTCCTGGACACTAAGCCCATCCTCCTCCTCCCCCGCAGCCAGTGTTCAAGTCTGCAGGAGTCACATGGCTTCTTACTCCAGAGGCCAAAGCAAGACGACTATGGGACGAAAGGCTGGAGAGGAGAGGACTGCACCAGATTTCACCTGAGCACCAAACTGCTCCTGGGGCTCACTGGTCCAGGCATGCAAAAAAATTATCTCATTTCTCTGTCATGGACACTCTAAGCCCAGAGGTCTTAGAGCTGACCACTGGGGAGCTAGGATGAGAACCTCGATCCTTTGCCTCCTGAGGGCCATCTGAGAACTACGAAATGCCAGGTGATAACTGGCCTTCCCAATGGATAGGCTTAGCAGACCCAGAGCAAGATAAATAAGGCCTTTATATACACAGAAGCATGATGTGGAAGTGGTGAGTAGGCTGGTGGAGGCAACAGTGGGCTTGGCAGGGTGGAGCAGGACAGAGGCCCAGTCACTGGGAGAAGATGCCCCGGAAGCGGGCCTTGTCTTCCTCATCCTTCTGCCGGATCCGGGTCTCCAGGGCCCGAAGCTCACGGCTCACGACAGGCGCCAGGGCGGGGTCCAGCTCCAGCACCTTGGCAAAGTCAGCCTGGGCTTCCTGGGCATTCCACACTGCGGCGTGGGCCTTGCCCCGCTTAAAGTAGGCCTTGACATTGTCTGCAGAGACATCAGTGGGTAGCAGGCACACAGAGCCATGAGGGGACCAGCCAGCCACCTGGCCTCATCTCCTGGCACCCAAGCCCATGAAGAGTGCGCCCTCCCTGACTTTAGAGGCCACCCCTTCCCATTGTACCATTCATTATACCGCTCACACCTCATGGGAGTGACAGAGCAATGCCCTCTCAGTGGAACTAAAAATAGGGGATCTCAAAGCCAGGACTTGGCTGAGGGTGTGGCGCAAGTGCTTTCCTAGAAAGCATAAGGTCCTGAGATCAAACCCCAATACTTCCAAAAAAGAAAAAAACAAAACCTAAGCCCCAGCACCCAGTGGTGACAGAGGAGCAAGCTGTTCCTGCCTGTTCCAGTGCCCAGTGCTCACCGTCATACTTGTTGAGGATGGAAGAGCAATGGTCCAGCACTTCGTAATACTCTTTGGCCACCAGCTTGCATTGGCAATAGTTAAGCAGCAGTGGTGTGATCTGCTGGTCTAGCTGGATCCAATCAGGGGACCCAGGCTGCTCCTGGGGGCGTGGGGGCAGGGAAAGGGTACATGCTGAGACCTGAGCCCCAGCTCTGTCCCTATCCTTCACCCACCACCACCTCCAGGCGCACCTTCATCTGCAAGTTCTTGAGGCAGGCAATGGCATCATAGTACTTGGCAGCAGCCTCCTTCACGTACCCCTCGCGGTACAATCGGTTGCCCTCCTGGTGGATGAGTGGCACTGCCTTGGCCTTCTCCTCATCTGTCATTGCCCATGGGTCCTGCTGGTATGTACCAGGGCTTTCCACCTGCCAGGGCACGAGTCATATCAAGACAGAGCCCAGGGGCACCCAATGTCCTCAGCGGCAGACCTGACCAGCATGTAGGCCAGGCAGACCTCTGGACATCAGATGCCCGAAGCAGTCACTCGTTCATTCATTGACCACTCGGCACACATGCATTAGCATCTCCTCTGTGCCCAGAACTAAGAACACAATGGTGAACAAGATGGGAACATCCCCGCCCTGGCAGATACGTTCCATGGGAAGATTGCAGGTGGACGAGGAAATACATAAACTCCTATTGCTTTCAAAGTACAGCAGGTAAAAACAGAAAAAAAGTGCAGCAGGTGGGGAGGAAATACGGGGCTGCGGATACAGGAGAGGAAGCCTGGTGGGTAGGGAAGGCCTCCTGCAGAAGGCGATCACTGAGGCCTGAGAGGTGCAGGGATCCCGGGATCCACAGTGCTCTTGTCCCTCACCATCACAGACCTTCCTCCCCTCACATACCACCCACTGTTCCCACCCCTGGTGCCCACTGTAAGACTGAGCAGCAAAGGCCAGGCAAGTTGCCTGGGGCTCCAGGGCCTTACCTTCAACATCTCAACGTGGAAGATGAGAGGCTGGGGGCTCTGCTGCAGGGCATCCAGGTCTGCATGGCCCAGGGAGTTGTGCTCATGCATCTGTGCGATGCCACAGCAGTGCCGCTGGCCCTCCAGGGGGTCCTTGCCCGCAGCAATGTTGCGGAGACTCTTGGCCACCAGTGGATATAAGACCACATGCTGTAGGAAGGCAGGTGGGCACCAGGAGCTCCATCAGTGTGGCTGGTGCTCGCTCGGCTCAAAGCCCCTCCCCATCACCATCCAAACAGGACATCTGGCCCCAGCCCCTACCCCGTGCAGAAAGTACAGGAGGGCTTGTGTCTGTAGGTTCCTCTGGCCTCTTGGCCCTCCCTCCAAGCTCAACCACACTCTCCAGCCACCTAACCCAGCACCCACCCCACCCACAAACACACATCCATTCCTGTCTCCCCAGCCTTCTTGGTCCGATGGAACTCTTACCTCCTCCTCTGCCTCCTCTCCTTCACAAGCTGGCCTCCTCACCGCATTATGTTTCCAGCACCAAGTCCTTCTCCTCCCACCCCACCCCACCTAGGTCCAGGCCCATCTTAAAGCTGGGCCCAGGGCAGCAATTTCAAAACCCCTGAGGAGCAGCCTGGCACAATGGTGGGCACCGGGAGTCCCAGCTCAGGAAGCTGAGGCAGGGGAATCACTTGAAACCCAGGAGTCCAAGACATAGAGAGACCCCATCTCAAAAGAAACAAAACAAAAACAAAAACGCCCTGGAGGAGATGGGTACAGGGAACTTAGCCTCTATCCCTTGACTTGGAGCGGTTGCAGGGATGGTGGGAATCCACCTAGCTGACTCCCTACTGCCCCCTGCTGTTCGCACAGGGCGGACTACTGGATTAACATTCAAGCATGAAGGGTCCCAGCTCTGGGTTCTGGGCTGGCTCCAGTCAGAAGCAAGAGGAAAACAGGTTGGACACCAGTCCTACATAGCCTAGGACCAGGCAGAAGGACAGATCCTCATCCAGGGTCTGAGGGTCAGAGAGGCCCTCCCAGGATTGGTGACCCAAGAATTGGCTATCAATATGAGAGAGGGTCTTGGCCATAGGGAATGAAAAGGAAGGGGGAGAGGGTGCATAGGAGGAGGGCACACCTGCAGACAGACCCCGGCCGTGATCAGGAGCCACAGAGGTGTAAGCAGAGGGTCTTATGGACCATTTGCTTTTTGAAAAAGAGTCCCCTGGCTAGTCTGGCTTGTGGAATAGTGGCCAGAATTCCGGTCAGGAGACTGGTGTGGACAGGGGCCCTGGGGATGGGGAATAGGTATGGCTGGACAGACACTGCAGACTGCAGGACAGGCACCTTGATGTCACAGAGGAACTGGGCGATCTCGCCCTCGCGCATGGTGCACGCAATGGTCTCCCACACAGGCAGCTTGAACTTCTTGCCAATGATGAGCTCCATGGGCTTGCCACGCACCCGGCTGTCATCCAACACGGAACCCTCGGCATCACTGTGTAGTGTCCGGTAGTGGAATGTGGCCTGAGGGCCATATGGGAGATCAGACAAGGGCAACAAACCTTCACCAGACCTAAAAGTCAAGTCCAGCCCACCTTCTACAGACAGCACAAGGAATGAAGCTCACCCAGAGGTAACCATCTGAGCTTAAATCTGGCTATTTCAGTGAGGAAGCTAAGTCACCCTGAAGAAAGTGAAGGGGCCTGAGTCACATGACTAGCGGATGGCTGGCCTGGGACAAGAGCCCAGGCAGTCTGGCTTCAATGATGCCTTCAACAAATATTTACGGAGGCCTGGCAGAGAGGCTCAAGTGGTATAGTACCTGCCTAGCAAGTATGAGGCCCTGAGTTCAAACCCCAGGATAACCAAAAACAAAACACAAGTATTTACTGAGCACCTCTATGCTAGACACCAGAACACAGTAGTGAACAGAACAGACAAAAGCTCCAACCCCATAGAGTCCCCAAGGAACTTCTAGAGGAAGGAAACAGGCCCTAGGCAACAATGTGCTATGTTAGCTGAAGCTAAGTGCTTTGGATCAGAAAAAATACAGCAGGGTAAGGGGTGAGGGCCTCTACGAAGAGTCAGCATCTAAGCAGTGATCTGAAAGGAGCAAGGGAGAAAGCAAGCTAAGCAGGTACTGGGGTCGGAACTTTCTAGGCCAAAAGAACAGGTGCGAAAGCCTTGCAGGGGGACAGCATGTGATGAAGACTTTGGGTTTCACTCAGGTGGGAGCCAATGGCTGGCTCCAAGCAGAAGTGGTGTATGATCTCATGTAGGTTCTGATACAGAGAGACAAATACTTATTGAAGGGTAAGGACAAGCAGGGAGGAGAGCTGGGGCTACTGTAATGACCCAGGGGAGACACAACTTGACCTGGATCACAGTGACTGGAGAAGGCTCAGGTGGCGCAGGTGAAGACTGAAGTGCCACCCAGACATTCATGAAGGTAGGGATGGAAAGAAGGCGCTTAAGGGAGAGGCAAAAACCAGAGAGCTGCACTTAGGAATAATCTGGGCACGATGACCTTTTAAAGAGATGACACTGGATAAGATCATCTCGGGTCGAGAGCAGACAGAAGAGAGCTGAAGATGGAACCCTCGACAGGATATGGTTAGAGGAGCCCACGCTCTTAACTGCTGTACCACTCCTCTGAACTGTTTCCACATCAGTAAAATTGAATCAACAATAATACTTATCTCACGTAATGGAAAACAAAGGAAATAAACTCATGTGGCACAAGGCTCTCAAACAAATGCTATTGATTAAGGATTTGGGGACTTCTTGTGATGGTGGTTTTATTTTGGGCAGTGCTGGGCCTCCCACATGCTAGGCAAACACTGCGCTGAGCTACATCCCCAGCCCTGGCCACAGTTTTTTTCATACTGCCAGTTCCTGTTAGTTGGGTGTCATCGTTCACAGATCTTCTCTACCTTTATAATCACTTTCTCCTGGCTCTTTTCCATGGCCAGGCCTTCTTCCCAGGTCACCAACCCCCCCAAACCCTCAGGGGCATCACTCATCAGAAGATCTCTGTTAACATAGCTGATCACTAGAACCGCACAGCTCCCCTCTACTCTCAGAGCACTCATGCTGCACCAGGCTAGATCTACCTGCCCAACTTGGCACATTGCTGGCCAGGAGGCATTTACTCATTCACAGAACTCTCACTTTTATTTATTTATTTTTTTTTATGGTAAGGGGGTTTGAAACCAGGGCCTCACACTTGCTAGACAGGCACTCTACCACTTGAGCCACTCTGCCATCCCCAGAACTCTTACTTTTGACTTCCCTGGTGCCAGCCAGGATCTTTACTCACTTAGTCTGCATGTCATGCATGATCGACTACTCTGCTGGGCACAGGAGCTGCCCCTCTTGGGAAGCGCCCTACTCTAGAGAATTCTGGGAAGGAACTGCAGGAGGAGAAGCTGGGAAGCCTGGAAACGTGGGTTGTCTCAACGAGGGGGCCCAGTTGCTAGAGCTGGAGGCCCGGATGTAAGAAGCAGGACAGTGGGTGGGCTCTTTGCTTCCCAGCCCTCATTTAGAGTGGTCGAAAAGATGACAAGGAGTTAAGGAGTTCTGGTGTGGGAGACCTGACCTTTGGGCCTCTTCTCCGGAGGTGCACATCCAGAACCTCAATTTTGCCGTCTTAACAATGAGAACAGGTCTAAATGATTCAGAAGACTCTTCCAACTCTTGATTTCGAGACCATGAGTCTCGAAACCCAGAAGCACCAGGACCCACACCACGGTCACACCACCACAACGTGCTTTGAGATGACTGACAGCCTTCCCAACCAATGCAGCCACAAGGACAAGCCAGGAGGTGGAGCAGACTCATCGAAATCTACCCCCTACTTAAATCCAGACCAATCAGCGTCGAGCTCCGCATGTGCGCGGTAGGGTCATTTGCTTGCTCTCTGGGCGTGCGCAACCTCTCGCCTAAGGCCTCCTCCCGCCTGGCATGCGCACCGCGCTGCAGAGAAGAGGGGAAAGAGGAAGGACTCAATACGAACCTTGGTTCCATCCTGAAAGTCAGGGAGCTCTCCTCGGCCCTCCTGTATCACACGCTTTTGGATCCCGTCCTCTCGGAGTCTTGCGATGATATCCGCCATCCTCCTTCCCCGGTGCTGTCTTTCGGCAACTTCCGGACTATCTCGGTAACTTCCGGATCTGCTTCGGCAGATACTAGAACCTCGGCAGCTTCGGAGCTGGCGCCATTTTGACTAAGGGCAGAAGCCAAAAAGGGCGTGAACGTGGAAACGGATTGTGATTGGCGGGGTGTCTCCTGGGGCAGGGCCTGAGACTGTCTAGGGGCGGGGCCCCGTCTACCAGGAGGGCGCGGCGGGGATGTCCCTAGTAATTGTGTCATTGACTTTGCTGGAACTGTGATCCTCCCTCCTGGTCGCGTGCTACTCCCTTTAAATTTGTAGATGAAATTAAAAAAAAAAATTAAAAAGGAAAAGAAAAAAAGTCGTAGTGCATTATGACAAAGGAAAAGGAAAAAAATTTCACTCATGGTGCCATACACTAAAACTACTGTTATTTTTGTATATTCCCTTCTGGGTTTTCTTTTTCTTTTGCATACTTAGTATAATTGTGACTTTTACAACCTGGATTTTTCTTTTCAGGGAATGTGACAGGGTGAGGGAGGGATGGGGGTGTAGCTCAGTGGTAGGGTGAGAAGCAGCACTCAGGATACCTTGGGTTCCATCCCCAGCCCCAAAAAAGAAAGGAAGGGAGGGAGGGAGGAAGGAAAAGAGAAGAAATGAAGAAGAAAGGAAGGAGGGAGGGAAGGAAGAGAATGAAGGAAGGAGGTAGGGAAACAAGGAAGGGAAACAAGGAGGGAGGAAGGAAGACAATGAAGGGGAGCGTTTCATACCCCTGTGGGAACTATTAGCACCCCTAGAGACTGAAAGAGCCCCTGCAGGGTTGGGGAGAGACTGGTCACCTCTGAGTCCAGAGGGCCTGGCACATAGTTGGTCCCAGTAACTAGCAGGGGATGGATAGATGATAGAAATAAGGTCCGTTGTGCACTGAAAGCGATCCTCTTGGCATGGGGAAAGTAGCTGTAAACAACAGCTGTGGGTTTTCTGCTCCCACTTTCAAGGTTTAAGAAAGGGAGTGGGGGAGTGTCCTGGGCCTCTGAGGGGTCTTCATCCCATCATCTAACTGTGAAGGATTATCATCTTTCCCATGAGCCTCAGGTGATAAGTGCTTCGAGTATTCCTACTGGTTCATTTCCCAGCAAGAAGTCGTGAGAGAGGGGCAGGACTTCTGAGGGAAGAGAAGAGGAAACCTACTTGAGTTTGTGATGGTTGTTTAAGCACAAAATTTACAGGCGAGTTCTACCAAATTTTGAACAAAAGGTAGTCTGTGTCTCATGCAAATTGTTCCAGAAAATAGAAAAAGAGGAAAAGCCAATCAACATATCAACATGAGAGTGGTTTAATCTTGATGTTTGAACCAGATGAACACACCACAAGGCAAGATAATTATAGTCCTATTTTACTGATACACAGAGCTATAAAATAAAACATGAAGCTAAAGCTGGGTGCCACTGGCTCAGGCCTGTAATCCTAGCTACTCAGGAGCCTGTGATCAGGAGGATCGAAGTTTGAAGCCAACCCGGGCAAATAGTTCCATAGACCCTATCTCAAAAAAAACCCTTCAAAAAATAGGGCTGGTGTAGTGGCTCAAGGTGAAGGTCCTGAGTTCACAGCCCAGTATTGCAAAAAAAAAAAAAAAATCAATTGATAAATATGTACTGATATGAAAGTCATCAGGGAAAAGACCAGTCACCCAACAGGGAAAAAATAAAAAGATATGAATAGGCAATTCACAGAAGAGGGAACCTTAATACTAAGTTCATGGATGAAAACAAAGCACACCTCGCCTCTGCCCCCCCCCCACTCTGCCAGATGCCAGTGGTTCACACCTGTAATCCTAGCTACTTAGGAGGCTGAGATGGGGAGGATGTTGAGATGGGGAGGATCACAGTTCCAGGCCAGCCTAGGAAAAAAATAATTTGTGAGACCCCACCTCAACAGAAAAAACCTGGGCATGGTGATCCACACCTGTTATCCCTGCTATATCTACAAGTGTAAAAATTGGAAGATTGTGCTCTAAGCCCAGCTGGGAAAAAAGCCGAGACCCTGCCTTAAAAATAACCAGAACAAAAAAGGCCTGGAGGCATGGCTCAAGTGGTAGAGCACACGCCTAGCAAGTGCAAAGCCCAGAGTTCAAACCCCATTATTTCCAGAAGAAGAAGGAGAGAGGGAGAGAAAGAAGGAAGGGACAGATGGAGGAAGGAAGAAAAGAAGAAGAAAGGAAAGGGGGAGAAAGGGAGGAGAGAAGGAAGGAGGAATAAAGGAAGAGACCAATAAGGTACCAAGTTTGATTCACCAGGTTGGCCAGCCCTTAGGAAGCTAGGTGACACCAGGTGCAAAGAGAATTCATAAGCCTGGGGGAGGGTGTCAATTGACAGCCACTCAGAAGAGCACCTGTGTGCACCCTGTGCCTGGAAGTCCTGCTCTGGGGCCAGTTCTCCCACAGTCCATAGGGGACAGAAGGAAGATTCAGAGTGGTGATGTGTATCAATGGGGGCATTAGGCCAACCTTAGTGAGATCACTGTGGGGGTGAGTGCTGGAAGGCCAACGTGGTGCTATAGAAGCAGCAAAGGAGAGGCATGCAGAAAACAGTGTTGAATGGAAAAATGTAAGAATGTAAACAACAGAATGAGTTTGCTACATGACACCATGTTTATAAATTGCAAACACATCTGAATAGAGGACAATGCCATGTGTGGTACAAACCAGGCAGGATCCACCAAAACATGCTGAGTTCAAACTCCAGTCCCACAAAAAAAAAAAAAAAAGAACCCACAAAAGCTGGGTGTGGTGGTACACATCTGTAATCTCAGCACTTTGGAGACTGAATGAGAACTGGCCAGGCCTGCTCTGGGTTACTCTTATGTTTTACAGCACAGAAGCTTTCAGGCTATGCCTAGCCTTAAGTTACTCCATTTTATACAACAACAGTTTTGATCTAAGTTACTTCATTTTGAGTGTAAGTGCCAAAATAGATTGACTCTGCACGTCATTTGTACAAACACCATCTATCAGCACACCATGAGGCACACGCTGATCATTTATTTGTGCCAATGAATAATTGATACAAATGTCATATCAGAAACATTGGACGCATGAACTTATGAATTACACCAGATGTAACCCCCTCACCTGGGACTATAAAAGAAGGACTGCCCCAAGACTGGGATGTGGAAAGCACACTAACCCGTCACCTGTTCACAGGTCACAGAAGTCAGGTAGGAGAATTGCCACAGTGAAAGACCTCTGTCTCTGTGCCCAGGCTCCAGCTAGAGCGCAGTTTCTCCTGCCTGTGACCCCAGGCCACTCGAACTTACATTTGACAAACCTGCACTTCTTATCAGGTCCCCTGCAGAGACTTTTCCTTGCATCTGCCTGTGCCCTCAGAAAAGTCCTCTGAACTCTGCAGCTTTGTTCAGTCTTTCATAGTCCCTTTATAACACACAACTGTGTGAAGTGTAATGTGTAATCTGAGAGGTAATGTCAGTAACTAAGATTGGAGTGCTTGCTTCGGCAGCACATATACTAAAATTGGAACGAGATTAGCATGGCCCCTGCTCAAGGATGACACACAAATTCGTGAAGTATTCCTTTTTTTTTTTGGCACCGGTGGGGGTGGAGAGGTGACGAGGAAAGGGGTAGGAGGATGAATACGGTGAAAATAATGTATGCACATGTGTGTAAAAACAATACCTGTTGAAAATGTTCCAGGAATCAGGGGAGGGGGGATGAAAGAGAGCAGTGGAGGGGGTGAATTCAAGTCTGATATATTTGATACATTTTAAGAACCTTTGTAAATGCTACAATGTACCCCACCTGGCACAACAATAGAAAATAAAATAAAAAAGATTGGAATAAGCGAGGCGGCCCCGGTAGCTCAAGCCGGTCATCCTAGCTACTCAGGAGGCAGAGATCATGAGGATCACGGTTCGAAGCCAGCTCAGGCAAATGGCTCGCGAGACCTAACACAAAAAGAGCTGGTGGATTGGCTCAAGGTGTAGGCCCTGAGTTCAAGCCCCGGTACAGAAAATAATAATAATAATTAATAATACTAACAGAGAAAAAATACGAAGATGTGCTTTAAAAAAAAAAATCACTTTGGCTGTTGCATGGAGACTGGATTGAAGCCTCCAGTGTCCACATCTGCAGAATGGCAAGAACATCCTTCCACGTGGGGCCTTGGTGAGCAAGGTGAGGAAAACCGCTCCATATGTCGGGATGCAAAAGGCCGCCTCTGGGGTCTAGGCGGCTGGTGTGAAGACCCTCCCAGCCCATGCAGGGCCCTGGGATTCCGCTGGAGCCGGGAACCAGCTGTCTCTCTCCGAGGCGGCCAGTAGACGGCGCTGCGGGCTTGGCCTGCTCTGGGCAAGACGCGGCCCCGGCTCCAATCAAGCTCTACTCTCTGCAGCTCTGGCCTGTGGAGGTCGGGAGGGGGCGGTGCCGTTGCGTGGGGCGGGGCCTCAGCCGAAGCGCGGGCCAGTCACGCTCCTAGACTGCGGGAGGGGCGGAGCTTGAGTGCGGGGGCGGGATCTGTGCGGTGGGCGGGGCGTCGTCATCTCTGGGCGGCGGGCGCAGATGGCGGCGGCCCTGGGCGCCTGAGCGGGCGGGGGCCATGAGCGCCGCCCAGCCCCAGTTCAGCATCGATGACGCTTTCGAGCTGACCCTGGAGGACACCGGGCCTGGGCCGGAGTCCAGCGGGGTCGCCCGCTTCGGGCCGCTGCACTTCGAGCGCCGGGCCCGGTTCGAGGTGGCCGACGAGGACAAGCAGTCCCGGCTGCGCTACCAGGTGAACGGCCCGGCCCACCTCACCCCCAGTTCCAGATAGGGCGGGACTCCAGGCCGGACCCTGGACAATCCTAACTTAGGGGAGAATCTGCCTAGAGGTCACAGCGGAGCCGGTGACTGCCCCCCCCCCGGACATGTCCCCTATTCCAGAGCCCTGTCCGTACCCTCTCGGTTCTGATTGAGGAGTAGTACTCAAGAGCCTGGAGCCGGTACCAGCTACAGTGGAGAGTCTACCCGGAGTCAACCCACACTGGGGACTGACATCCCCTTCTGGGTTTGGGAAGCCCTTATGTATTGAACCAGACCTTGCCCATCCGTGGAGCATCCCCTGACCCCCAAACCATAGTCTTTGCCCGCCCCTTGACTGCCAACTAAACCGGAAATCCTCATTTTCCCAGACAACCTCCACCAAGCCTAGGATCCTTTTCTTCCGGACTTGGACCAGATTTCTGTGTCCCAAACCTGGGAACCCTGCGCCTGTCCTTCCCTGCTTCCCCAAATCCAGAGCCTCCATTCTGGGCTCCTGAAATATATTGAGAGCTCTATCCTGACTCCTAAACTTGAGAGATCACCTGCTCCTGGGATCCTGCTGGCTCCTGCTCCCCAGGGCCCCTAGCATCCACCTTCTTCCTACCTGGGTTTCGGTTTCTGTGAATCATCAAACCCGTTCTGCTGGGAGGGTGGAGGGCCAAGTGAACAGCTGCCAGGCGGCCAGGCAAGCCGCTGTGTGGGCTGCTCTTCAACTCTCCCGAGAGGGGAGAACGGAAGCGGCTCAGCCCAGCAACCCCACTGAACCCCGTGTTCTGGAACAGAACCTGGAGAATGATGAGGATGGAGCCCAGGCCTCTCCAGAACTGGAAGGGGGAGTCAGCACCAGGTCAGGTTCAGGTGGGGACCCACCTTGTACCCTGAGCCCCCTGCCTTTGGGAACCTGGCCAGTCCCTCCAATCCCACTACACATCTCTCTCATGTTCTCTCCTATAAAGATTCCTAGCCCCCACTCCCCTGGTGGGGTCTCCTGTCCAGCAGGGTGACCTTATCTTAGTGCCCATTCTCACCCACCTATCCCACCCAAGCTTCTCATCCTGCGGGAACCCCGGTGTAGTCTGACTCCTACCGTCCCACAAGTCACCTGTCCTGCAGAGCTCCCAGCCCTTGAGTTCATCCTCATCCCGTTTTCTCCCAGAGCCCTCTATTCTGCAGGAGCCAGCACTAGTTCCTGTACCCCACACCCACACTTGATCACTACTCCTGTTCTTCCTTGCCTTTTCCTCACTGGGCCATGTCCTGCAGGGATTCCGGGCGAACATCCATCCGCAGCTCCCAGTGGTCCTTTAGCACAGTCAGCAGCAATACCCAGCGCACCTATAATGCCTGCTGCAGGTGAGACCCCCCTCACTTCAGCCCCTGGCAGCCAGCCAGCTAGCCCTGTCTCCCAGCCTTCTTCACCTCTTTCACACTCATCCTGCTCTCCTTCCACCCAGCTGGACCCAACATCCTTTGATCCAGAAGAACTGCAAGGTAGTGCTGGCCTCCTTCCTGCTTCTGCTGCTGGGGCTGGGTGAGTGCCCCCAGGGCCCTACCTCCCCTGTCTTCCTCCCCACCCCCACTGCCCCTTATGCAGGCTCCACATCCCCTTGGCACACTGGGCCTCACAGGTCTTGTTCCCCATCTTACGTGCTACAGGTGATGAACCAGGGTCTTAAGAGGAACAAGCCCAGGAGCCTGGTCTCCCAGCCAGGAAATCACAGACTGAAAATGGAACCTTTTTTTTTTTTTACTTAGCCTGTTTAACTGAAGAGTAACAGCTGCCATTTATTCTGTGTCAACATCAGGCAGGTTTATTTTTCCACTTACAGAGGTCACACAGCAAGTGAGAGGCAGAGTCCAAAACCTGAGGTGAGGGCAGCTACTCAGGAATACAGACATCCCTATGACCAGGGATGCTGAGTGCCAGCCAGCCTGATCCAGAGGTCCCTGTCACTTCCTCTTCTCTGGAGTCTGAAAGCTGACCAGGACCTCTCCACTCCCATTGCTCAGATGTCAGATGGAGGAAACTGAGGCCTGGAGCAGACAGATCTCACAGTCAGATGTTTCTGACTCCACACTCCTTCCTCATTCTAAAGGGCTGAGGAGGCAGGGTTCCCAGAAGGGATCCAGGGTTGGGATCAAGAAGCGTCCATAAGGAGGGACCAGCTGTAGCTGCCCTGCTGCTCCCTCCCCCCAAGGTCAAAGGCCCCAGCTCCTGATGCTGGGGAGGGAGTTTCCATTTCCCAACACTGCTTTATGTCAGGCACTAGCACTGGCTGCTCAAGGCAAGCATTGTTAGCATCATGGCTTCTGAAATAAGGGCACAAGCACAGGCTGGTGGAGGGGCTCAGGTGGCAGCTGGGAAGCAGATGAGCTGGGTTTTCAACCCACATCTGGAGTCCACCAGAAGCCCATAAAAGAGCTCTTGGGAAATTAGAAGAAGATGGCTCCTCTGGAAGGGAGTGGCCACAGCACTAAGCCAGGGGGCGGTGAGGGAGTTTGGGCCCTGTTTGAGATGCTCTGTGCAGTACATGAAACACACAACAGTCCATGGTAGCCACTAAGTTCCCAGGATGTACCACCTGCCCTCTTGCTGCACCTCACCCCATAGCTCCTCTAACTGGGGACCTAGGACTCTGGGTCTGACAAGTGGATCCAACATGACCTCTCCACCTTCCCCATTAACCACTGTTCATCAAAGTCCACATCCCTACCTAGCCTAGGGCCACAGGCCCCACCAGACACCTCCAGCCTTCACTTTTCCTGTCTGGTCTTGTCAAATGCTACAAGCGCTTAGAGCCCCAGTTTCCCCCAGGCTCTGTGCTGTTCCCTCTGTCTGGAATTCTTTCGCTGCCTGGATGATGCCCATAGCAAAGCCTCTAGAGCCAAACAGCCTCCACCTTTTGGCTGCAGCCATTGGCAGGTGACTTCTCTATATCAAATTCAGTTAAGGTGACAAATAAGGTAATACATGTAATATACTTAGCCCGGTGCCTGGCAGCACCTTGTAAGTGGTCAATAGGTACCAGCTGTTACTGCAATTGCTGCTGTCACCTCTGTACAGCTCAGATGTCTCTGCCTCCAGGACATGTCTCCCTGGTCCCACAGGCTGACTGAGCGTGGCTGTTCCCACACTGCCCTATACTTCCTCCACTGTATCCTGATCACTTGGGTCATAGCTTTCAGGTTCTGGTTGGTCCCTCCACTAAGGAAGGACCATGAGGACAGGAACCTTATCTGCCTTTTACCACGGAATTCCCGGTGCCAGGCATGCAGGAGGTGTTCCTTAAGTGTTGTTGAATGAGTGAAAGGCCACAAGGAGCACACAAAAATCTCATTTCACAGACGTTTTCCAGGGCCTGTCAAGTGCCCTGCTTTGAAAACACAGAGCTTGGTGAACTTCTTGGGGAGGGTCCCTACCCAGGCAGCATCCAGCTTAGGTATGGGGGGCTCATTCCCCAGGCCTAAGCCTGGCTGGGGGTTGGGGATGGAAGGCCCTGCCCTCATCCCCTCCCGTTCCCACCCTCGCGACTCCATCTGTGTGCAGTGCTGATCCTGGTCGGCGTGGGACTGGAGGTGGCTCCCTCTCCAGGTGAGCACCCCTCCTATTTCCAGAAACCTCCGCCTCCCTCCTGTGCCCAAGGGTCCTTGCAAGCCCTCCCGACTCCCAGCAGGAACCGGCCCCCTTTTCAGCGGAAAGGGAGGCTTGCCCAGGCAGTCAGCGGCCCCGAGGCCCTGAGCTGCTCGCCTCTCCCTCCGGCAGGTGTCTCTAGCGCCATCTTCTTCGTGCCCGGCGTCCTGTTGCTGGTCCCGGGAGGTGAGCGCGGGCCCAGGGCGGGGCGGAGGCGGGGAGGGGCGGAGCCTCGCGCTGACTGGCCCCGCCCCGCAGTCTACCACGTGATCTTCATCTACTGCGCGGTCAAGGGCCACCGGGGCTTCCAGTTCTTCTACCTGCCCTACTTCGAGAAGTGAGCCGCCATGGGACGGCGATCCGACGCTCAGGGCCACTTCCTCGCATCCACCGGGGCGCTCCTCCGACCCGCGCCCGGTTGCGCTCTCATCATCTCAAGGAAAAAGGCCCTCCGGGACCCTCGGAAGTGATTGCTCAGGAAGTTTGGGGCACGCAAGTCTGGCCTGGGAATGTTGCCCCTTGCCTGTTCCATGTCTTAACTTATTCTTGGGCCCTGGGGCTGCTGGGTTGCTGTTATTTCTAATAAAAGACTAATTAAGTATAGAGTAGGGACAGTTGTATTTTCCTGTCCCTCCACCCCTGGCCTAACCCACCACCTTCCACAAAGACTGAGAAAAGGCCTGACCCTGGGGCTTGGAGGCTCACCATCACCATGGTATCCAGAACAACCATGATGCTCCAGGGCTTGCCCAGGGTCATGATATGTTGAGGGCAGAGCTGGGCCTGGAAGAAATGGTCCCAGCCTGTCTGCCCCCAGCCCTGAGGGGACTCAGCCCACCACTGTCTGCAGCCACTGTCAGGCAGCACTAGCACCTGTCCTGGTGGCCTGGACAAGAGCACTGAGAGATGACGCAGGCCTGGGGCCACAAGGCTGGTATCCTGGATCCAGCCTGGCTCTGGGGCCCTCGGCTGCCCTGAATGTGGGCCATCCCCCTCCACTCACTGCCCTACTTCCCAGCCCAGAGGTTAGGAGAACCACCAGGCAGAGGAAGCAGGGTTTCATGACAAAGCTAGGGATCAAGACCCTTAGAGCCACAGGACATTAGAAACGCCATTTCAGAGAGACTGTTTCAGAACTTTGGAAAATCAGAGCATCTTAGAATCTTAGGAACTAAGAAACAGAATCTTTGAGAACACTGAAATCTGAGCTCATAATAGCCGCTATTTATCAAGCTCTTAGAAGGCTAAGACACCAGGCCCTGCTGAGCCCTGAACCCAGGTTAGGTCATGGAATCCTTATTGCCTCAGCCCCATTTTACAGATAGGCCTGGCCCACCCAAGGATAGCCAGTGGGTTGCCAACAGAGAAACATAACCCAGGGCTCCAGTCCTCTGACCCAGGGTCCTTTCCATGACTCAGGGAGAAGGGAAACCAGGCTGCCAGCAGCCAAAGGACCAGCTGAATGAGGGTTGTGTCTCCCTAATGAAAATGTGAATATCCTTGGGAGGGGACTGCCCCCCAACTCCACAGCACTAGGACGCTGGGCATATTAGAGTCCCTGCCTTTTCAGGAACTCCTTAACCAGTGCCCCCTCTCCCAACTAGCTTTATGCTTAGAATCTATAAGGGACCAATATTTCTGTAAGGTACAATGAACTAGAAGAATGAAATAAAAAGACACAAAATCCAAGCCCACAGTTTGTATTATCAGATCAAGCACATAAAAATTACATTTCAGCCAGACGCCAGTGGCTCCTTACTGTAATCCTAGCTACTTGGGAGGCAGAGATCAGGAGGATTGAGATTTGAAGCCAGATAGGTTCTTGAGACCCTATCTCGAAAATACTCAACACAAAACAGGCCTGGCAGAGTGGCTCAAATGGTAGAGCACCTATGTGGCAAGTTGAGGCCCTGAGTTCAAACCCCAATACCTCCAAAAAAAAAATTACATTTCAATAAATATAATCAGAACAAATAGGAAAAAGGGAAAATTACAAAAACTTCATTGAAAAGTGAGAATATAGGTAATTATTAAAAGTATCACTACTAAGAACCTTTTCTCATTCCACAGCCTTTTGTGATCAAGGCTGGGGGCCCTGTACATGCTAGGTAAGTGCTCTGCCACTGAGCAACACCTCCAACTCTCATTTCACAGTTTCAACTGAACTGAAAGTTATTCCAGAAGTGATGATTCCCCTTATTATAAATTTATTTAGGAGATAGCAAGTATGGGCCACAGAGTGGCTTTTCTACTTTGGAATGGTTGGGCAAAAGTCAAAGAACAAGATAACAAGAGGGCTGGAGGCATGGCTCAATTAGTAGAAAGCCTGCCTAGCAAGTGCAAAGCCTTGAGTTCAAACCCCAGTACCTCCAAAAAAAAAAAAAGAGAACATAATTAGGGTAAATGACATGTAAACTCACATGAGATTCAAATTTCAGTGTCAGTGAAATTTTATCAACTATTACGTATTACCTCTCCAACACCACCACACCTATTTGTTCATATATTGACTGACCACTTTGCTCTATAAACAGCAGGGTTGAATGAGCCTTTGCAGCAGAGACCATGTGGCCCTCAAAGCCTAAAGTATTTAGTATTCGCTCTCTGTCCCTTTGCTGCAAAAGTTTGCCCACTGTGGGTATCAACGCTTAAAGTTTCAGTATGACCAGTGAACTCTGGAGCAAAACCAGGGCCTCACACATGCTGGGCAAGCAGTTTCCCATGGAACCACATCCCCAGCCCTGGCTAATTTATCTACCCAGATTGCATTGACAGCTACACTTCTCAGAGAATAATGGAGACCTAACCTCCAAATAAATACTGCATGTAATGTATTTCTTTGAACACATAGTAATAGGCGCATACAGAGTTCCTTAGTGAATTGTGACTCAATTTACCCCTCCATACTGTGCCTCTTGGCCCATTTTTGCCCAATTCCCGTAGTTATACTAGCTTTTTTCCAACCTATCACTTTCAGTCTTCCAGTTGTCAGTATTCTGTGACTATATCTCCTATATGCACTATATAGACTGGACTCACCTATGGAGAAGAGTCTGATTATCTGTCCTTCTGTTTTGAATCTGCTCTCTGTCCTTGTACACGAACCCCTGGTTTTTAGCTGGGCCCATGATCACCCAAGTAAAGACTACATTTCCCAGCATCCTTTGCATCATGTGATAAATTCTGCCGAATGGGATATAAGTGATTCTCACTCTACCCATTTCTTCTTTTAATCTGCCTCCATCCTGCCACTGGGAAAAACAAATAAGGGCAAACCCTAGGGATGGGTTAATGTGTACAGCTGGACTCCACCTATAGATTTTTTTTTTAGAGAAGTCAATTTGTATCCAGGTTAAAGCATTGTTATTTTCAGTGTCTGTTACAAAGTATCTTTTGGGAGGGGGCTCTGACTTTAACGAATTTAATCTGGCTATATTTATTGTAACTTGATTCTTAAAGGATTGTTTCTACCTTCTGTTTTAATATTTTCTATGAATTGTGTTTTTCTTTGCTTTTTTTTATCTTTTTCAGCCTTCCACTAGTTTAATCCAGAATTCCTCATCTGAGGGGAGAGATGGTGGGGGTGAACCTAACCAATGTACAGCATAAGCATATTCAGAAATGCCACAATGGCTTCCCTCTGCACAATTAAGGTATGCTAATAAAAATGCTTTGAGGGGGAGAAAAAATAATTCTTCATCTACTCCTCCTCTTTTTTTTTTTTTTTCTTGGTGGTGGTGGTGGTGGTGGTTTTTGGGTTTTGATGGTACTGGGGTTTGAACTCAGGGCTTCCACCACTTGAGCCACTCCATCAATCCCTTTTTGGGGGGGAGGATATTAGGGATTGAACTCAAGACCTTGCGCTTGCTAGGCAAGCACTGTCACTTGAGCTATGCTCCCAGTCCTTCCTCCTCGGTTGATTTCACTACTGAATGAAACATTCTGTCTCTGTTATATTAAGGTTACCTTTAAATGAAGTCTAAAGTTAATCAGTATATTTATCCTTCTCTAAGACAATCATAACAAGCCTAAATCATTCCTTCCCTTCTTCCTTTTTTTTTTTTAATATTGTGCTACTGGGGCTTGAACTCAGGGCCTTCACCTTGAGCCACTCCACCAGCCCTTTTTTTATGGTGGGATTTTTTTGAGATAGGGTCTTGTGAACTATTTGCCCAGGCTGGCTTCTAACCCCGATCCTCCTGATCTCTGCCTTCTGAGTAGCTAGGATTACAGGCATGAGCCTCTGGCGCCTGGCTTCTTCTTCTGTTTTATTTTTGTCTCTGGGATAACTTTTTTCTACTCAAGGTCCTAAACATCTACACCCTTGCCACTTTCTCAGGCTAACTGGTGGAGACATGTTACTCCCCTTTTCAGGGTAGTCCCTTGAGGCTCTGGAGTTTATTTCAGACCATTCATTTCTTGCCCACCACATTTGTGCAGGTCTCTGTTACTTCTGAATGTTAGATGCCAGCCCCCAAGCCTCTATCCAGCCCTTCTAAAGCACAACTTTGATCTCTCTTTGCCTTTGAGACAAGTTCATTCTTTTAGGAGTTGCAGAGTTCAAATGGTAGAGTGCCTGCCTAGCAAGTATAAGGTCCTGGGTTCAATCCCCAGTACCACAAAAACAAACAAACAAACAAACAAACAAACAAAACACTTCAAAAATATTTTAGCCAGGCGCCAGTGGCTCATGTTTATAATCCTAGCTACTCAGGAGGCAGAGATTAGGAGGGCTATTGGAGTGGCTCAAAGTGAAGGCCCTGAGTTCAAGCACCACTACTGCCAAAAAAAACAAACAAAAAAAAATTACATGCATAAGTAGTGGGAGGGGCTTCAGCCACCTTCTCAAGTTACTAGGGATTCCCCCAACACTGCCCCTTACTTGAAAGCTGCCAGAGCCAGGGAACTCCCTACCTCCCTAGGGTATGGAAGGTTCCAAGTCTTGCTCACAGTGGGGAATGGAAGCCAGTTGAGGGCAGGTTTCCTCCCAGCAGCTGGAGGAGATGGAGGTGGGGAAGGGAGTAGGTGGGTGACATCACAGACAGACTCTGAAGCCAGGTGTGTTCAGGGGTAGAAGCAGAGTCTCTTCCATCCTGGAGCCTCTTCAGGTAGGGTGTGCAGTCTGGGTCTGCTGGGGTCTGGGCCCCAGGTGCAACAGGTTCTCCCATCTGGCATCTCAGTGTGTGGACAACATCATCACAAACTCTGAGAAACACAAGGCCTTGGGGCTTGGACTGGTCTGAGTCAGGGATCCCAGGAAGTGCTGGCTCTGTTGCCTGAGTGTTGAAGGGATGGGATGGGGATCTGGGACCCCCAGAAGGGATCTGACTCACCATCAAAGTCTATGGTGCCATCCCCATTCAGGTCCATTTCTTGGAGCATCTCATCCAGCTCAGTCCCCTCTAGCGGTTCCCCAAGCAGAGATGGTGCCGCCTGCCGCAGCTCTGCCACTGTGATTCGTCCATCCCTGTCCCTGTCAAACTAGGGTCCAGGCAGGGCTCAACCCCTCCAGCCCCACGCTGCCTCTGCACCTGCCTCCACTCTTGCCACTGCCTGGGGGCAAGATGCTCCCCACACACCAAACTGGCTTGCTTGGCCCAAACCTTCCCCATCCTCCTGTGCCAAGCTGGAGCCTCTGGCTCCAGAAGTCTCCTGGTTGGCACCCCCAGCTGGAGTAAGCCAAACCCTCTCCGAAGGTCTCTTGGCACTAGTCCTGCCACCTGCAGGGCTCTGGACCTCCTGAAGGCTGAAATACAACCCCACCCAACCTCCCAACAAGGATGTACCCACTGCATCTGCTGCCCACCCACACCATGCTTTGCACCTCTCGAAAGGCGATACGCAGCTCTCGCACCCCCAGCATGTGTGCCGTCTCCTCCCGCAGCTTTGGGCCTATCAGCTCCACGAACTCCTCGAAGTCCACAAAGCCACCCACTGTGTGCCCAAGCAGAGTGTCACAGTCTGGCCTAAGGGTGATGTCACAAGAGGAGATACCCACCTCCTCCCCAGGGCACCACAGCCAGGAAAATGGACCCCATCCATACTCCATACTCACAGAGGGGTGGAAGGCTTCCCTGAACTGCTGGGGAACAGGGCTACTGATGCTGTCAGTGCACATCTGCAGAGCAGGCAGCCCAAGTTCAATTCCTAGCTCTCCACTGTTGTGCATGACCTTAGTGGCTTACCAACCCTCTAGTCCTCATCCAAGGAGGGGCCTGGGAAAACCTACTGCTCTGGTGCCATCAGAGTTAGAGTTCATGGCTATAGAGTGCTGGAGCCCAGCAGGCAGTAATTAATAAATGCCCCTTCCAAAGCTCCCCCATGTCCACAGCCCCTCGATTCTAGGATGTTGTCCCGTGTAAGACACCAGTAGCTAACAGCTTTGGGGGAAAGAAGAGGAGCACAACGCTGATGTGCCATGAATCACAAGTCACACTCGTGCCAAGGGATCCACAGAGAGGGTTTGGCTTACTCCAGCTGGGCGTGCCAACCGGGAGACTTCTGGAGCAGAAGGCTCCAGCATGGCACAGGAGGATGAGGGAGGTTGTAAAAGCACTTAGCCACAAGGGGCAGCCAGAGTTTCTGGCATGCCAGGTCACATTGAGACTGAATTCCTGGTGACCCCAATTCAGTTGCCACCAGGGCATAGGAGTGGGGCAGGAGGGAAGGGGGGAGAGAGAGAGAGAGAGAGAGAGAATATGAGAATATGAGATCCCTGCTGCAGGTAGCTAATACCTGCAGAACTACACCTGGCTGGCCAGGGAGGTAGGACAGGCTCAGGTGGAAGGGCAAAAGTGTGCACAGGTCACACTGGTATCCCAAGGCCGGGTTCCTTAATCCAAGCCACAAAGGCCTTTCCTGGATCACCAGACTGCTACCCTGGCCCACCTCACTACACCTAGAGACTGGGAGCTTGGACCCTATGTCTCCACATCTGATGGGGCAATGTTGTCTGGATACTCCCCTTACCACTTTGACAGACTCCCAGAAGTCACCTCCTGCCCTGAGCCAGGCACTGAAAAACCCAGCCCTCCCCCAAGCATATCCAGGCCACTTCTACCACGGCCACATGCAGAGGCTCAGTCACTGACTGCGCATCTTCACGTGCTGTGAGATCTCGATGAGCTCCATCTCTGTGGGCATGTAACCCAGGGTCCTCATGCAGTCACCCAGCTCCCGGTAGCCGATGCAGCCATCCTGGTCAGTGTCAAACTCCTCGAAGGCAGCCTGGAGCTCTGTGGGGCAGGCACATCAGGCCAGGCAGCCAGGCTCAGGATCACCTCCTGACCCCCCCAACCCCCACCCTGGCCTGGGCAGTAACAAGAGCCACTCACCTTCCAGCTCCTCAGGGCCCAGCTCACGGTCCTACAGAGGGATAGTCCAGCATGTCACCAGGGCCAGCCCCTGCCTGTACTGGCCTGGACAGGGCCAACCCCACCAAGGTAGGTGAAGGCAGCTAAAGCCCTGTAAGTCTCAGGGACAGAGAACCCCCTTCCTGCTCCTGGGGTCTCAAACGGGCTCCCACAGAAGACAATGTCTGGTCTGCCTCTACCTGTGTCACTGAGGCCCAACCTGCCCTGACCTTCAGAAGCCATACTCCACAGCCTGAGCTCCCTCAGGCTGGGGCAGAAGTGGCAAGGAACCTGGGTACTTAGGGGCAGGGAAGGCTTAAACCAGGGGTGGGAGCTGCCACCCCCACCCCAGGCTCCCCAGTCCTGCCCAGGTCCCCCGGACCTTCCCGAAGATGCGGTTGAGCAGGGGTCCGTATGTCCTCTGTGCAGCATCCTGCTGGGTGGCAGGACGATGCCGGTGGGACTGGCGGCGAGAGGCTGGCGCAGGGGGCGCTGGGGGAGGCTCGTGCCCCTCTCTTGTCTTGGAGGGGTTCCTGCTGCTTCCTGGGGCCTCGGAGCCCTGAACAGGGGTCTGCTTCCCAGAACTGCCCTTCTGGGACCCTCGGAGCCCCCTCTCCCTCTTGCTCCTCCTCCGAGTCAAAGGGGGAGCTTCAGCGCCACTTCTGGGACGCACAACTCCTGAAGGGGCTTTCTGAAGGCTAGGGGCCAGATCTGGGCTGTGTTTTGTGGCCATGTGGGGAAGAATGACAGGGCTCAGGGATGTCATTCCCCTAAGTGCCCTTGGCTCTTAGGCCTCCTGAAACTGCTTATGCCTCCCCAGTCTTAGGCTGATCACCTGAGATCAGACAGTGATGGGGATTAGGATAAGCGAGGGAGGCAGCCCAGGGCCCTAATCCCTGCCCTCTGCCCTGGGGTGGCCAGGCAGAGCCAGATGGGTCCCTAGAGCTGTCCTAGGCAGCCAGGGTGTCAGAATATAGTAGCTGCCATGAGTGATGCAGTCAATATATCACTCCAAGTCTTAGTTTCCTCATCTGGAAAATGGGGGCTACTGCTGTAGAGTCGAACACTCAACCCAGTGTATGATGGGGCACGACTTAGTGAAGCAGAGAGAACCAGGGAGGGTACCTAAGGTGGGAGGAAGAGTGTGGGAAAATGATAGGACGAGTTGCTGTTTGGGGCCCCCAGTGGGTGACATATTGGCTGGGGCAGAGAGTATGTGAAACTGGGAACAGAGGCCTTGAGTGCTGAATGAAGGGAGGGGAGGATATTAGAGGAGGTAGACCCTGGACCTGGGACCCTACGTACGGCCTGCTAGGACCTGACAGTTCTTGCTCCCTATGGGACCTCAGAGCCCTGGACGTGCGTCTATCCCCCAGAACTGCCCAGGGTAAGGGGTTCCACTGTCTACCCCTGTTGGAATGGGGGGCCCTGACTGGTCACTTGGCTCTCCTAGGCCAGGGTTAGGGTTTCCCAGAGAGCAGCTACCATGAATCATTGATGCCCTCTCAGCTTGGGTTTCCTGCCTGCCGCCTTTGTGTCTCCGGGTGCCATGCAGCCGGCCCCGGTGTGGGGCTGGCAGGCGGCGGGGCCGCAGGCAGGCACACGGCCTACACCTCCCAGGTAAGCCAGGCACTCTGGGCCGGGCTCTGGGGGAAGGGTGCCCAGGTCTCTGGTACAGTAAGGGGCTGTAGGAGGGGTCTGCAGGGAGGGGTCTACAGGAGGAAGAGCAGAGCCCCAAGGTGTAGAGGACAGGGCTGGAGGCCATGGGCCTAAAGGCCAAGTGGCTGCACCCATGGACCCCAAGCAGGATCCAGCCCTGCTGGGGCATCCAGTTCGTCCCCTAACTGCATCTCCAGGGCAGTCATGATAGTCAGAGGGACGGTTTCTCCCTCCCCTCTGCCAGCTGGGTTTGGTAGGGTAGGGACATCGGGCTTCTTGGAGGCCAGGCCTAGATGTCTCTCAGCCCACCTGAGTCATCACCCCTTCTGTATTAAGTAGCTCCAGGGGGCAAGAGGGGCCATCTGTCCCTACACTCTGGGATGTAGGAAAGGACCACAAGTGGGAAGACAATGAAGGGGCATAAGTGTTCTCAGGACAGCCCTCCTGGCCACAGCTTGCCAGGGCCCTAGGCTCAGACCTCACCCCAAATTCCAGAGCAGTACTCCCTGGGGGAGGGACCTCCTACTGTCTTGAGAGCATGAGACTCAGAGACTGTCCTTCATGGAGTTTTAAATACTTGATACCCAGAATTTCAGGTATAAGGGGGACTTGGGAATTGCTGACCAAGGGTTTTCAAACTATTCCCTGGAATCCTAGGGGGTGAACTTCATCTTTAATCTGAGCTCTACCTTTTAGATTACATAGGAGTTCTGCTATACAACTTCATTTAGCTGGGCGCCAATGGCTCACGCCTGTCATACTAGCTACTCAGGAGACAGAGATCAGGAAGATGGCGGTTTGAAGCCAACCCAGACAAATAGTTCCAGAGACCCTATCTTAAAAAACCCATCACAAAAACAACAACAACAACAAAAAACCAGGCTGGTGGAGTGGCTTAAGGTGTAGAACCTGAGTTCAAGCCCCAATATTGCAAAAACAAAAAAGAGTAGACTGAGGCCAAGCCCCTGTGGCTCACGCCTGTAGTCCCAGCTACTCAGGAGGAAGAGATCAAGAAGATCAAGATTCAAAGTCAGCCCCCGGCAAACAGTTTTCAAGACCCTATCTCGAAAAAACCCATCACAAAAATGGGCTAGTGGAGTAGCTCAACTCAAATGCTAGAGCACCTGCCTAGCAAGCATGAGGCCTTGAGTTCAAACCCCATCACTGCAAAAAAAGAAAAAAAAAAAAAAGCTTCATTTAAATAAGATTGAACAGCTCTCTGACTCACCTCTCTTAACCTGTAAAACAATGGAAGACTATACCAGGGTCATCTATTTAAAGTTTCTGGCACAAGCTAGCTTCCCCAAAAGTGACAATAGTGGCCCAGAGAGGGACAGCAATTCGCCTGGAGACACAGGCAGCCTCTTTCTCCTATTCACCCCTTCATATAATCATTGATTCAGCAGGGACGAAGTCCGTGTACAGTGGGGACCCCAAATGGACACTGCCATGGAAGCCAACCTGGACAACACTGGCCATAGGCCCCGCACAGAACTCGATGATGAGGACTACTATCCCCAGGGTGGCTGGGACACAGTCTTCCTGGTGGCACTGCTGCTCCTGGGGCTGCCAGCCAATGGACTGATGGCGTGGCTGGCTGGCTCACAGGCCCGACATGGGGCAGGCACGAGGCTGGCCCTGCTTCTTCTCAGCCTGGCCCTCTCTGACTTTTTGTTCCTGGTGGCAGCAGCCTTCCAGATCCTAGAGATCCAGCACGGAGGGCACTGGCCACTGGGTACTGCCACCTGCCGCTTCTACTACTTCCTGTGGAGTGTGTCCTACTCCTCCGGCCTCTTCCTGCTGGCAGCCCTCAGCCTGGACCGCTGCCTGCTGGCACTGTGCCCACAATGGTACCCTGGTCACCGCCCAGCCCGCCTGCCCCTGTGGGTCTGTGCTGGGGTCTGGGTGCTGGCCACACTCTTCAGCGTGCCCTGGCTGGTCTTCCCTGAGGCTGCCGTCTGGTGGTACGACTTGGTCATCTGTCTGGACTTCTGGGACAATGAGGAGCTGCCTCTGCGGATGCTCGAGATCCTGGGGGGCTTCCTGCCGTTCCTCCTGCTGCTCATCTGCCATGTGCTTACCCAGGCCGTTGCCTGCCGGACCTGCTGCCGCCACCAGCCCCAGCCCGTGGTCTGCCATGGCTTTGCCCGTGTGGCCAAAACTATTTTGTCAGCTTACGTGGTCCTGCGGCTGCCGTACCAGCTGGCACAGCTGCTCTACCTGGCCTTCCTCTGGGACATCTACCCTGGCTACCTGCTCTGGGAGGCTCTGGTCTACTCCGACTACCTGATCCTGTTCAACAGCTGCCTGAGTCCCTTCCTCTGCCTCATGGCCAGTGCCGACCTCCGGGCACTGCTGCGGACAGTTCTTTCTTCCTTTGCGGCGGCTCTCTGTGAGGAGCGGCCAGGCAGCTTCGCGCCAGCCGAGCCACAGACTCAGGTGGACTCTGAGGGTCCAACTCTGCAGGGGCCAACTCTTGAGACCCAGCCACAGTCAGATCCCATGGCCCAGCCTCAGGTGAACCACCCTGCCCAGCCACAGTCAGATCCCATGGCCCAGCCTCAGGTGAAACCCCAGGTCCAGCCACAGTCAGATCCTATGGTGCAGCCGCAGTCAAGAGCTGAGTCCCAGACCCCTGCCTGTGCTGCTGGGTTGGCCCCCAGCCTCTGTGAGGAGGCCTCCCCTAGCCCATTACCAGATCCCTCCCCTGGAGCCCCTGAGAACCCAGTCACACCTGCTGCCCCGGAGGGAGAAAGTCCTGGCAGCGCCCCACCTGAGCAGGCCCCCAGTGCAGGCCCCACATGAGGGTCCAGGGAAGCCCAGGCCAACCAGGGCAGCAGAACAGCCAGAGGAATCAGCCAATCTGAGAGGTGGGAATATGGAAAACCCCACTGAGTCCCCGTCCCTGGGCCTGCAAAGAGGACTGAGGGGAAGTGAAATAGCAGCCGAAAGTCCCAGACAGTTGGTTGTAAGTGTCCCTTCCCCCACCCCCACCGTCCCATCAAGCTTAGTCTCTGTCAACCCGAGCCACAGCCCATACCATTCTGCTGGGTTCTGTCCTCCAACATCCCCAGATGTCTGTGCCCCCTGCCCTGTACCTTGTCCTGCTGGAGGAAGACAGTAGGTGACATTTGCCCTGAGCTTGACCTAAGCCCCCTTTTATCCTTCCCTTCCCCCCCCATCTGGTCTTCTGGCCTGGACACAAGGACGCCAAACAGAAAAGTCCCTACTGAGCTTCCAGAAACCCACAGCCCAGAACAGGAGGCTGAGGCCCTAATGGTCCACCAGCCATCTCCACGTGGCAGTCACCTTCCCCCAGCAAGCTGTGAGGCTGGGGCAGGACCTCCCCAGCAAGGCAGGCAGATAAGAAGCAGGAGTGATGACGCCTGTGTTCAAACGCTGCTCTGCCTTGCTCCGGCTGGGTAATTCCGGACAAACTATTCTATCTGAGCTCCTTTTCCATGAGTTGTTGGAGGATTAAATGAAAAAGCACTTGAAGCACACATGGGAGCCTGGCACACAGCAAGGGCTCAGTGAACAGGTGTCCTCTCCTTCACTGCCATGCAAGGATGGACCTTCTGGCACTGGGATGGATGGGGCAGGCAGGTGGGTGAGCCATAACTCCTGGTCAGAGCACCTTTGATGCTGTGACCAACCTGAACTGCAGACACCCAGTTTGCCTGAGAGAGCATGGAGCCACCTCTGCACCTTGAGAGGGGGGAGCTACAGAGAGTCCTCAATGTCTGACGCCACTCAACTAACATTCACCTGCAACCTCATCCCCTAGAGGGGCTGCACAGTCTGCCCTCACCCCACTTCCCCTCATCCCAGCCCATTGGCACAGACAGGAGGCAGCCCAAGCACAGAGTGACCTAGGCACCTATGGTCCCAAAAAGGGCAAAGGCTCCCCGGAAGTCACCCGGCCTGTCTAAGACAAAACCAGTGCTTCCTCCCCAGCAGCAGACGCTGCAGGAAAAACCAGGAAATGCTGAAGGGGTGTTTTGTACTTCCTTCCACACCACTCTCTCTTCACCCCATGCTGCTTTCTCTCAACCCCCCGTCCCCCCACCGCCCTCTCCCAGCAGCTAAGTGATGCCCTCCCCAGCAGGCAGTTACGCTTCACATGCTACTCTTCCAGGGTGCTTGCATTATAAAGGGACCAGGCAGCTGGCTGTGAAGACAGATTGGAGGAATGCAGTGAGATCTTGGTTCCAGTTAACTTGCTCTTAGCCTCAGTTTCCTTCTCTGTAAAATGGGGTGGTGTCCCCCTTGCAGGGCTGCCAGTAGTGGTCACAGGTGTGGGAAGGACACAGGTTGGTCATAGTGGCAGTTTCTAGTGATGGAATGGTAGGCACCAAGGCAGGCGGGAGAGAGGTTTCTGAACAGGTGTGAACTTGCTGAATTGATCCATCTGCCAGATGTCCTTCTGGCCAGCCTTTCATTTTGGAAACACATGGGCAGGGCTCAGGGTGTGCCCCTGGTGCTGCTCAGAGGTTGTTTGACAAACAGCTCCACCACTGGTCAAGTGTGATCTTCAGCAAAGCGCTTGGCTTCTCTGGGACTCGGTTTGCCCATCTGTAAAATGGGAATCATAATAACAATTGACCTCTATGAAGTGCTTGGATCCTTTGCCTGATATCAAGGAAGTGCTCAGTAATTGTTAGCCACAAGTTTAATGATACCAGTGGGCACCCCCAGGCCTCAGCCACACCTGAGACCAAACAGAGATGCAGGCCAGGAGCCACGTGACATGTAGCCTGCCCAGTAGATATTGTCCTCTTCACCCTGCCACCCTGCCTCCTCCACAGGATGTGTTCACCACCCCACCCCACCCCACCCCACCTCACCCTACTCCACCACATTCCTCTGCCTATTTGTTGGAGTGCACAGTCCTAAGGGCAGGGCCAAGACTTCTGTTCCCCTTAGCACTCTGCAGTGTCTCTTTCCCTTTTCCTGGCAGGGACCCCAAAACCTCTTCAACATGGTGGCAGATCAGTGAATAAAACCTCAGTATCTTCAACCGTGATCCACACTTAAGGCTGAGCCATAGCGGGTAATTGCTATTCAGGAGAAAGAGCACTTCCCTGGAGGGTTTTGCAGGATAAAGAGGAGTTCTCCTAGTAACTCAGAGGAATTTTGTGTTGGAAGAAACAGAGCCACGAAGGGAAAACTCACTCCCAAGCTCATTCCATGACTCCTCACCTCACCCCAACACTCCATGCGGCCAGGCTCCTGCTGCCTTCTGGGGGACTCACTCCTTCTCTAGGTGAGAGACGTGCCTCCCTCTCCTGCAGAGGGACAAGACCTTGATTCTGAGTGCTGTGAATATGAACATTTTTCAATTCTGCATTCAGGGCTGCTGATCCATTCACTCGACATGCATTCAGCGGTCTCTGTGCTGGGTCTCTTTCTGGGTGCTGGGGGTCTGTGGGAAGTGAGCCAAACTGCCTGCCCCAATTTGCTGGCATCCTGGTGGGTGAAGCTGACATAAAGCAGATGTACAAACAGTTACATAATGTAGCGTCTGGGAGAGATTAAGAGCAATCAGTGGGAGCCAGCCAGACAGTGACCAGTGACAGGGAAGGTGACACTTGAGCAGAGGCCTGGGGTAATGAGGGGTGGAGTCTCTCAAGATCTGAGGGAGGGGCTTCCCAATGGAGGCAAGGAACCGTATCTACCCGCAGCCAACCTGGGTGGGGTGGAGTGGGGAGGAAGGCCATGCCGCTTTAGGGACAGGAAGTGCAATGTCATTAGGCCACAAGTATAGTGGTGGGGGGAGGAGTGGAGGGTGGGCAGGAGTCAGACAGGTAACACGTGTGCGGGGGGACACAGCATTCAAGTGGGGTGGTGAGGGGTTAGACAGGGTCTTGAGAACTGAAGCCACCCAGGCCTTGGGGTGGGCTTTGGACGGGGTTAAGCTGTGGTCCTGTGGTCCTGCTTCCCAGTCCTCAAGTCCTGCCCACCAGCTTGGGAAACTTGACCCATGAGGACTAAATCCAGGCTGGGTGACCTTAGGCAAGCACCTGGGCCTCTCTGAGGGGAAGGAGATGAGGTACAAGCCCTAGTCCACCCTCCAACGCTCCGTGGGGGCTTCGTGCAGCACAAGGCTCCTTTTGACTTCTGCTCTTCCCTCCCCTCCCCCGTCCTCCTTCTCTTTCTGTGAAAGGGACCCTGCCATCACCCCTTGGTCAATCAGGGTGATGAACACATAGGAAGGAGGGAGGTCCCAGTGCCCAGGAACACCGGCCTGGGGGGAGGCAAGTGGGAATCAACATGGGATGGGGGGGGCGGATCTGGAGAGGTCAGTCTGGGCTCCATGTCACAGGAGGGCTGACCTCCGGCCTCCTCCGAGATGGGGGAGGAAAGAAAGGAAGGAGGAGGGATCTGCGAATCATGGAGCTCTATTTCCAATTTTAACGAGAAGCTCCGGCAGGACCCGCGAGCGTTATGGGGAAGAATGGGACCGCTGGCCTTCCCTTCGCTCTTCAAACACTGTTTTCGTTGTTAACCAGGAGCACGAACTCTTTCAAAACAGCCTCGAGGAACTGTCCGTGTAGACGCTGTTTGGAGGCGTTGCGGGGGGCTGCGCACTCGGGTTGGGGATCCGAGACGCCCGCGATGCACCTGCCGCCCCTCGGCCGGGTCCACCCCACCTCCGCCCGCCGCGGGGCGCAGGGGCTGCAGGGGCACTTGTGCCCCTTTGGGTGGGGAAGCTGCCCGGTCCCGTCCTCCTACGGGGCGGGGCTTCCAGACGCCGCGCCCCGCCTCCAAGCCCCCGCCCCGCCCTCCGCGCGTGACCTCGCCCCGCCCCTGCGAGCCCCCGCCCCGCCCCCGCCCCGCTCCTCTGTCACTTCCTGATTCCCGCTTCCTGCTTCCCAGAGGCCGGGATCCGGAGCCGCCCGAGGCCGCCACCGCAGCCCCCCGGCGCCCCCGGCGAGCGGTGAGCGGTAAGCGGTGAGCGCGGCGGGGTCGGGCTGGGGGCGCGGACGGGGGCGGGGCCGCGGGTCCGGGGCGGGGGCGCGAGTCGGAGGAGCCGGTCCTGTGCGCTGCGCCCCACCCTCAGTCCCTCGGCCGCCCAAGCCTCTCGCCTCCTGGGCCGGGGTCTCTGGAAGTTGGGTCCCTGGTTCACCTTGGACCGCGCTCCACGGCCACAGTGGGATGCTCCGCGACTGGCAGCGCCATCGCTACCCCGCTCGGTCCTCGCCGGGTCCTGCAAGGGTCTCTGGGCCGGGCTTCCTGCAACTCTCTGCACATTCTCTGGGACTCAGAACGGGAGCCTACTGGGGAGACCTTTCCAGCCTCCTCTGTGCCTCTTCCCCATCAGCCAGAACGAATGATTGCCCAGAAATGCTAGGATCTATAGGAAAGCTAAGCTCTCTCGGTTTCGCACCTCACCCCCCCAATACCAAAAGAACCATCGAGGGATGGGGAGAGTCCTCCAAAGCGCCTCAGGTCTCAGCTGTGGACAGGGCCAGCAGTCGGTGCATTTGTCCCCCTCAGGCCACCCACCTGGGGGAGACAGTGTGGTCCGCACCTCTGTAACTGGGGAAACTGAGACCAGGTCGGTTGTAATGATCTGGCCCTGCTTGCATCCTCCCCTGTGTCCCTCCCCTGTGCCCCTTCATGCAGCTGTGGGAGGGCTGGGGATTTCAGGGCTGGGCTGGGCTGGGCTGGGCTGGGCTGATCTGATCCAGACTGTCTGCCCTGCAGAAATGTCCTTCCGCAAAGTGGTGCGGCAGAGCAAATTTCGGCATGTGTTTGGGCAGCCGGTCAAGAATGACCAGTGCTATGAAGACATCCGAGTGTCCCGTGTTACCTGGGACAGCACTTTCTGCGCAGTCAACCCTAAGTTCCTGGCAGTGATTGTGGAGGCCAGCGGTGGGGGCGCCTTCCTGGTGCTTCCCCTAAGCAAGGTGGGCCCATCAGGGTAGGCAGCAGGGCTGGAGGAGCCTGGGCCACACCTGTGTGCAGCTGCACTGACCAGTCTGATCCATCCCCAGGCTGGGCAGGTGTCATAATCCAGATTTATTGCCTAGGGAGGTGTTAGTTCAGGTGGTGAAAGTGTTTACTGCCATCAGCTCAGTGTCAGAGACTATAGACATTTCCTGTTCACCTGGGGGATTGAGCACACATCTGGGTCACCTGTGAGCCAGGTTAGGCATATCACTCCCACTCATGGAGCCCAGAGAGTCTTGGTTCTCTTTTGACTGTCTTCATGCCTGTAGACGGGCCGCATTGACAAAGCCTACCCCACAGTATGTGGGCACACTGGACCTGTCCTGGACATTGACTGGTGTCCCCACAATGACGAAGTCATCGCCAGTGGCTCAGAGGACTGCACAGTCATGGTGAGCACACTCTTCAGGCAAGGGTCTCTGCACAGCTCAAGGCTTCTGGTAGCAGAGGCCTCAGCCCAGTGTCTCCATCTGTAACATAGGTATGGCAGATCCCAGAAAACGGGCTGACATCCCCACTGACAGAGCCAGTAGTGGTGCTAGAGGGACACACCAAACGCGTGGGCATCGTTACCTGGCACCCTACGGCCCGAAACGTGCTGCTCAGTGCAGGTCTACACCTCTCCCAATCCCCACCCACACCCTCTCCATAGGTGGTTCTGGAACATCCCAGCAACCTCTCCTAGGCCCATCTGACAGAAGGGGAAACTAAGACCTACCCAGATCCCAGGGGAGTAGGCAAAGTGGGCCTGATGGGTTGATGTACCCCACCCCCCCTTCTGCACACCTGGGCCTCAGCTGATGGCCTTCAACCTGCCAGGCTGTGACAATGTGGTGCTCATCTGGAATGTGGGCACCGCAGAGGAGCTGTATCGCCTGGACAGCTTGCACCCCGACCTCATCTACAACGTCAGCTGGAACCACAATGGCAGCCTCTTCTGCTCCGCGTGCAAGGACAAGAACGTGCGCATCGTCGACCCCCGCCGGGGCACTCTGGTTGCAGTAGGTGACCCTGGAGGGAAAGAATGGCCGTGGACAGGCCTGGGGGCTTGGTGGGCGCTGCAATGACCACCTGTCACTCCCACAGGAGCGAGAGAAGGCTCACGAGGGGGCCCGGCCCATGCGGGCCATCTTCCTTGCAGATGGCAAGGTGTTCACCACAGGCTTCAGCCGAATGAGCGAGAGGCAGCTGGCACTCTGGGACCCAGTGAGTGGCGTGGTCAGCCCATGGGAGCAGGCTTGATACTGGGAACCCGCCCTGAGGAGCTCTACCCTGGGCCAGGGGGCAGGGGTTGCTCTGGAGTAGGCCTCAGCTTCCTAGGTCTTCAGTCTGGCCCTTGAAGCCCCCAAACCCCAGGACACTGACAGTCTTCCTCTGAGGGCCCCCTGCTCTCCAGTACTCCCCAGGCACCTCTCACTGCTTCCCTGTCTTTGCTACATTGTTCTTGCCAACAGAAAGGACCTTCCCTCTGCTGCCTGTTCCACTAGCTGGTGGCCCAGTCCTTGCCCTCAGCCCTTTCCCTGCAGCACTCTGTCCCACAGCCATGTGCTTTTGCATAGTGATCTCCAGGGCCCCTCTGAGAAAGCAGCTGGTGCTGCCTCACCCTCCCTCTACCCCCGGCTCTCTATGTGGGGACTTTCTTAGCACTTGCTCAGTGGCATAGAAGTAGTCTTGGGTCTGGAAGAAGCTGGAAAAATGGGGCCCTGGGAGCAGAGAGAACTGCAGCATTTTGGGGCAGTGCACACTGACATGGGAGGCCAGCTAAGGCCAGTCCTGGCAGAGTGCTTGGGATGGGGGAGTTCTGGCTTGGCCTGACTGCCCCCATGTTCCAGGAAAACCTTAAGGAGCCCATGGCCCTGCAGGAGTTAGATTCAAGCAATGGAGCCTTACTGCCCTTCTATGACCCTGACACCAGCGTGGTCTACGTCTGCGGCAAGGTGGGGCTGGGCAGGGCTGGTGGGGGTAGGGAAGGGGCATGGTTGAGGGCTGAACCCCCTGCTCCCACAGGGTGACTCCAGCATCCGGTACTTTGAGATCACTGACGAGCCCCCCTATATCCACTTCCTGAACACATTCACCAGCAAGGAGCCCCAGAGGGGCATGGGCAGCATGCCCAAGAGGGGCCTGGAGGTCAGCAAGTGTGAGATCGCCCGGTAAGAGGGGCCACCAAGGCAGCCATCTACAGGCAGGTCTTACTCAGGGACCCAGCATGAAGATGGGTCCACCTGGGAGCAGGGGCCTGACCACCAAGGTGAGGTCAGAACACAGGAGGCTGCTCAGGTCCAGGAATGCACCTCAGGGGCCCAGAAGTTAGGGGCAGCCTGTAGGGATCCTTGAGGCAGAGAGGCAGGGTATACCATGAGAGAGTCACAAGGCAACGGGTGTGTGTGTGTGTGTGTGCGTGTATGTGGCCTTGGGTCATCTTATGGGAAGGCCTGGGTGAAGACTAGACATGGAGGGTGGAGGGAGCCAGGAGAACTAATGGGATGGGGGCCTTGGCCCATGGCTCCTCCCCTCCCTTTCCCAGGTTCTACAAACTGCACGAGCGCAAGTGTGAGCCTATTGTCATGACTGTGCCAAGAAAGGTAAGGCCACCTGGTTCCCTTGCTCACTTGCTTCCTTCTGTAGCAGGAGACCCACACAGGGTGGCAGGTGTGTGGCTTGTGAATGGGTATGGTTGGTGTGCTGCACAGATGCCAGTATGCCCTGGGACCTCACCAGGTGTTCCATGGATGGCACAGGGTAAGCTGAGGCCCTACAGGAGCCATAGGACAGAAGAGGCCAAGTAGCCAGGGCAGAGCAGCAGCCACAGAAGGCCTCCTATAAGAGACAGGACACACAGCAGTGCTGTTGTGGTGCCATGGTGGGGGAGGGGCAGTCCAGGCAAGGACATGTGGCTAGGAATGGAGAGAGTAACCCGGGCTCTGGTTGCTGTGGAGCGTCCTGTGAGGAGGGGACAGGCCACATGTGACTTGGTCTCAGATGCATCCAGGAGCCTGGGACACACTTCCACTGTTCTCCAGCCGGCGTTCACTGAGTGCTGCATTTAATGTGCCAGGCACATCTCAGAGCCAAGCTGGAGCCAGGCTGAAAGCCTGCGCCAGGAGCTCAGTAAGCCCACAAAGCCTCTCTGGTTTGCAGGGGAGGGTGGTGACAAGGACATTCCCAGGAAGGCTGGGGAAGGCCTCAGAGGGAGCCATGGGTAGCAGGCATTCAGAAGGGAAGTGTCAAAAGACAGGGATTTTTGTTGTTTGTTTGTGGTAGTACTGGGATTTTGAACTCAAGTTTCCTGAGCCATACCCCCAGAAAAAGCAGGTTTAAACTCTGAAAGGTCACTCAGGACAAGAACGTTGGAGGACAGAATGACAGTGCACTAGAGGCCAGGAGAGTGGTGAGGAGGTTACCACCCAGAGACCAGCTGTAAAGTCCCTGATGGGGAAGAAAGGGAGGACCCTCAACTGCTCCTGATCTCCCCCATCCGCCTTGCAGTCTGACCTCTTCCAGGATGATCTGTACCCTGACACAGCTGGCCCTGAGGCGGCCCTGGAGGCAGAGGAGTGGGTGAGCGGCCGAGACGCTGACCCCATCCTGATTTCACTGCGGGAGGCCTATGTGCCCAGCAAACAGCGAGACCTGAAGGTCAGCCGGCGCAATGTGCTATCCGACAGCCGACCAGCCAGCTGCACCCGCCCCGGGACAGCCACATCCACAGTCGTCACCGGTGATGCTGCACCCAGCGGCAGCCTCACTGGGACTGGGGTACATATCTCAAGCAGGGGTGTGGTGGTGGGGAGCCCTGGGTGTTGGCCCCATCTGCTGTGTACCTAAACAGTTTGCTGCCCCTCTCTGGGCCTCAGACCACTGCCTGGTGGGGGTGGGTCTGGGGAAGGTTGTAGATGATGCTCCTGACTCCTTGACATCCCCCACAGGAAGCTGGAAAGCTGGAAGAGGTGATGCAGGAGCTTCGGGCACTGCGGGCGCTGGTCAAGGAGCAGGGGGAGCGCATTGGGCGCCTGGAAGAGCAGCTGGGCCGCCTGGAGAATGGGGACACCTAGGACCACCACCCAGACCTGCTCCCCACACTGCCACCTCCTTCACCCCCTTCTCACTTAGCTTCTGCTGGCAGGCCACACAAGGCTTTGACTGCCCAGGACCTCTGGGGCACCACTTGGCTTTTGTCATTATTACCATGGAGGAATTTTGTACCAAGGCAAGCTCGCTTGTACTCTAAGGGACCATCTCCCCTGCCTGCCCAGCCGTCTGCCTGCTCTCCAGAGGAAGTGGCAGGGATGGGCTCTATATTTTCATTCCAAATAAAATTTTCTTTCTAAGAGCCAGGTTTGACCTGCTGATGCTGGAGGAGGTGGTGTCTGAAAAGTTGGGACAGGTGAGGGAATCACAGATGTGAGAATGATCCAGGAGCCATGAGCAGCCCCACAGTTAGTGCTCCCCTAAATCCTGCCAGGCAGAGAAACTGAGGCAGAAGACCTAGTGACGATTCCATGACAGTGTCCTGCTTTGTTTATGGTGGTACTGAAGTTCGAACTCGGGCACTCTACCCCTTGAGCTACTTCACCAGCCTCCCGTGTGTCCTGTTTTAAACTGGACACCTACTTCCTTCCTGTGGAGGCTTGGTTACAGCCTCATTCAGTGAGGCCTGGAGGATTTGGTGTGGGTCTGGTGGTCCTAAGAGGTTGAGGCCCCACCAGGGTCCTGGGACAGGAGTGGGTGGGGTATTGTGAGCAGGAAGCGGAAGCGTCAAGTAACTCCTCGCTGCAGTTGAGAGCTCTGGAGCTCACTTGCTCAACACAGCCAGAGTGAGAGACAGGCACCGGGTGCAGAGGCCAGCGAACCAATGGTGAGCATTGGAGCTTGCTGGGCTTGGGGGGCATAGATGGTTAGGGCTGTAATAATAATAATGTAATAATAATACCAGGCCCTGGGAGTTAAGGACGGACCCTCCCCCGCCCCCCCACACACACACAGGAGCTCAGGGCAGAGGCAGAAGCTGGTCCTCACTCACCTCAGAGCTGGGCTCCCTGGGTCTCACGGTATGATCCCCAGCGTCCCACTCTAGGCCTAGACCCCCCAAGACCCCTGAGATAGACCCTACCTGGTCTTCTCAAGAGCTGAGCTTGGGCACAGCTCCTGCTTGCGTTCCTGCAGCCTGGGGGAGGGGAGCAAGGGAAGGCTCACAGCCAGCAACCCTCCCTGCCACCACACTCCCCACCTGCCTTGTTCCAACCGCAGGCTTCCTCTGACAGCTGCACCCACCGCCCCCAGCCCGGCCCTGTGTGCCTGAGGCCCTTGGGGACCTCGGGGCGCTGAACGGAAACCATGCAGCTGGGGCTGCCCCATGGCTGGGAGGAAGAGGGGCCTCAGGGACCCCCATCCTGGGATTGAGTCAAGCAGAGGGTGAACAGTTGCCTCTGGGTTAGTCCAGGCCCCTCATCCTGGTCTCTGGAAACTCAACCTGATGCCAGCCTTGCAGGCCCCTTCCCTCCCATCAGCCTCCTCCCCAGGCAGTTTTCACATAGCCAATAATACTCATTTGAACACCTAGCAGGTGCCAGGTATGGCTTTAGGGGCTCAGTCCCCCCAAATTTTCTGCAAGGCAACAAATTATCTTCTGTGTGGGGTGTGGTGGGAGAAGGTAGGGCGGGTTAAGGGGCATGAAGGGGCTGAGTGCTGGGCTTCCATTGTAAACAGCAAGTTGGTGGCTCAGGTCAGGTTGGGCCTCACTGAGGTGAGGCCTAGGCCCAGGTGAGCAGGCAGCCATGTGTCTCTCGGGTGCAGCGTTGGGACACAGAGAACAGTCACTGCAAAGGCATCAGGTCGCAGTGGAAGGTTGGGTTTAGGGTTAGGGGCTGGGCACATTGGGCCAGGGCCTTGACTAAATAAGGACTCAGGCTTTTCTGCTTGACTGTCCTCACTTTGCCTGAGAGTTAAGTGAGACCTTCTCAGGGAGGAACGGAAAGTGGTCTTGGCTACCCAGCCAGCCCCACCCCAAGGTGACAAGCCCCCATTGTCTCCCACAGGCTCTGCCCTGTGCTCTTGGGCTTGGGATGCTGCTGGCCCTGCCAGGGAGCCTGGGCTCCGGGGGTGGTGCAGAGGACAGCACAGGCTCCAGCTCTGTCACCATCGTCCTGCTGCTGCTGCTGCTCTTGCTGCTGGTCACTGGCCTGGCCCTGGCCTGGCGTCGCCTCAGCCGTGATTCCGGAGGCTACTACCACCCAGCCCGCCTAGGTTCTGCACTATGGGGCCGCACCCGCCGCCTGCTCTGGGCAAGCCCGCCAGGCCGCTGGCTTCAGGCCCACACTGAGCTGGGGTCCCCAGATGATCCAGAGCAGCAGGAGGAGGAGCCCGATGTAGATGAAGATATCATAGATGGTGGCCTGGAGGAGGCTACATGCCAGGAAGATAAGCAGCAGTGTGGAGCACAACCCCACCCAGAGCAGGCCCTGGAGCAGGTCGAGGAAGCACATGACAGTGACACCGATGGGGGCCTGGGCCTTGGCTCCCAGGGGCCAGTGGGCTCCGGGGGCAGTGCCGAGGCTCTGCTGAGTGACCTGCATGCCTTTTCAGGCAGCGCAGCTTGGGACGACAGTGCTGGGGGAGTGGGGGGCCAGGGACTCCATGTCACAGCACTATAGGAGTCAGCCTTTGTATCCCATCGCTGTTACGGCCTTGCTATGCCCCTCTTCCCAAGCTGCCACATTGGAATACAGCCTGTCCTGGACTTGTCACCCCACCCCTTGTATAGCATACAGACTGTCATCTCCACAGTTCCCAAGCCCAACTCCTCTGAAAGGCCATCGACAACACAGGCACTGAATAGCCATTTGAAATAAAACACCTCCAGCCTTGTGGTTCTGTGGTCCTATAATGTCCTCTCCTCTCTCTAAACAGGGGCTTCTTTCACACCCTGGAGCCCAGCAAAGCCAGTCAGTGCCATGATTCAGTTCTTTAATTTGGCAAGGGCACAGCTAAGTGAGGAGTCCCTCCTGGTGGGTCACCCCCCTTGCCAGCGATTGTAGTCTGCAGCCCTCCATGTGCATGATTCTGGGGCTTAGCCGCTTCCTGCCAGACACACACAGTCCCATCCCCGGACACACCCAGGCCTCTGAAGCCAGCCGGGGTCCTCACGGCCTACAGGAAAGGTCCTCAATGCTGTCCTCTCCCCACTTATCCTCCTAGCGCCTGGGGCGCCCACGGCCCTTCTTGGATTTCTTGGTCCCTGAGAGGGGACGGATGGGGAGAGGGGCAGTGCTTGAGGGTGGTGGTGGTGATGGTGGTGGCAGGAGTGGAGGTAGAGGTGGCTCCATGGGCTCTGGTGGGCCAGGGCTGGGCCGGAAGCCTTCAAAGGGAGAGAACTTGAGGGGGCTGCAGGGGAAAACAAGGCAGAGTCAGATCCTCTGAGGCCTGGTCAGGGATGTGGCACTGGGTGAGGGAAGGCAGCCCCTGTCCCAAGTGTGCAAGGACTGGGATCCCGTGGTAGATGGGGAGACTGAGTGTGGCCCTGGTTAAGACCCTTAGCCAGAGCAGAGCAAAGCTACCACCTCCTGTCAGCTAGAGCTCCCTGCTCTTCACCCTGCCCTTCATACCTGATGGGGGTGCGAGGGCTGCTGTTGAGGCGCCGCGGGGAACGCAGCTTGGGCTGGAAGGAGAAGCCCTCCTTGATGCTATCCAGGACGGAGGGTGCCACATATGTGAAGCCCTGAGGGGGAAGAGACCAGGCTAGGTGACACTCAGGTCCCCACTCAGCTACAGTTCCTGTCAGTCCTGGTCCCCACGTCCCCCAGGACCTCACCAGGAAGGCCTGGTCAGCACTTTCACTGAGGGCCGTGTCATCTGGACTATCCACTGGCGTCTGGCGTGTGAAGCGGGTATCAAACTGGCTTACATCCTCCTCTGACTGCTGTGGGCAGGTCCACATGGGAAAGGTCAGAGGGCCCAAGGGAAAGGGTCTCCTGTGTGCCCCCTCTCTTGGGGTCCACATAACTTGCACTCACCAGACTTGGCCTGAAAGGAGGGTCCACACGGCGGGCCAGAAGATCATCCCAATTGATGTGGCGGAAGAAGGGGTGTCTCTGAGGGTAGAGAGTGTCCCCAAACATGCCAACAGTTCACCCTGCCTGGCTCCTGTGGTAACTCTGTCTTTGGGCCCTGCCCCCTTGTGGCGGCCCCAGACTCACCTGCACCTCTGCGGCATCTCCTGGGCCACCCCCTATCCGTTGGATGGGATTCCGCTTCAGAAACTGCAGGACCAGGGCAGAAGGTGAGGACCAGGGGAAGCTACTGTTGGGTGAACCCAGCTCCCAGGCTGGCTGGGGGAGGGGAGAGGCCTACTGAGCCCTTCAGGACATTCAGAATTGGTTCCAGTGGTGCCTTCTCCACAAAGCCTTCACAAAGGCTCCTGGTCACTGGTGTCACCACTGATGGCTTAATAAGGATCCATCGCCAAATCTGGATGAGCCCCCTTCCTTCACACCCGCTGGCTGCTGGCCTTTTGGATGGAAAGGGGGTGAGAGAGCTCACCAGGACAACTTACTGATTAGGACTTAGACCCAAGACTGTAGCTGAGGCCGGGGCTCAGGGTCTTGAATCCCAAAGTGTGGATCCTTTCACTCCCAAGCACACCACACAGGCAGGGGTGGCATGGGCTCCCCCATGACCCAGGGATACTCGGGAACACATACAAAGTGGCCAACAGGGCCTGGGAGAAGAGATAGGGAGCATGACCCTCGGCAAGAGGGAGCCCCACCTTTTTAGCAAGGTCCCGGGCATCTGGAGTGAGGTAGGGGGGCAGCACAAGCTTTCCCTTGATGATTTTATCCATGGTCTTCTTCCGGTTCTCTGCAGTGAAGGGTGGCTAGAGGAGACAGAAGGTGAGGACAGCCTGTGGGCCTCCCACCAGGCCTTGGCCAGGCCCAGGAAAGGGATATCCCCCTCCCCTGCCCTCCTCCCAAGGAGGCTGGACTTGCCGATCCAGTGAGCATGTCGTACATCAGGGCCCCCAGGCTCCACCAGTCCACTGCCCGGTTGTGGCCACTGCGCACCAGGATCTCAGGGGCCCTGGGGGCCCGGTGGAACTGTCAGTCAGGCCAGGCCCTCTCTGGCTGTCCTCATTCCCCCCTGAGCCAGCTAGGTACTACTTACATGTACTCAATAGTTCCACAGAAGGTGTGTGTGACAGCGCCCTCATGAATGGACTCCTTGCAGAGGCCAAAGTCTGTCAGTTTGATGTGGCCTGAGGAAAAATGTTGGAGAGGTCCCATTCACCCTCAGACTCCTCAGCCCTGCTCTGTAGACCCATGCTACGCAGCTGCATGTACATGTGTACACACATGCTCACCCTGGTTGTTGAGCATGATGTTCTCAGGCTTGAGGTCTCGGTAGATGATGCCTTGGGAATGGAGGTGACCCAGGGCCAGTGTGATCTCCGCCAGATAGAAGCTGCAGAGACAAGACAGGGTGAAGGTGGGCGAGGATGAGAATGGGCTGGGGTCAGGCACCCAGGAGAGGGGCAGGCATCACACTCACCAGGCGGTGTCTTCTAAGAAGATGCCCTCTCGTTCCAGATGTGTGAAGAGCTCGCCACCTGTAACACAAAACACATCAGCAGCTATGTGCTAGGATCCAGCCCTGTCATTCTCTCTGAGTCTCTGTTGCTTCTTGGGAAAAGTGGGGCTTGTAAATCCAGCCCTACCTGCCTCCCAGAGCTGCTGTGGGGACTCAATTCAACTCAGCAAACATCTACCGACACCTACTCGGTGCCTGGCCCTGTGCTGGGTGAAGCTGGGAGTAGAGATGAGGAGACCCAGCCACTGCCCTCAGGATGCTCAGTCTAATGGGGAGACAGACATGCGCACACTGCTCTAGGACACCAGGCCAAGGTGACAGCTCTAAGAGCTCCCTACAGAACCTCATGGTGGAAACAGGGCAGACAAAGTTAATCCTAACACTAAAGAAAGAAAGGGTGGTGGCAGCAGGCTTTACAGGGGGAGGGAGGTGAACTGAGATAACAAGAGGAATGCAGAGCGTGCAGGGAGAAGCATGCAGGGCTCAGCTGACACTGGTGAGGCAAGAGGAAAGGGCAGGCCTGCACCACCTCATGGTGAGCAGGGGTGATGGGCTGGGAGGCCAAGGCTTTGTCTAGGCTAGAGACTGGGGATTTTAGGAACAGTCTGGCTTTAGGAATATGACTCTGGCAGCTAGTGGAGGAGACACCAGAAAATGTGAACTGGGACCTCAAACCCAGTTAAGGAACAACAGTGACCCCTGCCTGAACTCCAAGACAGTAGAGAGGATGGGGGACAATACTGCAGAAGATGCAACTAGATGGGGACTTGGCCAGATGAAGGGCACACAGGGGAAAAGGCAGGTGAGAAGTAGCAGAAATGGATGAAACCATCCTCTGGACTTCTATACAAGTTTCCACCACCCCAAAACAGGGGAGGCACACATGAGGCTCTGGACAGATGTTTGCTGAATGAATGAATGAATGAATGGACAGATGGACACATGGGTAGGTGGTAGGTGTAGGGGGCGCCCCTTAGCCATCCTCTCAGAGTTCCTCAAATTCCCCAGTACTTCTGGTGCTAGCTTCCAACTGCTCCCAACCATCCCCATCCACCCTCAGCCTGCCCTGGCCCGCTTGCCTACCACTGAGGCACTCCAGGATGAGGTAGAGCTTGCCGCCTGTCTGGAAAGCATAGGCCAGTTCCACAATGAAGGGGTGCTTCACAGACTCCAGAATGTTCCGCTCAGCCCTTGTGTGTGCTGTGTCCTTGGCATTGCGCACGATTTTGGCCTAGAGATTCAGATTGGTTAGAAGATGAGGCACCCAGATCTCCAGTTCCTCTAGCCATTAGCCTTCTCTTTTGCTCCATACCCTGTTTTGTTGTTTGTTAGTCAAATGCTCAACACAGAACATAACTGCAAATATTTAGCTGTGAAAAAGGAGCTAATGCTTCAGTATAAATGGGAGACGTGGTTCTTTTCTTCCAAATAAATACTTAAACACAACTTTGTCAGACAAGCGTCTAGACTCTATATCTGGGTAGCCCATGGACCTGAAGTAACATCATGATTGTCCCCTCAGTCATCAATACATGAGAGTGCCTTCCTAGAGCTTTCTCCAACCCTCTACAGTTATGATCTTTGTCAGGACAAAGATGGCTGGAATTTCTCAAAAGTCTATAACCATAGAATAACCTGATTCTACATGATTCTCTTGGTTCACAGCCATGATCCTTCTTCTATCTTCTGTCACTCCATTGAATTTCTAATTCTGCCACTGTCAGCTGTTAGCCTTTTCAGGGACTGGTTTATCCTCTAACACTAGGTTTTTCAACCATGATACTATTTTTGTTTTTGAGACAGGGTCTCACCATACTGAATACCAACAGCACTCCCCTTACCAGTCCTGACAAACACATGTCCAAGCATGTACTGTCCCCTGGGAGACAAACTGCCCCAATTTGGGAATTACTGCAAAACTGTATACATCACAATAGGTAATAAACTAGCAAATGCCAAAGACAGGGACTGTCTCTGTCATGTTCAATGTTGTATTCCCAAAGCCTGTCATCGTGAGTTGGGGGTGACAGCCACTTAGTATTTGCTGGCTGAGCAAATGACTCACCTTCCTCAGGACTTTCATGGCATATATTTTGCCCAAGTTGGTGCCTTGCACCTTTCGTACCTGGAACACCTGTAAGGCAGGGGAGACAAGATCAACTTCCCTCTCCACATCCCATTTTCAATGAGCCCCACCCTTGAAGTTCTAGCATTGGGACCAAGAGGCCTAGGTTCAGGCAAGGGTGGGGCAGTAAAAGATCTCTATCTGATTCTGAAAGAATCTGCCCTTCCCTCCTTTATGTTTCTAGTTCTGAATCCCATCAGAGGCTCTTCTGACTTACAAGCCTACTTTGTGTTGAGAACTGTGTGCTGAAGCCATGAGGAGGGGATTCCAGTACCTTGCCATAGCCCCCCTTGCCCAGCACACGCAGTAGCTCAAAGCAGTGGGGCCCGATGCGCTCAGGGCCCAGGTTCACATTGGTCTCGGAGAGCTCCACCTCCTCATAGTGTCCCACAGGCCTAAGGACACAAGAAGTTAATGGGGGCAAGGCTCCACTGCTCCCTAGGTCCCCTTACCTACTCCAGTCCTCCATCCCCCAACAAGACCCTCACTCACTCCTGGCCAGCAGCTCTCAACTCAGCAAGGGGACACACGTCCTGTAAGAAACACAGGGGTAAGAAGATAACAGGATACCTCCTCCCATCCCCAGCTGGATGGCTTGGCCCGGGAGAAGGGGAACAAGGGGTAGATGGCAGGTGATGGGCAAAGGCTGGAGAGGAGAGGCCGAGGGCAGAAAAGGGAGAATCAGAACCAATGGCTGGGGATGGGCTGAGTGTGGATCCGAGTTTAAGAGAGGCCAAATCTGAGCAGGATCTGTGTTTGCAGGGGTCGGAGCCCACTCCGGGTAGGCAAAGCCGCGGTCCGGCTTGGGTGGGTGACAGGTTGGGTTCCTGGGTGCAGTCGCGCTAGGAGGGGCACTCACCGCGGAGCTGAAATCTGGGTCGCCCTCACCCTCGCTGCCTTCCTCTGTCTCCAAGTCTAAATCAAACACGGCAGCCATGGCCGCGCGGGCCTCGCCGGCCCCTCGACTGGGACTTAGCAGAACTCTGACTGACAGCCCCAAATTCCAACCCAAACATTATCATTTCGCGACCGCGGCCGCGCGCTCGGATGACGCAAGGTAGCTTCGCCCTCCCTTGGGCCAGCCGCTTAGCCTGGCGGGAAGAAAAGATGGCGACCGTCGCAAGCCCTCTCGGGAGTTGTAGTTCAGGAGGTTCAGATCGCCAATCCCTTAGCCTACGGAACGCGCTTTTCTGGACTGTCTCTCTAGCACTGTTCCCCCGGGTCGGCACCAGAGAGGAGCGGCCCAAAGGCGCCAACTTTGGCTCTGGGTAAAGTTTGAGGATGGATGGGCAGAGCAACAAGTGCACGCAGGTGTGATTGTAAATGTAATCCTTAGCCCTACTGGAGCCAAGCTTTGCCATACTGGGTGAACAGAGGCAGGTCGCGTCCCTGTTTGAGTTCTCTCCTTGAAGGGGAAGCAGCCGCATTAGGGTCTCCCTAATATGCTTGCGACTCATGGTCTCTGTAGGTCAGATATTTATTGAGTGATCAGTTCACTGCCAGTTTCTGTTACCAGGCTCCTGCCCTAAAGAGCACCTAAATATGGGCTTTTGTCAATTTAAGCCCATTTAGTAATTTAGCTGCCTGGTGTAGAATAAGCACTTCATAGAACATGGTTGGAAGGATGAATGAACTAACACACTAAACCTGGTAGAGGACTTCAAATTGGGCATGGATTCCTGCTAATGGGACTGGGGTGGGAGGAGTGGATTTGGGCTAGACCAGGCCTTGGTATGAGCTCTGATTGTTGGGATCTGTCTGGTTGTGCCCTTCCATTGCACAGAAGAGGCTGAGTGTGAACTCTGGTAGACAGAAGTTAGGGTCTGTAGGCAGGCATAAGGTTATCTGTTTGAACATGACCTTGGGTTGTAATCTCAATAAAGGAAGTCCTCAGGTTTTGGCTCTGATGTGGGTGTAGGGCAGGCCCAACCTGTGGGGTTTCCCTCAGCCCTGGATGAGTCAGGACCCACACACACCTAGTGGATCCTGGGAGGCGCTGTCCAGTCAAGAGAGCCTTTCCCACAGTCCAGACACTTTGCTAGTTCACAAGCCTTTATTTGGGGAGGGTGATTACGGAGCTGCCCACAGTTTCTGTGCTGGACAGAGGCAGAGTTCTTGAAATAGCTTCCCTGAGCAAGGAAGGGAACATAGATGCCCTCTGCCAGCGGTAGGTAGTATGCCAGAGCCAAAGCACTGAAGTATAGTGGAGAAGGTGCATGCAAGGGGGTATTCACAATTCCTGGGGCCACTTATGAAGAAGGGCAGAGAGGTGAAGGGGCCTGGAAAGCGAGTAGGCTCTTGCGTTCTATCCACATCCATTATGGTAGGCCTTTGTGGGCAGTCATTTTTCCTCTCTGAGCCTGCTTCCTCCTCTGTAGACTGGGGGCAATAGAGTCTTCCTGGAGGTATGAGGGAGGTGATTATGATGACCACAGGCCACCTGTTTCTACCGCTCAGGCCAGCTGTCACAGGTGGGAAGCACTGTGGGAGTTTTCAGTAGGTTCTAGAACTATCCTGGAATTTGCATAAGACAAAGAAAGGGGCTTTAATCTCAAGTTGTCCTGGGATTTGTCCAAGACCAGGGGCCTAGCCAGGTTCTCTCCTGTAGGTGACAGGAAGAGAGATACACCTGGAAGGATGGAGAGGAGGGTCTGGGCTTGGGCCACTCCCATTTGGGGTGGCGGTGGCAGTGTGTGTGTGTGTGTGTGTGTGTGTGTGTGTGTATGTGTGTGCATGTGTGTGCAGCTGCTGTTGCTTCTTGAGAGCTAACATCCCAGGGCAGCTGTGGGCTGGATAGAGACCTTTGAGAGGACAAAAACACCAGCAGCCCTCAGATACTTGTTTATGTTCCTTAGCCCAGGAGTCTTTGATATCAAAATGGCCCTGCTGCTCTGAAACAAACCTGAGACATGGGGGTGAGGAGGAGGCTGGGGTGGGACAATATGGAAAGAGGCAGGGAAGAGTCCAGGGAGTGGAGGGCACCTCTGCCCCTCCCCCTAGCACTTCATCCCTGCCCCCTGACCCAGTGCTATTTGAAATGAGACAGGAAGTGGGCAACTGGGTAGTTGGGCCTGTCGATGCCCAGGCCCTGGCAGAGGCCCAGCAGGCGGTGGCAGGCCTCGGCATGGGTGTGCCCAGTACAGGCCACATTGCAGAAGGGCTCCTCATACTTGTCAGGCTCCAGATTCTCCTCCAGCAGATTGAGGCGAAGCAGGCCCTGATCATGCAGGCCCTGCAGGGTCTCTCGGGTGGTGGTGGAACTCAGCACCTGCAGGTGTTGAGACAACACACACATGATGCCAACCAGGTGGCCACGAGCCCGAGGGTGGGTGGGCAGGGCAGGCCGCAGGCCACAGGCCACCATTGCAGAAGCCAGCAGTATGTCCACACCATAGAGCTCCAGGATCCAGTTGCGCAGGTAGAAACCGCCCATGCGGGGGTTGATCTCAATTAGCCGGGGTCCAGCCCCTGTCAACTTGAGCTCCACATTGAAGACCCCATCAAGCAGGCCGCAGCCCAGGCAACAACGAAACGCTGCCTGCACCATCTGAGCCTCCTGCTCTGGTGCCAGCACAGTGGGCATGCAGGCTGCCGTCTCTGTGAAACCAGGCAGCTTCGTGGGGCCATTGTCGGAGACAAAGGCAGCCAGCAGTCGGCCGCCAAATAGTACCAAGTCCACATCATGCTCGGTGCCCTCGACAAACTCCATCAGCAGCATGGCATTACCCCAGCCCAGCCCAATGCCTGGGTGGTCAGCCTCACCCTGCAAGTCACGGGCGATCCGGGAAAAGTGCTCATGGCACTGTGGCCCATCCTTCACTAGCTGCACGCCCACTGCTCCTGACCCGAACTCCAGCTTCATCACACCTGGCAGAGGTACCTGATGGACAGCTCTTTCCACATCAGCCTCACTCTCCAGTGGGCAGCAAGGCACGGCATGGAGGGAGGGTGCAGGCCAGGGTGGGCCCTGGTGGCGCAACAGGTGCAGCTGGGTGCGGCTCTTTTGCTTGGCCAGGCACATGGCAGTTGGGGTGTTGCAGGGCAAACCCAGCTCCTGGCAGAGCAGGGCTGTGAGCACCAGGCAGTCATCCCAGAAGGAGAAGCAACCATCTAGCTGCAGGCCTCGTGCCCGCACCTGCTCAGCCAGCAGCCGTGCATTTTCCTCATCCCTCCGATGCTCCGTCACATCAAAGTGGATGAAGGTCTGCACCAGCTGCGATGCAAAGTGGTTGGGGTGTGAATCTACCACGTGCAGCTGCAGAAACCACAAGAGGATGGCATGCCCAGGTCAGCAGGTTCTGGGTGTGGAAGAGACAGGATGGGGCCTAAGATAGGTCCCTAGCCTGCAGGGGAGACGGGTTGTAAAGACTAGGTGATCAATAAATGTTTGTTAATTGAATAAGAGACAGCAGCATCCTAAAAGAGACAGTGCTGGGCTAGTGAAGTGGCTCAAGTGGTAGAGCACCTGCCTAGCAAGCACGAGGCCCTGAGTTCAAACCCCAGTACCGCCAAAAAAGAAAGAAAGAAAAACAAAAAAACATAGTGCTAAGCTGAAGAACAGGTATCAGCCAGAGGAAAGAGAGGAGAAGGCTGCTGGAAGGAAGGACAAAGTCTGGGTGGGAGAGGTGGAGTGCAGGGAGAGTGTGCAAGAGGGTATATAGTGGCACATTCCCACAAGCAGCCTCCTGCAGGCTTGGAAAAAAGCCACCAGGATGAGGGTAGGGACAGGTAGTTTGCCTGTCATTCACTCCACATATTCTGACACTAGAAGTTGCCACACAGAAATTCTGTGGGGCCCTGTGTCCCCAAAGGTTATGGCTCAGTGGGGCAACACAGATCCAAAGCAGCTGATACATAGAGCAGAGCAGCCACTGACAAGGGAGGGGAGGTGGCTGTGTGCTTTGTAACACTTGGCATCAGGAGTGGGGTCATAGTCTAGCTGGACAACACACTCCGAGGCAGGGAGCAAAGAGTCTGGGATGGCTGGAGGGTGGTTCCCTGGGGAGTGTCACTGTGGGAGAGGGGAGAGGAAGCCTCTGTGGTTGACTGAGAAGGCCTGTTTTCTTATCTGGTCATTGGAACTAAGACTGTCTACAGGAAGCCTGAATCCTAGCTAAGAGATCAGGAGGATTGAGCCTTGAAGCCAGCTTGGGCAAACAGTTCACGAGACTATCTTGAAAAAACCCCAACACACACAAATAAAAGGGTTGGCGGAGTGGCTTAAGTGGTCGAGTGCCTGTCTAGCAAGTGTGAGGCCCTGAGTTCAAACTCCAGTACCGTCAAAGAAAAAAAAAAAAAAAAGAATTATCTACACGTCTGCCTGGCTTGTTGTAATGGGAGGCCACTGCTATAAACTTGAGATCTGTAAACTGCACCTCCTGCAGGCCTTGGGTGCCAAGTATCAGGAATTCAACCTCAACCGCCCGCCCTTTTCCCAGGACAGAGCCAAATCTGCTAACCTTGAAGGTGTCCCCTGTCCCCTGCCATCCCATCCCATCTATTCCAGCCTCTTATTTCTGTGGAGGGCTCGCTGCCCTTCCCAGGGGCCTTTCACACTTGGCGAGGACAGAAGGACCTCTAACAGCGGTAGAACAAGCGGGTTGTTCCCGGGCGCCTGGAGGACGCCCCGCGCAGGCCCCGCCCCAAGGGCTAGCTCCGCCCCTAAACCCCAGTCCCGCCCCTAGGCCCCGCCTCCACCACTCAGGCAGCAACTCCGGGCGGGGCCCCGCCCACCTTGAGCCCGTAGTCGCGCGCAGCCTCCCACACGAACTTCTTGCTGACACCGCCGGCTCCGATCACCAGCAGCTGCTTGCCCTCCATGAGGCAGTGCGCCGAGCGCCGGAGCATGGTCTCCACCAGCAGCGCGGCCGCCGTCTCCTCGGCCGCAGGTCCAAGGCGCGGCGCGGCCCACAGCCCCTCGAGCGCACCGCACGCCTCCAGGCACAGGCCGCAGTTCAGCTTTAGGGCCACCGGGGTCAGCGCGCGGCCGACCACTGTCAGAGCGAAGTCCACGCCTGTGCCGGTCGAGGAGCGCGGGCTCAGAGCCGTGGCCCTCGGCCCTCGATCTCCCCATCCCCCGGCACCCAGCTCGTGTTGTCCGCAACTCACCAAGGAAGTCAGTGCGGGCCTGGCGCCCGCCGCGCTGCTCTGCGCTCAAGCCGGCCTCCAGGGCCAGCACCGCGGCCAGCGCGGCCTCAGCTGCCTCCTTGACGCGCTGCCGCACCACCGCCACCTGCGCCGCCTCGCCCAGGCCGCACTGGGCCAGCGCCACATCCAGCGTCCTTGGCAAGGTGTTCTGATGTCGCAGAAGTCGGTCTCCACGACCTACACCGCACACCACCTGGGCAGGGTATGGCTCAAAGGGCTGGCCCAGGAGGAGGCGTTCTCCCAAGACTGACTCCTCTAAGTCCTCCCTCCTATCTTGCTGCAAGTGCACCTTCTGGGCAAGATCCAGTCCAGACCCTTAGCTGGGCATTCAAGAAGTCTTACCCCCTCCAAAATGGCTTAAACTGCACAAACCACCCATCCTCCCCTGCCATGCCCATCTGGTCTCCAGACTGCCAGGGACTTTACCCAGGTTTCCAGTCCAGGCTGGGATCTCTGCTCCCTGACAGCATCAAGCATGCTTTTGTTCCTAGCTCCTGCAGCCACCCTAGTGTGTCCAAGCCCTAGCCTATCCCCTGGAAGCCCCTTCTCTTCCCCATTGGAGCTCTGCCCTGAGGGTAGAATGTCTCCTTCATAGCTTGGCTCAGAGCTGGGTACCCAGAGGTTCCCCAAGTGTTTCTAAGCTCCCCAGCTTGGAGGCCAATTCTGTAGGGCCAGAGGTTTAGAGAGACCCTAGATTAGTTTCCTCTGTAAGCAAGAATGCTTGGGGAAATGAATCAGCCCCCTGTGTACTAGCACCAGCATGGACTGAGCACAGGAGCAGGGTCTCCTGATTTAGGAGAGGCTCAAGAGGGCTGGAGGAGAAAGGAAAAGTTATCAGGCCCAGGAGTTCCCCTGAGATAACAAAAATCCCCTCAAAGATTTTGTTCTGACTGCCCACAGACTGTCCAGGGCCACCTTCATCAGCTTAGTGGAGCTGGGCCGGGGTGTGGTAGATAGGATCATGACCTGGATCTAGGCCACTCTCACCTTGCTCAGCAGGGGCCTGTCACCCTGAATCCTACACACCACGGCACAGATACGTACAGCCAGCTCAGGGCCAGGTGAGGGGCCGTCTGAGGGAAAATGGGGAGGTCTAAGCCCAGCACAGATGATCCAGGAGGCTGAGCCACGCTCCCACCCCTGGCTGGCACAGGTGGCTCTCACCTGAGAAGGGCAGCTGGGCAGGTGGGCACATAGCCTCCACCAGGACACCCTCTTCCTCCTCTAGCTTCTCCAGCAATGTCAGCACTGTGTCCACCACTGTGTCTAGCTCTGTCCGGGGGTGGAGACACAATGTTTGCCGCCCCTGCCAGCGCCAGCCGCTGAGCTTCACAGCCACCTGCAACAGAGAGGGGAAAGGGACCTCCTTGCCACCACCCCATGTACCTGAAAGGTTGAATGCTCATGTACAGGTGCCAATGAGTAAACTGAGGTAAGAGGGCAGGGCATTGCTCCAGAGAGATGGCTCAGTGTCAGGGCTACGAGCTGGGGACAGCTCCCCAGTAGGACTTGGTAAGGATGTGTTGGTTCCCTCCTGCTGGTATCTGCACAGAGCCTCCGTGTGGGCAGGGGCTTGTTACCTGCAAGGCATCACCCAGTGCCTCGGAGTGCAGAAAGTCTCCTACTTCCTCTTTCACTAGTGTTTCCTGGCCTTCTTTGCCACTCAGCTCCACCAGCCGTAGTCCCGGGCTGGCATCCCCTCCCCGCAGCAACCCTGGAGGCTTGTAGGTGAAAGCCAGGGTGGCTGGCACGACCACACCACCCTGTTGGGACAGCAACCGCCTCATCAGCAGCCGGTCCTCCAACAGCCGAGCCAGCTCCACAGAAGCTCCTGTAGGGCAAGTCAGGTTGCGAGCCAGCTCTGCTGCCTCCCGGCCCCCACCAGGTCCTGGCCCCAGGCTGGCCAGGAAGTAGGTGGCACGCCGAGGAGGGACAAAGTCATCCAGGAATGTCAGGCCCCCTGGGTGGAAGCTCACAGCCTTGGAGACCAGCAGAGTGGCCTCACCCGGCTGTCCCAGTGCTGGCACTTTTGTCAGCCAAGCAGGGGACAGGCAAAGGAGCATGTTTCCTGTAAGCAGACAGAGACAGGTGGTTAGTCAGGGAAGGCTCTATTCCACCAGCAGTCCCCACCTCCAGCTGGGGCTTCTGTGTCATGGGGGGCAGGCGTTCCCAGAACCCACCCCTATTCCGAGTATGGCAGCTGGCCCCATGGAATGCTGGCTGTTGCCAAGCTTGGTGGGGTATTTTGGGATATGGCTGGACCAGGGCGGGGCTGCCCTTTCTGTAGGAGGGGGCGGGGTACTTGGGCACACACTCACCAGGGCTCTGGACCCCACCCTCCAGCAGCACAGACAGAAAGGTGCTGGGGGATCCCAGAATGCACAAGGTCACCTCTGCCCCAGGGCAACCTCAAGGGAAGAAGAACATTGCAAAGCTCACCAAGGGCTCCCCTTGCTGCCCTCTGCCCACCGTCCCCCGCCCCCCCTTCCCCCACCTCTGGGCCCCAGGCTCTTCTTGGGGAGCAGATGAGAAGGGTGCAGGGGACAGAAGGGAGCTGGATTGGGAAGAGGGAGTGCCCACCCATCCACACATCTTGCTGGTGGTTCTGAAGGCACTGAAGAGCTGGTACTACCCTGAAAAGCCAGTGTTCCAAGGTAGTACCTTGGAAAAGCCACTGTTTCTCTGCACCTGTTTTCCAGTCTATACAATGGGACCAAGTCTGTGATTCTCACATATTCTAGTTGTGGAAACTTCAGATCACACAAAATTATTGTGGCCACCTGACTTATATATAAAACATATAAAGCAGGGGAGGAATCTTGGGATCTCAGCAGCTCAGCTATCTCCACAGCCCTCCCAAGTCACTTCTCTAGAAGTTTCAGCTCCACAGAATGTAATTTGCAAATCCCAGGCCTGGATTTCTGGGGAACAGGGTGGGGGGGTGGGACAGTAGAGAGCCCTGATCTGACTTCACTGATGCCAGATGCTCTTGCAAATGATGCCTGTCTTCCCTAAGCAACCTGGCTTTGCCTCCTTACCTTTAGATGGAACCAGAGCCTGGGAGAAGGGGCCAACCTCCATAAGGATAGGGAATCAACTGGCTGGGGGCCCTTCCCTGCCCCCAGGGGTGCACTCCTCCATGGAGCCCTCAGGCACCTGTGCGGGGCACCTGGCTGCGGTCCTGGGTCTCTGGAAGGCCAGCTTGCTGCAGACAGCTCTGCAGGAGACTGTAATAGTAGACAGTCCAGGCTTGCGCCTCAGCCCCCTCCGGGGAGCCCTTGCAGTCCAGGCCTACATCCTGCCGCCAGGGGCCAGGGAAGCAGCCTGTGGGTGGCAGGCCAGAGTCCCCTCTCCATGGGCCCTCCTCTTCTTCTAGGTCCTTGGAGCCTAGCGGGCAGTCCCACTTGGAACTCGATGGATCCAGGGAGAGCTGAGGGGGGCAGAAGTGACAGGTCTTGGGCAGGATGAGCACAGATCACCCATGACATTAGGTCACCCAATAGTGTAAGTCCTCCCATCTCTCCCAACCTGGGTCACATTCAGGGAATCAGGAGAAGGACTTGGGGGAAAGATGCAGTTAGCAGAACAGAAAGTATAGGTGTGGTGCTTCCGCCAGAGAGCAGGAAGCAATGTCCCCATTGGCAGGGCCACTGACCCCCATTCCATGCCAGTGTCTGCCCTAGCTGGGTTCACGGGGCAGTGTTCTTTGTTTTGTTCATCAAGGCCAGGTAGCACCCCAACAATGCCTGGTACACACTAACTGCAGCATAAATGTTTGCCAACTGAAGAACTGATGAGGAATGAGCCCAGTGTCACTTTACCAGGGTCTTGATATTTGCCCAGCCCTGCCTTGAACTCTTGATTCTCTTGCTTTGGCTTCCCCCATGCTGGGGTTACCAGCTTGGCTCTTCCTTCTTTTCAGGTGTGTGGAGTCCTGGCATGCTTTCTTTGAAGGAAATCTGGCACCCCTGACCCCTCTTTGAGGCTGGTTGACTGGAGGAGGGGGAGCTGCTGCTGGGAGGTTCAATGTGACCTTAGGTAGGGACACTTATTCCTTGCAGTCCTCTGTTCTGGACAAGCCTGCCATCTAGACCTGTCTTCCAGTGAATGAGCTAGTCCACTTTGGGCAGGTTGTGGGGTTTCTCTGGGCCTGGTGTGTGGCCGGTGCCTGCTCTGTGCCCCCTCAGGGGTGCTGAGGAGGTGTGGACTGGGAGGATCACTTAGTGGCTGAGAGACACTGCAATGGGGCTGGGATGGCAGAGGTTTGGGCCCCAGAGCTGGGCTTTGGTCTCGGGTGTCTTCTCCACTAGAAGGAGAGAGCCCTGATGGCTGGGTCAGTGTCTCCCTGTTATGAACCAAACCTAGAATGGTGCTGGGGACACAGGTGGTACTTAACAGAGGCTGTGGAACAAGTGACTGTCAAGGGTTGGCTGCACCCACCTCTGGGGGCTGACCAGGGACAGATGAGTGTCTGACCCAGGGGTGGGATCAAGGACATGGAGCTGTCCACACCAGGTAAGTCCTCAGGGTAGGTCTCTGGGTGCCTGCTGTTGCCCCCTGGGCCCTCCCTCAGTCCAGGGACTTGGGCCTTTGTGGGGAAGAACCACAGGAGACTCACCATCTTGAGGGTGGAGAGGCTGAAAGACTGAGGGACAGACAGAGAAACAAAGCCGGGAATCAGGACAGCCAGTCCCTACCACACCTTCCAGCCCCTAAGGTTTTAGGACCTGAGATACCCTCTGTCCCTGTCCCTTCTAGGAGATGGCCAAGGTTGCCCCACCCCACCCCGAGGAGGAGGAGGGACTTCGGTCCCACGGACCCCAAGGGTCCTGTACCCCTGAGCTTGTCCATCCCGGATTGCCCCAGCTGCTCTGAGAGGCAGGGGGCGCCGGGAGTCCCGGTGAGTGTGCGGAGTGAGTGTTGAGGGTCCCCGACCCGCAGCCCCCCTTCCTGGCTCCCCCGGGGTGGGGCCGGGGACCGCAGGGGTACCTGCGGGTGGTGACGGCTCGGCGGGGCTTGGCGAGCAGGCGCGGAGAGAGCGGGTGCAGCGGTGGCGGCGGCACAGCGCGGGGCTGCGGGCGGCGGTGTCGCTTTATATAGCACTCCGCTGCATGCCCAGAGCCGGGCGGGGACAAGGGCGGCCCTAACCCACACGCCCGGGCCCCGCCCCGCCCCCCACGTCCCAGGTCTGGGACACGCGGGCTACGGGGCACTGGGACCGACCAGGGAAAGAGATAATCCTCGTGACAACAGGCGATCTTCAGTCCTGACAGAGGGCCAAAAGCAAATGGACAGGCACTGACCAGACACAGAGCTGCAGTGAAGAGACAGACAGAGATCCATCACGGAGAAGAGATGGAAAGACAGATGGAAACAGAAGAGGGGATGGGGTGGGGGACAGTGACAGCAGAGTGGGCAGAGCCTGGTACTGGAGTGTGGTGGGGGGGTGTTGGGCAACGGGCACGCAGCCTGCCCTTAGATGGAGTTCAACGCCTAGCACACCTGCAGCTGTCCATCCCAGACAGGAGTGCCATGCCTTAGTGCAGACTCCCCAAAAGGTCCTCCAGGGCCAGGGCCTCTGCACATGCATGGAATCCTGGCCTCACCTCCTGGGGACCATCCAGTAGAATGGCTCCTGAGAGCAATCCCAATTCCCAGGGCTACCTCGCCCCTACCCTGGCAGAGACTGGACAGAGGCGCAGGGATTCCAGTGACCTGCACACCCACCAGAAGGGGCTATCTATAAAATCTGCTCTGCTCTTCGACGCCCAGGTTCACACACACACACGGTTACACCTACAATCTTCAAAGACCCACACACTCACACCCAGGTGCACCCGTGGTACCCCCACAGGCTCACACCATCTCCTGGTGTATTTCACATCAATGAGTTTCAATCCTAGTTCTGGCCGTAGAACCTGGGCACCTCCTTTGTGTCCCGAAATTCACTTTCCTTCTGCCCAGATGGAGTCAGTTCCTGTCCTGTAGGGTTTCTCCACCTCACACCCCACACTCAGCCCCTCCCCCTGCCTGTGTTCACACCTCCTGTTATCCCAAAGAACATCCTGGGCTGGGAGAATGCTGAAGGCCAGCAGCACTTGTGGGGACAGAAGTGGCAGCTTGTGGACCCTTCCCATAATTCATGCACAACAACCTAGAAGGACCCACCCCTGTCTGCTACTGGGATACCCCAGCCCACACGAGCTTTCTAGAACTGCTGTGGGCTCTCCCAGCTCCGGGTCTACACATGGCCCTCCCTGTTGCCACCCAGGTCCTGCAGTGAGATGTAGCCATCCCAGAAGACCTATCCCCTTGCTGTGTGCACAACCTCAGTTCCCTTCCAAGAGATCCTGCTGTGGGGCAGGGTGGGGCGTGAATGTCATCCAAAGAGTGTGCTCTTTCCCATTTAATGGGCTCTGCAGCCTCCAGGGACTCAGTTTCTCATCTTTGAATGGGAATGGCTGTGTGTCCTCAGCCCAGGTTTGGCTGGTAAGGGGTACCTGTGCTAGGTGAGCTCTGAGTGGTTGGTCAGCAAGTGTTTCTGACCTTACATCAGGCATTGTGCAGAGTCTCACTTAACACTTGACACTATGAACTAGCAGCTATGATTCTCTGCCTTTGTGCACAGGAAAGTGAGGTTCAGAGAGATGGTATAATTTGTCCAGGGTCACACAGTTTGTGAGAGGCCAACTGTGATCTTTTCCCTGCCAGAATGAGGGCATACCTACCCAGAGAACAGTGTGGTGCTGTCCCTTTCCCCACAGCCAGCCTGGCAGGGCACCAAGACAGTTTGCCTTGTAGGTGATAAGAGAACAATTCTAAGATGTCCTAAATTTAATTATGAAAGTGGGAAGGTGGAGGGAAGGAAAAATAACAGAAGTGAATGTGCTAACAGCTTCAGGTCAAACCCACAAATAAAACTGGTCCACATTCCTAAATACATGTTGAAACCTTGACTCCATGCCCTGGGAGATGGGTGATAAGAGTGACATCACATTTTGACAACCCAGTCAATCAAGAAGCAATGCTAAACTGGATGTGGTGGTGCATGCCTGTAATCCCAACAACTTGGGAGGCAAGAAGATCACAAGTGTGAGACCAGCCCGGGAAAAGTTAGTGAGACTCCATCCCAAAAACAAAATACAAGCCAGGCCCCGGCGGCTCACACCTATAATCCTAGCTACTCAGGAGGTAGAGATCAGGAGGAATGCAGTCTGAAGCCAGCCTGGGCAAATGGTTTCTTGAGCAGCTATCCCGAAAATACCCATCACAAAAAGGGCTGGAGTAGTGGCTCAAGGTATAGGCCCTGAGTTCAAACCCCAATACCACAAAAAACAAACAAACAAACATACATACATACAAAAGAACTGGGGGCACGGCATACTTGCATACAAGAGGACTTGTTTCAGCCCTAGGAGGCTGAAACAGGAGTATCAAGTTTGAAGCCAGCCTGGGCTACGTAGCGAGACCCTCAAAAAAGCCCAAATGAAAAAACAAGGGATGCTACTTCTCACTGACAGGCCTCCAGCCTCAAACTTTGACCCCTTCAAGTTGTCCTGCCTCTCTTATCTATAGCCAATGGACAGCCAATGTAAGCAAGCTACACTTTCTTTTCCCCAAGTTTTCATTATAAAACAGTCTGACTTTGTAGACGCGATGGACATTTTCCCAACTGTTACGCAGCCTTGTGTCTGGGGGCTGCAGAAACTTGTCCAAGCTCCAATTTTTCTTCTGGCTAGCTTTGTAATGGCTCAGTAAACACTCTTATTTCAGACAGATATCTGTCTCAAGAGTTACGCAAAGGGAGGACAATCAAAGTTGAGCAACTGCAGCCCAGACCAGGACAGGCAGGTGGGCAAGTCCTGTCACTGCTGGGGAAGTGGGGACAGGGCTGAGGTGGGCCAGGTAGGGGTAGGATGAGGTGAGACAGCTCCTGCCCGGCTAGACCGAATAACACTCATAGAACAATGAGTGCCACTGGAAGGGGTGTGAGTTCTTATCATCCCATTATCTGCAAAAGGAAACTGAGGCCCAGAAGGTTCAGAGCCCTTCCCGTCAGGAAATTCACAGGGGATCCAAGTCTGGCCTCTGAGTGTTTGGGACAGTATGGTGGGATGTGGGGAGAGTATCTCCGTAGCTGATAGCAGTGCAAGATGGAGACCTTGTATCCTCTCCCCCATCCCAGGTGGTGAGCCAATGTCTTTCCACTCTTGTGTGCCTCTCATTCATATCCTGGGGTGGATGTAGACTGACAGACACCCCCAAGTGCCATCCCAGCTTTAGTCTCCATAGATGGAGGGCTCTTCGGTGTGTTGTTTTCCTACTCTGAGCCTTCCCTGGCAGCTCTGCTGCTGGGTTTGCTCAGTATGGAGGTGCAGGTTGCATACTGTGTAAAGGCACCTGGCTGAATAGTCACTCTACACACTGCCACACCTGCACTCTAAGAAGAATGCATGTCACTTAAAGGAGGGGCATCCTTTCTCAACCAGTGTAAAGGCTGGCACAGCCTTGTGGAGGAAGGCCTATGAGAACAAGTGTTCACATGAGGAAGGAGCCTGTTCTCCTCCTGTCTGACCTTTCATTTCTGTTTCTGTGTATATGGTTGATCACGGGACCTGCAGAAGGGCTTCCCAGAAAATGCTTCCCTGAGTAGGAAGGCAGTGACTCAGCTCCAGCTAGAAGGGCCCTGCTGGAGACCACCTGTTGCTCTGGTCTGTGTGCAGCACCAGCCACTGCTACATGCCCCTCCCAGCTCATGGCTGAGGTGGCAGCTCCTGTTCTCCTATTTCCCCAGCCAAACAGCTGAACTATGGAGGGCAGGAATCACACTGGCAGACTCCCTGCTACCTGCCACCGTGCCTGAGATGCCCCCCTCTCCACCCCTTCTCCTGGGCAAAGGCATTTTCTGGCAAAGTAATGCAACCCAGAGGAAGAGTTTTGTGAACTTCAGGTGAAGCTATTACTTTAACTGCAGGCGCTCCTGTAGGTAGAGGGGAGAAGGAGGGACAGCTCTGGAAACTCCTCTAGGTCTATTTTTTCTTTTGGAGACAGGGCTGGCTTTGAACTTGTGATCCTTCTGCCTCATCCTCCCAAGTTTCCTCTAGATCTTTTAACACAGGACCCCTCAGGAGGATGCCCAGTGACAGGGCTGGTTTATAGGCTGCTAAGGCTGGAAGCAGGGGTAAATCTTGGGTCTGCCACAGGCAAGTTCCTTCCTCTCCTGAGCCTCAGTTTCCCCAGGAAGACTATGGATACAGGATTCTGTCTTCCAGGTCCATGGCAGGCTCCATGGGAGTGAGAGAGATCCACCTGGACCCTGGTAGGTGCCACATGGAGCACATTTCTGAAGTCTGTGGCCTTGTCATCAGAACATTCCAGACCCAGGCTCTGACAGGGGCCATGGCAGTGTTCTAGCACAGCTTAGACAGTCAGCGACCACCATAGAACCAATAAACTACCCATAACCTGTGAACCAAAGTACACATGCCTGCTATGAGATTTTTCCTGCCCTCGCACTCTTTCACCACCTTATTGCATACCAGGTAGGCTGCAACAACCAGGATAGTGAATAAATTTCCAAGGCTAAACTGATGATAGACACAGAGAAGAAATGTCAAGAACACCACACTTGTGACCAGTGGGAAATTTCCAGACCCTAGCCCACTCTAGCCAACCCATGAAAGCTTGCCTCTTTCTTTTTGAGGGGGGCAACCTGGTTTCTCTCTCAATCAGTGCCATCTCTGTTCTCCTTAAGCTGAAACCCCCACATACACCCCAATTAAACCCTCTGCTCAGTCTCACTTTCTATTGTTTTGGTGCCAAAAGACCCTGTCTCCAGCATCATGGTCAATGGGATGGGTAGATTGAACACTACCTTACGTTCCTCCAGATCTTTCTCCAGAACTCCTGCCTTGTTCCCCACCTGCAGTGTGCTGGGAAGCTGCCCAGAGAGGCAGGGCAGCTGGGAATGGGCACTGTGGGGACACAGCCTGCACCGGAACCAGCCCTGTTGTCTTGACGATGGCTCGTGTCTCAGGCACCCCAGGCACCCATGGGGGCAATCAGTGGGTGTGGGAGGGAGTTTCCATGGTGGCAGTCCCGAGAGGGTGCACCAGGGCTCAGGGAGGACAAGGGCCTGTGGGACCTTTCTCCTTTGTCCTGGGCACACTAGGCCTTTGTTCTTGCCTGGCTCCCTTTGGCAGATGGAAGCAGGAGCATGGGTGGGGAGACAGACTTGGGTTAGCGTCCCCCCGCCCCAGGGAGTACAGAATCAGCCTGGTGGTGGGATGGGGGAACAGAGTAGGGGTCAGAGCCCCACTCCTGAGCCCAGCTTCCATTGGGGAGCCCTCCTCCCACAGGTGACTAAGCCTTACCTGCCATCCAGAGGCTGGGACAAGGTCACTTATAATTGGTTCCTGTTGCTGGTAAACACCTTCCCCAGCAGCCAATGGGAAGCCTCAGTGTGTCCTCTGGTGGGAACAGGGCTTGGAGGACCAGAGGAGAAAGGGCACATGTCCAGCGTGAATGGTGAAGGGCATTTGATCCAACTCTATCTAGGTGTCTGCTCAAGTCAAATTTTATTCCAGCCATCCCAGCTGCCCTTGGGGGGGGGTCCCTTAATCCAGCCAGCTCCCTCACTCCCGTGCTTCGTCAGTGTTGGCTTTGATGCTGGCCAGGGCCAGGGCACCAGGATTGCTCCATGGGTGGATGGCCTGCCCAGCTCCCCACAACCCCCTCTCTGTGAACTTCCTTTATCTTTGTGCCTGACACAGTCAGTCAAGTGAGGAGACTCGCCCCTCCCCTGCTGCATGTCCTTGCTAGGAATGGAGCTGAGTCACCAAATCCCAGCAATGATGTGCAGACCCTGTGTGAGGAGGAGCTGGTATTCGCCTCTTGGATGATTTGGATTGGGGGGAGGGCAGTGAGTCCATTACACTCAGAAGCGGGTGTCCAGAAAGGAGGCAGAGCCTCGATGGGACCTGGGGGCACCTTCAATAGGGGGTCCCCGGGCCCGAGTCAAGAGCCCATGGAAAGTCTTGCCACGTGTCTGGGGTTTGCGCCGTGGTGGCCTGGGCTCTTCTGGAGGCTGCACCACTATCTGGGGTAGCTCAGGCTTGGCACTTCCTTGTGCCCCAGCCAGCTGCTGGAATTCAAAGATGGCTTGGGCTCCAGAAAGGCGGGCCTGTGGCTGAGGGGGTGGCCCAGGCAACGACTTGGGCAGCTGAGTCAGCTGGACCCTGAGTTCCCGCTGCAGGTCCCGCTCAGATAGGGTAACACTGTGCACCTGTGGAGGACAGTTGGTGTTGATTTTGCCCGGGCTGAAGGAGGGGCAGGAAACCCTGAGGTCCCCACGGGGTGGGGCAGGCAGCACACAGCCCCAGGAAGTGGCTGAGGGCTGAGGGACTTGAAGACAGTGTCACTGGGGGAGCCACAGAAAGGCGCTGAGGCCCGGGGTTTTCACATTCTTTGCAGCTCAGAGGACAGGGACAGGAACTGAACCTGGTTCTCACTTTGGCTCCACTCCCCCAGTTGTGAAGCAGGGGACGGGTCACTGAGGAAGGTAGGCAGGAACATTCACCTGCAACATGAAGACATCCTCCTGCAGCTGGGCAGGGGGGATGGCTCGAAGGGCCCCAAGCGTCTCCAGGAGCCCTGGGCAGGCCGTGCGCTGCTCTGCAGTGCCCAGTGCCAGGCGCACCAGTGTTAACCCCACGCGGAACAGCACCCTGACACCTGCAGGCGGTGGGGGTGGGGGATGGGAGGCTCACTCACTGGGAGGCCTTTCTCAGTTCTACACCTGAGCCTGAACCTGCCCTCAGACATACTCCTTCTACCTTCTTGCAGCTCCACCCCCACCCCACCTCAAGCCAAGAGCAATAACAGAGGGAAGATTACAATTCGGGGGGTGTAGGCCCCTGCAGTGGCCAAGTCAGTTTCAGAAGTCCAGATACTTCTAGATGGGGCAGCCAGCCAGGAGCCAGGGGCTACTTACTACCTGATGCCAAGCTTTTTCTGGGCCTCCTCATTAAAACCTTCAGAGCATAGTGTTCATGAGTGCTCTCTCTCTCTCTCTCTCTCTCTCTCTCTCTCTCCACACACACACACACACACACACACACACACTATAACCTTGGACCGGTCCTGGAGTCTCACAGTTCCTTCCTGGCAGCCTCTGAACTGCTGAGAAAAGCAGCCAGAGGGCCACTGAGGCCTAGTGACAAGTGTGACTTGTAAAGGAACAATCTCCACTGCTGTCATCATGTCTATTACAGGGAGCCTACGAAGTGCTTGTCCTCAGGTGGAGGGAGCAGGAATCAGCTTGGCCGCCATGATTGGCCCTGCCCTTGAGGTCTGAGGCTGGGTGGGAGGTGACACATGGATAGCAACTTGGATACCTGTGGCCAGAGTTCTAAGTCAACTAGTGGTGCTCCCCTGTGTGGACAATCTAAATCTGTCTGGGCATACAGCAGGTGCTCAATAGATGAACTGATTGATTTCTACTATATTTTATATGCAACCTCTGGACATTGCATACAGAATAGAATGCAGATGGGTTACTGATGTGGGGTATTGAGGCCCAAAGAGTCCAGCTTGGCTTTACCTCAATGGCCCTCCAGCTGTATGAACCCAGCATCCTCCACTCTGGCTTTACCTCTCCATGCTCTCTTCCCTGAGTCTGCTGTAGCCTGGGCCCTGCCTTCAGTGGCCTTTCTAGTCCCCAGCCTCCACCTGTGCCCCTTCAAGTTCACCTCCTCCATAGAGCAGCCTGAAGCATCTTTTAAAACAGCAACCACCTCCTGCCACTCTTCTGCCACTCACTGTCACATCCCGTGTTTTATTTTCTCCATGGCACTTATGACATTCTATAAATATCTTGTTAATTTGGTTACTGTCACCTCCCATCCCCCGCCCCATCAGAATGAAGGTCTCACATAGTCACGTATTCCTGGCTGCCACAGGCATCCTTGCCTGGTGCCTGGAGGCCTTCAACCATCAGAGGCCATCCTGCTGTCAGCCATGCCCCAGCCACTCAGAGGCCACACCACACATAGTGACTGCTCCAGCTCTTGCCCCATGGGACCCCCCCCCCCACTGGAGGCCTCCCTGGCCTCTATCCTGCCCCATGCAGCACCTGGCCTCCTTGGTGGCCCTCATCATGAGCTGTGGGCTCCAGTTCATTACACTGGTGCTATGCCACCCAACTATTTTCTCCAGAGATACACCCTAGCCCCCTGGTACAAGGCCCTAAAAGGGCAGACAGTGGCAGTAACTGAGCAGAACGAACTCAGAGAAGTGAGTTACCTAAGTGTACCCAGTGTACCCTCGCTGGCCCTGGCCATCCAGCTGCCCCACTCACCCTCGCTGAGAAAGGCATCCCAAATGCGGAGCACAGTGGGGAAGGGCAGGGAGCGGGTGAAGAGACACAGGAACCATTCAGGTAGGTAGAGCAGGGGCCCGACGCCCACCTGCTGTAGGTGCTTGTGCACACGTGGGAGCAGTCGCCGCAGCAGGGCCATGAACACCTCTGCATCCAGCCGCACAGCCTCCTGCAGACCTGTCCATCAGTCTGGCCGACAAATGCTGCCGGCACCTATACTCCCAAAACCCAGGCTTCTGCCCTGCTCTGTCCCCAGGCCCCCTCTGTCTCCAGCCCCCATGCCAGCCTCTCACCATATGGGGCCCGTAGTAGCCAGGGAGGTAGACCTCACAGATCTGCACCAGGCACCAGAAGGCCTCCTAGGGACAGGACACAGACCTATGAGTACCCACTCACAAAAGGACCATGGAGGGGGAGGCAGGATGGGGAATGGGGCTCAGTGCTGCTCCTACCCTGCTTAGTGCCTGCGGGAACCTTATAGAAAGAGTCTGACCTGCTAAGGGGCTGAGGGGGCAGAAGTACCAGCACTTAGGGTGCTGGGTTTAAAGGTCACAGGGTTGGAGCTCACGGGGCAAAGGAGAGTTCCAAAGTTCAACTCCTGGGTTCCTGGGGTCATTGGAGTCAGGAGGAATTGTCAGTGTTCAGAATCAGAAGTCATAAGGCCAAGGTGAAATTTTCCAGACACCTAGGTCAGTGGGGTAAGGGCTGGGAGGAAAGGTCCCAGGTTCCTGGAGTCAAGGTCATTAGACTTGAAGGCCACTAAGACCGACTGGTCATCAGTCCCTGGATTACTATGACAGGGTTTGGGAGTAAAGGATCCCATGACCCTGAGGCCAGAGTTCCTGGGGTTAGGGGACATGGGTCCTACAATTGGGATCACTAGGTCACTAGGGACTGAGGGTCAGGTTGAAGGTCACTCACCTCTGGGGGCAGGTGCATGAGCAGCACAGCAGCCACAGGGCCCTGGGCCTGGCAGTAGCCCTGTTCCGGCCGATACAGGGTGTAAGCCTTGAGTACCTGCAGGAGCCCCTGCTGCCTGTGCCAGAAGACCCTATTAGGGTTAGCCCTCCAGGCAACCCTTACCCACCCTCTTTGACCTCTGCCCAGGTCATAGTGTTCCTGGCCCTTGCTGGGTCACCTGAGACACAAAGACATAAAGCTGGAGTGGGGAACTGGGCTGAAGCATCCAGGGATAGGGCTGGGGTCCCTGGGGCATTGATGGCCTCGTACCCATGACCCTGGGGTGACACAAACATCTCATGCAGAGGGAACTGGCGGTGCAGGTCCCTGCCAATGGTCTCCATCCACTGCGGGTCTCCAGGGGCCTCTGCCAGCTCCTGTGGGTGGCAGGAAGGCAATGTGAGTGTGGCAGAGAGCTCTGAGAAGGGGAGGTGAGACCCCCCCCCCCGACAACTCCCTCACCTGATAGGTGCGAGGACTGTTGTTCTGACACACCTGGGCCCCACACAGCAGGGGCCAGCACCGGGCCCGCAGGGATGAGGGGATACCCTTCCGGCACTGTATCTTTACCTGTCGGGGAGGCCAAGGGGCTCCATTAGGCCAGCCTCACTTGCTCCTATTGGCAGACCCCAAGCAAACCTCCCATTGATCAGGGGCCACTTGGGTGGTGGGGAGCAAAGGCAGGAGGTTCTGGGTAATAGGACAGGTACATTTTGCCAATAGGGGGCAAAGCTGGGAGAGGGGAGCCAAGGGTGCTGGTGCAAGGCCACTTTTCCCTCACCTTTTTGTACCTCCGTGACATGGTTTTCTCCCAGTGTGAGGTCATCTCCACCCACTTCATCTCCCGCTGGCGGATGAGGTCCGCAGGGGGGTGACCTGGCCTGGGGGTACATGGCACAGGTATTTCTTGACAGCTGTTTCCTAGAGCCCATACCTACCCCCTTCCTCCAGGCTACCTGGTAGACCCTGGAGAGCTCTGTGGGGACCCTGGGGGGTGACCTGGTGACCAGAAGCTGCCAGTGATTGCCATAGGTAAAGGAATGTGTCATAGGTAAAGTGTGTGTTGAGGGAGGGGCTGACTGACTGGCACTCATGACTGGGACACAGACCATGATTCATAGAGAAAGCTGCTTGGACAGAGACTTGGGACTGAGGAATATTGAGTTTGAGTCAGGAGTGCTGAGTTTGAATCAGGGGTACTGACCTCGAGTCAGGAGTACTGAGTTTGAGTCTGTTTCTGTCTCTGATCTGCTGTGTGACCTGGGGCAACTTTCTGTCTTTTTTTCTGTGTGTGTGTGTGTGTGTGTGTGTGTGCGCGCGGCACTGGGGTTTGAACTCAGGGCCTTATGTTTGTTAGGCAGGTGCTCTATCACTTGAGCCAAGTTTCTGTCTCTTGACCCGTTTATCTGTCTATAGATTGGGGAATTGAATGGGAAGATGTGTGGATTCTATGATTTAGATATGGGGTTCCTGGCCAGAGATTCAAAGGGCAAAGACAGCACCAGGGATGGGTGCGGGCCCTTAGAAATTGTGTAAAAGAAACATACAGGGTCTCTAGCTCTGTCTTTCCCTCGTTAGAATTCTACCTGGAGCCTGAAGAGAGGTATTGGCTGAGTCCCAGCCCAGTCCCTACTACAAGACGCTCCTCAGATCCCTGAGGTTGGGCCTCACTCCAGAATTCCCTCAGTCCCTGCACACCACCATCCCCCATCCCAGCCCCACTTACCCCGGCTCTGCTGAACTGCCACCAATGAATCCATAGCGGTCTGCCTGGCGATATGGACCCGGCCCACTCAGTTCTGAGTCGGACCCCAAGGAGCTGGAGTCATCCTGCAACTCGGCTGGCTGCACCAGGTCCTCCCCCAGGGCCCGGGCCATGACACCCTACACTGCGTTGCCACAGGCTGCAAGATGTGGGTAGAGCCAGGGTAAGAGGACAATCTTGGCCAGCCTGGGGCCTGGGTTCCCAACCCACAGTCCTCAGCCCCTGGCTTGGTGGTGGGGCCAGAAGGTTAGGTTTCAGGGTATCTTACCAGGCCCCCTATGTGCCCTCTTTTATGGAGAGTGGCCTAGGCCCTGAAATGACAGAAAGGCAAGGCCTCTGTACAGATACCGGGCTCCAGGCCCAGCCCCTGTCCCCACCAGCACAGCTCACCTCCCTGCTGCACCTCACCTCCTCCTCTCACTTCCTCCTCAGACTCAGCTTCAGCAGCAAGTTGGGGGCCCCTCCCAAGAGTTGGGGGGGGGTTACCCCTTCCTCTGTGATGCTCTTCCTGCTTGCCCTAGTGCCCTTGAGCCACGGGCTCCTCCCTCCCTCCTCCTGTGCTGGGTGCGATGTGGCCTGGGCCTATCAGAGATAGAGAGAGCAGGACACCTTATTTTGAGGTTACCGGCACAAAAACCACTTAATGCAGGATTCCAATAAGAATTGTGGTTTATTTAATGTTTGCTGTTTACAAAGTAACACTTTTTTTTGGAGTGTCGGATTGAACCCCGGACCTTGCACGCAGTAGTCAAGTGCTTTGCCTGAGATACACTCCCAGCCCACTTTTAGCATGCACACAATGCAATATTAGGCTACTCAAAAAGTAATTATGAGACTTATAAAAATATTGGCTTAGCAGGTACCAGCTAATGTGAACCAAAACATGCTACGAGTTCGATAGCAGGTGTCTGGTCAGTTAGTTGCCTGGGGATCATAGATAAATGTCTCGAAGCAGTCCCTTGATTATCTCTGAACCTCAGTTTCCTTTTCTGTACTTCGAGGACTTACTCCGCAGCGTTTGAGGAGTGATTACTGTACTCACACTGCACTCCCACCCAGCGCTAGTGTGGAAAGGGATGTTTAGGCTCTGAAAGAGAAAAACAACTTTCACAGTACTTCCGGTCCCAAATCCTCTGAACGTGGCTTGGTGGCTCCTCAGGGACGGAACAAACTGAATCCCGCCCCTCCAGCCCCCAGCAGGCCCCGCCCCCGGCAGCCAGGCCCCGCCCCCGGCAGCCAGGCCCCGCCCCTTCACCCAAGGCCCGCCCCCCGGGCCGCCTCGGCCGCTGCGCTTCACTTCCAGCAGAGGCGCTAGAGCGCGAGGGAACGGCGGGGCGCGGCGGGGCGCGGCGGGGCGGGCGGGCGGCCGAGGAGGCGGGGCGGCGGGCCGGGGGCGGCGGAAGGAGAGCCTGGCCGGAAGGAGGCTGCGGGAGGGCGGGAGGCAGGAGCGGGCCCGGAGCTGCTGGGCCGGAGCGGCGGCGCCGCCATGTCCGACAGCGAGAAGCTCAACCTGGACTCTATCATCGGGCGCCTGCTGGAAGGTGGGCTGGAAGGGGGAGGAAGGGCGGTGCCCGCCGTACCCCCCGAGCCCTGGCCCCCTGCCCGGCCCGGAAGTGGCGCGCGCGCGGGCCCTGACCCTCCCGGGGCCAGCTTCGACTGGGCGGGGACGAGCCGCGAGGTCCCACGGCCACAGACCCCCGCTTCCCGCGGGCGCGCCTTGGAGTCTGGGTTGAGGAGCAGCCCTCTCTCCTGGGTCTGGGGCGCAGGGGTAGTCTGGGGTCTTGGGGTGTAGCTCGGAAGGGCTAGGCTATGAGATTTGGGATGACAGGCCCCTGCGCGCACAGACCCCTCTCTTGGGCCTCCAGGGTGACAGGAGTCTTGCCTTGGGAGGCCTGAGGCGGAGGTCCCAAGAGGCACCCGCAACAGCCGCTGCCCGCGGGCAAGTAGAGGCCTAGGCGCCCCCAAAGATGCCGAAGGGTCCATCCTCTTGTCTGAGCGGCTAGGGTCCTAACACTCCGTTCCACTCCCAGTGCAGGGCTCGCGGCCTGGAAAGAATGTGCAGCTGACAGAGAATGAGATCCGTGGTCTGTGCCTCAAATCCCGGGAGATTTTCCTCAGCCAGCCCATTCTTCTGGAGCTGGAGGCCCCCCTCAAGATCTGTGGTGAGCCCCTACTTCCCCAACACCTTTTGGCTTCCTGAAAGTGACAGCATCGCTCCTCTCCCAGAGTTCCTGGATCCCTCCTCCCTTGAGCCCATTCCTGGCCCTGGGTTCAAGTTCAGATCTTACGCCTGGCTTTCCTGGTTCCCTGGGTTACAGGTGACATCCACGGCCAGTACTATGACCTTCTGCGGCTGTTCGAGTATGGCGGTTTCCCTCCAGAGAGCAACTACCTTTTCCTGGGTGACTACGTGGACCGGGGCAAGCAGTCTTTGGAGACTATCTGCCTGCTGCTGGCCTATAAGATCAAGTATCCTGAGAATTTCTTCCTGCTCCGTGGGAACCACGAGTGTGCCAGCATTAACCGCATCTATGGCTTCTACGATGAGTGTGAGTGGTTTGACCCCACCACCCAGGGTAGAAACTGCCTACCCTGCTCTTCATGGGGCCCTCACGTTGGTCTAGCAGACATCCCTGATGACTGGTTGCTCCATCATTTCATGCCTGTCTGCCCTTCCCTCCCTGGTCTGGAGCCTGACACCCACCAGGGTTTTAGTGCATGGATGCACCTGGAGGGCTGCCCATTTGCTGATGCTTCCGCCATACACACCCCCACCTCAGGGGCCTGCCTGGTGTCACTCCCCTCCAGTGCTCATGGGCTTCAACCCTGAGGTTGGGCCAGAGTGGAATTTGGGTTCCTATGAACCTTGGAATTACTCCTGGTAGGGAGGGGGCGGGGTGAGGTAGGTGTGGAGGGCTTGAGCCTTCCTTGCCTTCTAGTCTCTTCTCCTAGCTGTGCCAGAACAGCCCACAAAGTGCCCAAGAGGGCTGAGGGTGGAGTGGCATGGACAGGCCTCCCTGTGAACCATGCCCTACCCCTCGGCAGGTAAGAGACGCTACAACATCAAACTGTGGAAAACTTTCACTGACTGCTTCAACTGCCTGCCCATTGCGGCCATTGTAGATGAGAAGATCTTCTGCTGCCACGGAGGTGAGGGTGGCTGTGGGGTGTGTGCTGAGGGAGGCCTGGGAAAGATCAGCTCAGGCCACAGCCCTGTAGGCCTTGGAACAAAGCTGTTAGCAGGTGTGGCTGGGGGTATGGCTCAAGTGGCAGAGCACCTTCCTAGCAGGTGCAAGGCCCTGGGTTCAAATCCCAGTACCAAAAAAAGAAAAACAAAACAGATGTCTACAATCGCTCTCTTTGGGGCTTATCTTGGATGAGGCTTTTTGTAGGAGCTCCTCCCAGGCCCCACTGTTAGGCTGCACTCTTTCCTGTTGTGGCATTCAGCATCCTGCAGGGAGCTCACTTGTCTCCAGGCATTCTACTTGGGTGCGGGGTGTCTTTGAGCTTGTGTTCGGGACTTGAGAAGACTGAGGGTGGTGAGTTGTGCCTGTCTCGGCCTCAGGAGTCTGGGAGGCCCGGATGGTGGTAGGAAGAGTGAGGCTGATTCCCAAGGCTGCCTGGAGGAGCAGCTTTGGGACTTGTCTGAGGAAGTGCCGTCCTGTCCCCAGGCCTGTCCCCGGACCTGCAGTCCATGGAGCAGATCCGGCGTATCATGCGGCCCACTGACGTGCCTGACCAGGGCCTGCTGTGTGACCTGCTGTGGTCCGACCCCGACAAGGATGTGCAGGGCTGGGGCGAGAACGACCGTGGGGTCTCCTTCACCTTTGGGGCCGAGGTGGTGGCCAAGTTTCTTCACAAGCACGACTTGGACCTCATCTGCCGGGCACACCAGGTGGGCTGGTGGCCCTGAGTCACGGCAGGAAGGGGAATGGGTGGGCCAGCCCTGTGGACCCAACTCTCCCATCCTCATACAGGTGGTAGAAGATGGCTATGAGTTCTTTGCCAAGCGGCAACTGGTGACACTTTTCTCAGCTCCCAACTACTGTGGCGAGTTTGACAATGCTGGTGCCATGATGAGTGTGGATGAAACCCTCATGTGTTCCTTCCAGGTGGGTATCAGGAAGGGGCCAGGAGGTCCTGGGGCTCCGCACAGGAGCCTGACCAGCTTTGTTTCTCTTAGATCCTCAAGCCCGCGGACAAAAACAAGGGGAAGTATGGGCAGTTCAGTGGCCTGAACCCTGGAGGCCGCCCTATCACTCCACCCCGCAACTCCGCCAAAGCCAAGAAATAGCTTCTGTGTGCCACCTGCCCCTCTGCCCCAGATGATGGATTGTACAGAAATCATGCTGCCCTGGGGCGGGGTCACACAGGCCCCTCAGGCCCACCCGTCATGGGGAACACAGAGCATTAGTGTCTTTTTCTTTTTTAATGAAATCAATAGCAGCGTCCAATCCCCAAGGGCTCCCTCCCACCTGCACCTGCGGTGGCTGCAAGTGGAATCCTGGGGCTGAGGCTGCAGCTCAGGGCAATGGCAGGCCAGATTGTGGGTCTCCAGCCTGGCTTGGCCACAGGGCTGGCAGCCGGATCCTGGGGTAACCCATCTGGTCTCTTGAATAAAGGTCAAAGCTGGATTCTCGCCATGGCCTCTGTCTCCTTGTCAAAAACACGGCCTGGCAACCCTTCCATACAAAGCCACTTGAGAGGCAGGCTTACTGGGCACAGGCCCAGCCAGGGCAACCCCAGCCATACACTCAGATCCAGAGGCACTTAGAATTCCTAACCAGGGCCAAAGTGTAGGAAAACAGGAGAAATGACCTGTGCCAGCCAAGTCGAAGGGGGGTGGGGGGAGTGTCCCAAAGGTGTGCCCAGTGTTTGAGGGAGAGCAGTTCATGATTGGCAGAGGGGGTGGATCAGCACTGTGATTTTTTTCTTAGAGGTGAGCCTGAACAAGGCAGGCTTTCAGCCCTGGCCAGATGGCTGGAGCCTGGCCTGAGGCTTCATGGTAAATAAGAGGTGAGGCCCCTCCTGTCTGGTGGCAGGTCTGCACCAGGCCTCAGAAAGAGGTTGGGGGAAGTCAGGTCAGACATGGTCAGCACAGCAGCTCTACAGCAGCCTGCCAGGTGGAGCAGGCTGCCAGCATAGCCCCTATACCACACCTGGGGCTGAGCCCCTGCCCTGCTCTGGCTGGGGCTCTTTCTAGTCCACAGCTTTTAGACAGCCTTCAGGTTGTCAGTTCAGCCTTCACCATCACTGTCTTCAGCCAGCACGGGGCTGGGGCCCTGAGGGGAGTGGGCCGGGGCTAGGATGGAGCCAAAAAACAGTGAGCGGAACTGGAAAGAGAACAGAAGACGACAAGTGAGTCCTGGAGGCTGCTCCCTTCCTAACCTTCCAGCACTTGCCCCCACCTCCATCCCCTACCTTCTTGGGTGGGGGAGTCCCAGGCACAGTACTGGGCTCAGCTTCGTCATCCTCTGAGTGGGGGTCAGGGTCATGGGAAGTCTGGAGGCCAGGTGAAAGGCAAACGGAAGGCTGTGCCCTACAGCCTGTGCTGCCTACGGTGGTTTCCATGGCAATCATGTAAGAGTCAATGTCATCACTGGCAAAGTCATCCAGCTGGGGTGTGCTGTAGGTAGAAACAGTATCAGAAACGGAGAGAAGAGGGGTACGCAGAGGCAGGCTCCACCTTGGAGGGCTCAGAGGGGGCCCTGGGGCTTCAAGACTGCTGGTAAGCTTTTGGTTTTATTACTTCCTGATTTGGCTGGAGAGGAAAGGATGCAGGGGTTAAGAGGGGCTTCCTGGAGGGAGTAGGCCTGGAACCCTTTGATCAGAGTTCAGGTAGGGCCACAGGGAAGCATCCTGGGGTCTAATTTAGCTCAGCTGGGGGAGGGGAAAAGCAAGTCCTGTGAGTGGGGCCACAGGGGCGCAAACCCCCACCTTCCCAGGGGACAGGAGCTGGAGTGCAGTGGAGCCTAGGGACATGCTGGGCGGGGGGCCAGACCAAACTTCCTCTGCTTCAACTACCCTGGGCCTATCCTCCCCACCCCACCTGCCCTTCCAGCCACCTGCTTCCCCCACCCCAGGCAGCTCCTGCCTCCCAGCAGCCCCTTCCCTCCTTAGCTTGGGAGGAGGCTCAGAGGGGAGGCCTCAGCCAGAGAAGGAAGCCAGTGGGACCTTGGGGACCCTTCCGTGGGTGGGAGGGGTCTTTGAATTCAGCTGACCAAGAAGGCTGCCTGGCTGACAGGAAGCTTGTGTGCTGGGGGGGAGGTGCGGAAGCTGGAAGCAGCAGGCTCAGGCTGGGGTGTATAGAGATGGAGGAGAAGAGTGAGTGGGCTGGTGACCTCACCTGTGAGCCTGCAGCTGAGGCACTGGCCTGTGGAGCTCTGGAGAGCCCTGGTACTGGGAGTGTGGTTCCAGCTCTGAGAGTGTGGCCAAGACAAAGTGGCCATCCAGCAGAGTGTCTTTGATAGTAAAGATGGCTGGCCTGGGCAAGGGACAGAGCCCAAGCTAGGTCATTCCCTTCTGCTCCTGAGATTGTAGAGCCCCTTCTTCCCCACTCCCCACCCCCCCTAGTTCAGAGACTGGGAATTACCTGCCTGGAGCATCAAAGTAAACGGTAAGAGGCAAGTTCGCCGACTCTGCAAAGTTCAGGAGCCCCTGGGAGGGAAGAATCAGCTGTTAGGGCCTGGACTGGGCAAGAGGACAGGGTGGTAATTGGGGCAGCAGGGGGAAGCTCACCCGGAATTCCTTGAGGCAGAAAGTGATAGCCACCCCTTCTGGGGCCTGCAACTGCTGGAAATCTTGCTCCCCAATGCTCATCTCAGTCACCATGGCTTTGATGGTGTTGTCTGTGGGGGCAGGCACAGAAAGAACCTGGGTCCCTGGGTCCCACTCCTCTCCCGTCCCCAGGCTGTCTCAGTCCCAGAGCTTGTCCCACTCCCTCACCTGACTCCTCCTCCTGATAGCTACGCAGAATAACTCGGCGGCCTCGGCCAATGCCCAGCGTCACTTCAGCCAGTGCAGGGGGGAAGGGCAGAACGGCCTCTCCCAGTACTCTGTGAGCAGGACAAAGCATCACACCCATGGCTTGGCCCTTCTCTCAGAGGACCTGAGGCAGGGCTGTGACATACACACATGCATAGTGTACAGGAATAGCACACTCTGGCAAGATGAAGACAGGATGATCAAGATTTGTTCCTTGCCGGGTCAAAAGCTTCCAAGGTGACAGGACAAACAAAAGTAGAGCTCAGAGAAGGCAGCAGGAAGGTTAGGGAGGCAGCACCTAAGTGTGAAGTGCTGGAAACCTAGACTCAGAGTCCTTAGGGCTGGAGGTGTAGCTCAATGGTAGAGTGCTTGCCTAGGATGTGCAATGCCTTAGGTTCCATCCCCAGCACTGCAAACAAAACAAAACAGGACTGGGGCATGTAGTTCAAAAGGTAGAGTGTTTGCACAGCAGGCACAAGGCCCTCAGTTGAATCCCCAGTACCAGGGAAGAGAACAAAATAAAAAACTCAGGCATGGTAGTGCACATCTATAGTCCCAGCTACTACCCTTCAGACCAGGACTTCAAGACTAGCCTGGGCAATATATTAAACCTTGTCAAAAAAAAAAAGCCAGAGGTGTGGCTCAAGCAGTAAAGCACCTGTGAAGTCAAATTCAAACTCCTGTACTACCAAAAGAAAAAAATGGGCTGGGGGCATGGCTCAAGTGGTAGAGTGCCTGCCTAGCCAATGCAAAACCTGAGTTCAAACTCTAATACCTTGCTTAAAAAAAAAAAAAAGCAGCAGCAAGTCCTTAAATCCTTGTCTTCTAAGGATACTTGTTGCCAAATATTTACATAAAAATAACATCTGGACTTTGCCTTAAAGCAACTGGAAGGCTGAGGGTGTAGCTCAGAGGTGTAGCACTTGTCTAGCATGCTGGAGGCCCTGGGTTCCATCCCTAGTGGTGGCTCTAGTACCACCAAAAAAAGAAAAAGACAATTGGTGATAGGAACTGACACCTACTTCTATATGATATGTATTTGAACCTACATGAGAGGGCCAGGTGTAACTCAGGTGGCAGGGCTCTTGCTTACCTAGCAGGCACGATCAGTTCAATCTACTACCACAAAGCCCCAAAGGTAGGTCAAGGTGACAGCCTTTCCTCTTTCTCAGGATTGTTTTTTGATGGCACTGGGGCTTGAACTCAGGGACTCATGCTTGCTAGGCAGGCATGCTACCACTTCAGCCACTCCTCCAACCCCCTTTCCTCTTTCTCTACCTAAGAGTACTGTTCACTGCTACTTCAAGAGACCCTGCCTGGTCAAAAGCTTCTAAGCAAACAATCAGGACCCAAAGGGACTTTCAGTCACTGTGAGAAATGAATGGGTCTTTGGACTACTTGAATTTGAGCAGTGTTCAGCATGGAACAAGGAAGAATCCACTCCTTTTTGAGCTGGTCCTCAGGGACCTTCACCTTGCTGGAGCCCGGTTCTCCAGGCTTTGCACAGCTCCTCAGAGCTGAACAATCTGGATGGAAGTTGAATCTCAACTTCCCCACCCAATCTCCAGGTTTAGCCTGGACACTCCCCAAGACTAGAGCCCATGCAGTTAGGAAAAGAGGCTGCCCTTGAATGGGGATACCCTCCAGAAGGAAGACCAGGCCAGAACATTAAGGCCAGACCTTCAAGGTTACTCAGGTCAGATGAGATCTGCCCTCAGGCCACAGATACAAGCTCACAAAGTAGAATCAGAGCATTGCACAGGTGGCTCATGCCTGTAATCCTAGCTACTCAGGAGCTATCAGGAGGATCTCAGTTGGGAAGCCAGTTCAAGCAAATAATTCGAAAGATTCTATCTCAAAAATAACCAACAACAACAACAAAAAACAGCTGTCAGAGTGGCTCAAGTGGTAGAGTGCCTGCCTAGCAAGTGTGAGGCCCTGAGTTCAAACCGCACTACCACCACCACCAAAACAAAAAGAGGAATCAGAATGGGCCTATGGGGTGCTAAGCCAGACCTCTGGGCTGGAGAAGGCAGGCTCCTAGAGACAGTGAGGATAATGGGGAAAGGCCTCTCTGCCCCCTCTCCATACCAGCCTCTGTTTTTAACAGCCAAGACCTTAGTGCACACTGGGCTAGGTGAAGTCTTTAGGAATCACAGTAACCCTGAAATGCCTCATTAAATTGACCCTTGGAGATCCAAAGAGAGAAGAGACCGTGGGCTGAGCTTTCGGCAGAAGTATGCTCACCGTGCTGGAGCCCGTAGCACATGAGGACACGAGGCTGGGTTGAAGACTGCCTGTAGGGATTCGCAATCCTGGAAGGACAGGTTGTGAGTCTTCTTCACCCCTGGATGGGCATAGGCAGACAGGGTATCAGTAGCCTTCACCAACCTCCCCAGGACCCCAGGCTGGCCAGCTGCCTACTCACCATACTTGCAGTGCAGCTGGACCACCAGGCGGGTACTCCGCCCATTCAGGGAGATGCAGCACTGCTCCACAGTCTTTTCCAGCGTGGCCAGAGAGCGGAAGACCGACAGGAAGGACTGAGTGGGGTAGGACACATCAGCCTGGCACTGTGCCTCCACCGACCAGCTCTCAAGTCCCATGAAGGCCCCGGCCCATCTCACTGGCCCACGTGTGACCCCCCACGACATGCAGGACACTTGCATACTTCCAGACTTTGTTCATACTGTTCCCTCTGACTGGGAAGCCTTTAAGACCTGCTTACTCTACTTGACCAACTCGAATGTCACCCCCCCATAACAGCTCCCTCTGTGGATGTCTTCACTGTGCCCCCCACTGTATTTTGCATGGGCTCTCTCTGGCTCACTCCCCAGTTAACATCTACCGAGTACCCCAGTGCAGGGAACAGCAGTGACATGCTCAGGGTGAGGTAAAGACCCTTACCTTCATCAGAATCTTACAGCGCAGCAGGTCCTGACCAGGGCTTGCCACCTGGTACTGCTGGAAGAAGAGTGGGGCAAAGAGGAAGCAGGCATAGGCAGAGCGGGAAGAGTTCACGGTCCGGAGGGACAGCTGAACCACAAAAGGCCAGGAAGGGCACATGGTTAGGGGTAGCCGCAGGCTCAGCCCTCTGTTCAGCATTGCCCACTCTAGCCCTATGGTGCACTTTCCATATAGTCGTATCTCTCCACCATCATCGGCTGAAACCCCCTTCCCCTTGGGAGGTAGCTGTAGCTCCTCCTGAAGGTAGGCTGCCCGCAGCTATCCCACTGCTCCCACAGCCCTTCCCCTTCCCGAATTACCTCTAAGTCTACCTCATCCCCACCCACCCTACCACTGGGCGCTCCAGGGAGGGCAAGCGCTCTTGGTACACACGCCGGCCTGGGAAGAAGACAGGATCCAAACTGACGCCCCTCCAACCGAGGAGGAAACTGGAACTCTGCAGGCACATCTGCCCACGGTCATCTGCCTAGCCCAGTGAGCATTGAGTCCAGGTTATGGGCTCCCTATTGGAACACTCCCGCCCCATACCCTATCCCCTCACCCCATCCTCCAAGGGTTCCAGGTAGAGCTCGTCCCCGATTCGGGACAGGGAGTGGACGGCCTTGCCGAGCACTGCGGGGAGGAGAGCAGAGAGGAGGTTAGGCTGGCGCCTCGGCTCACGTGCCCCGCAGCCAGGCCGGCCAAACTCACCCTTCACGTTGCCGCCCGTGACCAGGCACTTCATTGTTGCCCCAGCACTGATCCCCGGCCTAGCCTGCTAGTCAGCTGAGGCTGGGGACCGGCCCACCCCGAATCCCCGAACTGGATCCCAGCGGCCGCTGTAGAAGCCCTGGGTTCCCTTCCCGCGCACCGCCCCCGGCCAGCCCCGCCCCCGCCTCCTTATTGGGCCCGACGCAGGAGCCTCCGTCACGTGAGAAAAACGCGCAAAGGCTCTGCGGTCACGTGACGGAGTTCGTTCTTGGGGCGGGGCGGGGAGGGGTGAAGGTCTCTGTCACGTGACCGAGAACCTGCGCTTCTCCTTGGTCCCAGCGTCTCCCTTTCTTCGCCCTACCCGGGTGGCTCGGCGCCTGCTGAGAGCCGGAGTCAGCCTGCTCGGCCAGCTGCGCACTGCAACGCGAGGGGCTCGGGAGGACGCAGCTCCAGGGCTCGATGTGCCTGTGCCACGGACCCAGGTGGAGGCGAGCCCTCTAGGGTCACTAACTTGTAACAGGTTTCCAGGACGACTGTCAGGGGATACCGAGCGGAAGGAAGATAATACCTACCGGGGACTCGGACACTGTAGCAACCACCAGCAACAAAAAAGGTTAAAGTAAAAAAAGTAGTTACTTCTGGAGCCAGGAGAGGGAAGGAGCTGTTCACTCTGGCTTCCGGATCCTTCATTGATTCTCTTCTTCGATACATGGCGAATGAACAAATTTTTCTGGTAGAACGTGTATCTGGACTGAGGAGTAAGAGCAGAGGCTCTGCCCGGTGTAGAGGGAAGCGGGTCTGTGAGCCTTGCAGAGGGGTGGGGGCCGCCAGAAGGCGAGGGACACGATGAAAAGGTGGTGTTTTTGTTTTGTTTGTTTGTTGCGGTACTGGGGCTTGAACCCAGGGCCTTCACCTTGAGCCACTCCTCCAGCACTTTTTTGTGATGGGTGTTTTTGAGATAGGGTTTTGAGACCTATTTGCCAGGGCTGGCTTCCAACCGTGATCCTCCTAATTTCTGCCTCCTGAGTAGCTAGGATTACGGGCGTGAGCCCCCAGCGCCCAGCGATGGAAAAGGTTTAAGAGGAATCTTGAGAGATCAGGAGGATCAAGGTTCGCGGCCAGCCGGGGCAAATAGTTCTGGAGACCTTATATCAAAAATACCCAACACAAAAAAACGAGCTAGTGGAGTGGCTCAAGTGGTACAGCACTTGCCTAGCAAGCATGAGGTCTTGAGTTTAAACCCTAGTGCTGCCAAAAGAAAAAAATAAATGTAGTCCCCCTACCTAGGTGTTGTAGTCTTGGAGTTGTCCTTGACCACATCGCCCTCTCCCTCTGCAGTCCTTCAACAGATCCTGACTGCTTAATCTCCCGAACAGATACCATGTTTTTAGGGGTTAGTACTGGGTTTGAACTTGGGGCTTCACACTTGCTTGGTAGGTGCTCTACCACTTGAGCCACTCTGCCAGCAATAAATGGCATCTTGACCCTCCTTCTATAACCATGGCCACCACCTGGTTTAGGCCACCATCCTCTCACCTGGGCAACTACAACAGCTTCTTCCACCCTGTCCTCAACAGCTTATCCTCCACATAGGAACAAACATGACCTTCCTAAAATGGTTTACAAGTAGTTGCCATAAAATCCAGATCCTCCATCTCTCCACCAATCTTCTCCCCTTGATCATCTCCAAAGCCTAGTCCATTCCCTGGACCTTCCACTTCCTCCCGTGCCTGGGGATCCTTGCAAGTGGTGTTCGCACCACTCACTGTGGCCCTCCACTTCTCCTCTGTTGGCTCCTTTTCCTCACTCAGCTACAGCCATTCCTCCTTTCACCCTGTAACTCTCTGGCTAAGCCTTCTGCCATGCTGTAGTCATGGTGTTTATCATCTCAACATTATTTTGTATGTGTTTAACGTCTGTGTATTCTGCTGCCTCGTCAGCCTCACACTGTGCCTTGTTTTCGTTTGTTGCTATGTCTCTGAGCCTCACACACGACCTGGCCCGAGTAGATGACCAGCAATAGGTGTTAAATTAATAAATGTGTGCATGTATGAAGTGAAGCTGCCTCCATGTCACTCAGCATAATGGTGAAAGAAAGAAATCCAGCCCACAGCGCCATCCTTCCTGGTTGTCCCCACACACTCTCAGTTAATCTCCCTCTCTTGATCCTCCGGCTTCCAGGGAAAGCATGGCCTTCCCAGTTTCATCTGTTTCATGCCCACTGCCTGAGCAATGGACTAGAACAGGAGACAGATGCCAATGCCCCCTGAAGGCAAACGAAGGGAAGGCTTGAATAGTTACAGTCCTGTTTTTGTCCCTTACACCTGTGAGACTGTGGGTCCTGTCACCCAAAGGTCTTTGGCCCTAGGGAGAAGAGAAGGAAGATAGAAGTGCTTTGGTGCCCCTCCTCAGTCCTCAATCACTCTCTCACCCCCTTGCCCAAAGCCAGAAACCATCTGACCATTCTGCTAGGCTTAGAAATAAGAAAGGAGCCAGCAGACCTGGGTTTCCTATCTGGGACTCAACTCTGACTTACTATGTGCCTTTGTGCATGCCCCTCCCTGCCTCAGGCTGGAACTAGAGTGGGGCATGGAGCACAAGATGCACACAGAGGCCCCTTTCAACCTGGTGTGCTATGATCCCCAGGGGCTTCCTTGTGCCCTCATCTGCCCACAGCCCTGAAGAGGAGCTGTAACTTGGTGTCCTGCCTCCCTCTCTCTCTGTCCCCTGGGCTCTGGTGCTGGAAGGGAGCTTTCCAATCTAAAACCAGGGAGCTGTGCAGGCTTACAGTTGGCACTTTCAGTCATATACTTGGGGCCCAGGAGCACTATGAGGGAGGAGCTTGTAGTCATCAGGAACCTGTTATTGGGTCAGGAATGGGTGTAGGAACCCAAAGAGACATGGGCCTGTGCTGAAAGGAGACCAGGGTGTGGCTCCAACCCTGCTCATAGGTACCCTTAAGTAAGTCAGGGCCCCTCTCTGGACCTCAGTTTTTTCTTCAATGATATGAGGTCATTGGCCAGGTGCTGGTGGCTCACACCTGTAATCCTAGCTACTCAGGAGGCAGAGAGCAGGAGGATTGTGGTTTGAAGCCGGCCCAGGGAAATAGTTCATGAGACCCTATCTCAAAAATACCCAAGACAGCCAGGTGCCAGTGACTCACACCAGTAATCCAAGATACTCAGGAGACAGAGATCAGGAGGATCACAGTGTGAAGCCAGGGCAAATAGTTCACAAGACCCTATCTCGAAAACACCCATCACCAAAAGGGCTGGTAGAGTGGCTCAAGGTGAAGACCCTATGTTCAAGACCCAGTACTGCAAAAAAAAAAAAAAACAAAAAAAAACCTAAGACAGAAAAGGTCTGGTGGGGTAGCTCAAGTGGTAGAGCGCCTGCCTAGCAATCATGAGGCACTAAGTTCAAACCCCAGTACCACCAAAAAAAAAAAAAGGCTGTTGGTTGAGATGATTGCTCAGTTTTTTTTTTCTTTTTTTTTTCCTGGTAGTACTAGGGTTTGAACTCAGGCCTTTGAGCTTGCTAGGCAGGTACTCTACTGCTTGAGTCACACTTTAGCCCTTTTTGCTCTGATTATTTTGGAGACAGGGTCTTGCTTTTTGTCCAGGTTGGTCTAGATTGAAATCCTATTTTAGGCTTCTTACTATCACTGGGATGCTATCATGCACATGCCACCATGCTCAGCTTTTTCCCATTCAGATGGGGTCTTTTTATTTTGTTTCACTTTTTTTGCAGTACTGGAGCCTGAACTCCACCAGCCCTTTTTTTGTGATGGCTATTTTCACAGATAGGGTCTTGCAAACTATTTGCCCAGGCTGGTTTCAAACCGAAATCCTCCTGCTCTCTGCCTCCTGAGTAGCTAGGATTACAGGCATGAGCCACCAATGCCAAGCTCTACAGATTGGGTCTTGAAAACTTTTTCCCTGGTCTAGCCTAGAACCACAATCCTCCCAAGTAGCTGGGATTAGAGGCGTGAGCCACTGCTACCAGGCTGCCCAGAGTTCTTTCAAACCCCAAACTTACAATCTTCACCACACCCCACTTTAGAGGTGGCCTCCTAAAATAGGTAAGTCTATGGGAATGTGCATGTGTCTGGGAGTGGCAGATACAGAGTGGAATAAGCTGGGTATCATTTCAAACCTTTAAAATAATTATCTGTCAGAGTTATTCCCTTCAGCCACCATTTCTTATGCAGCTGGTTAGGGTTGAAGTTGTAGAAAGCCCAAAGCCTGGTTGATGCTCAGACATGTACTCATTCAAAGAATATTGGATCCATTTTTTTTAAGTATGGGAAAGAGTACAGGACAAAGTTCCCTGCTCTCAGCTTCCACAGTCAACAAGATAAACAAAGGCCAGGCATGGTGACTCATGACTATAATCCCAGCTATTCAAGAGGCAGAAATCTGGAGCATCAAGGTTCAAGGCCAGCCTGGGCAAAAAATTAGCAAGACCCCTTCTCAACCAATAAGCCAGGTGTAGAGGTTCACATCTTTGATCCTAGCCAAATGGGAGGCCTTAAGAAGTTGGATCAAGGTCTGAGGCTTGCTCCAAGCAAAATGCAAAACCCTACCTGAAAAAAAGAGGTGGGGCATGGCTCAAGCAATAGAGCCCCTGCCTAGCAAGTACAAGGCCCTTAGTTCAAGCTCTATTATCACCAAAAAATAAAAAAATAAGGAGAGATGAACAAGTCAATCGCAGCATGTAGATGACAGGTGGTATGGAGAGCGAGTGAGGAAGAGGTATTGGGGGAGAAAGGCTTCAACTCTAAGATAGCATGACTGGGTTGACTCGCTCAGAAGTCAACAGTTACACAAAGACCTGAAGGAGTCGAGAAGTTCATCCTACAGACGGCAAGCCAATGCCAAGCGAGGCTCTGAGCAGGAGTTTGCCAGGGCTGTGGAGGAGCTGTACCTTGAGCTCCTGAGCTGGGGAGGAGACTAACATCAAAGAATCACCAAAGTCAGTATGATCACCAAAATCAATACAAAGTTACACCATGGCAAAGACCAGGAATGAGAAGGACACGGGCTATGGGAACATGCTGCCGGACAGAGCTGGTCAGGGGCACCAGGGAGGACTTCCTGGATGGAGGGACAGTCTA